GGGGGGGTACGAGTAGGTAGTGGCCCAACGAGCGCCAGCCGGGCCGGGAGTCGGGACGTCGCAGCGTGTGTATGAGTAAGATCAGTAGAGTCGCAAACGACAGTCACATCGCCAAGAACGACGACACCCACACCCACGCCTCGCGATGGACGGATCGCCGCGACTCGACTCTAGTCTTCCGCACAGTTGCAGCGCTCGCCACAGCTCGTCCCGGCAGCTCGCGCAAAAGCTCCAGACCCTCAGGACAGGATGCTGACGCAGGAGGTCGGCCCGCGCGGTCAGGCGACGGGCCTCGATGACGGCTGCGTGCATTAGTTTTTGCGGTTTCTCAACCTAGGTAATAATTGCGGTGGGCAAGCAAGCATAGTTAGTCTAGAGCCGAGTGGCGTCAAGCTGCCTCATTTTTTCCTTTTTCCGGTGGCCGGTAGGGCGGTCGAGTGCCGGTGTGGGTGGCTAGGAAGCACGACGACGACGACGACGACCGGGCGCCGATCCCGCAGCCTTCTCCCCAACCTCCTCGTCTTCCTTCCCGCTGCTCTTTGACCTCTTTGTCAGATGATGATGATGATGCTGGTGCGCATTTGTCGATACCGCCAGTGCCCCATGCGTGCGGCTGCGGCGTGTCGGTGCGGATTGCGGAAGATGCGCGCGGCGGTTGGCGGGGCAAGGATGGAAGGTCGACGAGATTTGCGTGGAGCAGCGCGGGACCCTTGTTTCGCTTTTTTTGGCCCTCTTGCGCCCCACCATCCACCATGAATGATCAGGCAACCCCCCGCGATGTGCAACTTTGCCGGTCTGGTCTGGACTCGGGATGTGGTTCTCGTTTGTTCTCGGAACGGATTTGTGCGGCTTTGCGGCTGGCTGGCGGGCGGGGAGCTTGTCGGTTCTTCCGCCTAGATGAGACCGGACGAGACGATCGAGCTGCGCAGTGTATGATTGTATGATTATTGATCGCAGCCGATGGGCTTTTTGGTGACTCCACGATCGGCTCTAGAGATGTGGCTAGGTCACGTTGCTATCGTGTCGAGCTGCTCTTTGCGGCCGGGAACCATCCTCTGTCCAGTAGACGATTGAGATTCGCTGGACGTGTGAACAGTTTCAACGTGTGTTGCTGCGGGACAGACTTCCTCAATGTAATCGTGTCCTCTGTCTTCACGCACACAAACAACAACCGCAGCAGCACGTGTAGCGGACTAAGCAACAGCCTTGTGGCAGCAGTCCACAGCACTAAGCAGGCGTGTTTCAAACTAATGAAACAAAGGAGAGGAAAAAAAAAAAAAAAAAGTTCATCACGTTCAGCTCAACCTCGACGTCGGATATGGCACAAGAGTCCGAGGTCGATCCGCTTACTGCCTCAGGCACACCTACACACGGGCACGTGGACACACTCACACACACACAACAACGACCCCGCTGCGCAACCGTCACACAAGTTAGTTACAACCCAAGCATGAAACACGCGCGGATAGATAAGACGAGACGATGCACGCACGCGCACGGCACACGCATTCTTTGCAGCTGCACCCCGCTCGTCGTGGCCGAAGCAGCGACCCAATCACGGCCGCCAGAGATGGCATTACCTGCTACCGTAGCGTAGCATGGCATGCATCCCCATCGCGCAACCCGCACCCGTTATTCATATCCAGCTGCCTACCTTCCTAGCTGAGCGCTGCCTGCTTCTGCTTCGTCTCCATCTGTCCCAGCTTTCCGTTGCTTGCAGCCAGCCGGCAGCTAGCCGCTATCGTGACCTCTCTGGTCTTGTGCTCAACCTCCTGCTTCAGCACGCACGCATTCAGTCAGTCATCACCACCACAACCAGCATGCACCACCCCGCCGACGCAGTCTCCGCCCCCACGCCCACCGGCACCACGGGCACCGGCGCCGCACACCCCTCCCCCTCCCCCTCCCCCTCCAAGCCGCGCATCCTCATCATCGGCGCCGGGTCACGGGGCCACGCCTACGCCGCCGCCATCACCGCCTCCGGGCACGGCGTCGTCGCCGCCGTCGCCGAGCCCATCGCCTTCAAGCGGCGCGAGTTCCGCGCGCTGTACATGCGGGACGACGACGACAGCAGCGCAAGCGGCTCATTCACCGACTGGCGCGCATTCGTAGCCTGGGAGCAGACACGGCGCACGCAAGCAGCAGCAGCTCCGACGGGGTTGCCCGCGCCCTTGGGCGTGGACGCGGCGTTCGTGTGCGTGCTGGACGAGCAGCACCGCGAGGTCATCGAGGGCCTGGCGCCGCTGGGCCTGCACGTCATGTGCGAGAAGCCGTTGGCGACGACGCTGGCCGACTGCGTGCGCATCTACGACGCCATGCGCGCGGGGGGCCCCGAGGAGCAGCGCGTCTTCGGCATCGGCCATGTCCTGCGCTACTCGCCGCATAATGCGCTGTTGCGCGAGCTGGTGCGCGAGAGGCGCGTCGTCGGCGACGTGCTGAGTGTTGAGCATACGGAGCCTGTTGGTAAGTCGCGCGTGCTTTGCTTGTGCGCTTGGGTTCTTTTTGGCTTCTTGGAATGTCCGTCACTGCGGGCCGAGATTCACTGTATAGCGAGATAGGGGACGATACGTGCTGTCCCTACGGAGTACTCCTTGCGTTGCTCCCAGCCCAAACTTACCCTAACGACCAAAGAAAGACGCCATGGCATAATGCGACGTCTGTCACTGCGAACCACGATCTACCGTCTAGCGAGACAGGGGATGATACAAGCAGTCCCTACAGAGCACTCCCTGCCTAGCCCATATCTCGAGTTCCGGATATGGATGAAAATGTCTTAAAGCATACAGTGGCTCGACATATCCTAACCGGGACTCTTCTTCTCCTCCGTACACGTATCACCATCTCGCTTCACGGCGAATCTCGCTTTATGGTGACGGACGTTGTTACCTTGTAGACGGCGCGATGCTTTGTGCTCATGCTGACGGCGCTTTTACTGCAGGCTGGTGGCACTTTTCTCACAGCTACGTGCGGTATGATTGCAGTGCTTTTGGATCCAAGTTCAATGGCCGTCACTGATGCTCTGCAGAGGCAACTGGAGACGCGAGTCAACGACCGCACCGTCCCTGCTCACAAAGTCATGCCACGACATTGACTTTCTCCTCTGGATGCTCAGCGCGCCCGCGCAAGCCGGCGAGAAGGCGCACCAGCCGGCCTTCCTGACGTCGACGGGCCGGCTGAACTTCTTCCGCAAGTCCAGGAAGCCCGCGGCGGCAGGCACGGCGACCAACTGCCTGTCCTGCCCGATTGAGAAGGAGTGCATGTACAGCGCCAAAAAGATCTATGTCGAGCGGCACTTGCGCAACGGCAACGCCAAGTGGCCGGTCAAGATAGTGAATCCCGAGATCGAAGACTGCCTCGCCGCCCAAGGCCTCGAGGCGGCCGAGGAGAAGCTCGTGCGGGACCTCGGTGAGGACTACACGGCGGCGACGCCCGAAGGGCAGGTGCGGTCGCGGCCGTGGTTCGGGCGGTGCGTGTGGGAGGCCGACAATGACGTCTGCGACGACCAGAGCGTGACCATGACCTGGGAGGATGGCGACGAGGGCGGGCGCGGGGCCAAGACGGCGCAATTCCACATGGTTGCGTTCACGGCGAAGATCTGTGAACGACGTGGCCGCATCTACGGAACAAAGGGCGAGGTCGAGTACGACAGCACGAGCATCACGACTCATGACTTTGCAAGTGGCCGCAGCGAGACACACCACCCGGAGTTGCGGGGTGGTGGTCATGGCGGGGGCGATGAGGGCTTGGCCACGCAGTTTGTGTTGGCGGTTGCAGCGGTCAAAGAGGGGAAACTGGGGGCGGCCGAGGCGCAGCAGAAGTTCATCGGGTGCACGCTGGAAGAAGTCATCCAGAGCCACGCCATGGTCTTTGCGGCGGAAGAGGCTCGGAGGCAGCGGAGCGTCGTGAGCTGGCCGCTATGGTGGCAACGGAAGGTGCTAGACAAGCTGCACAGTACGTAGTCGAAGAGAGAGCGTCGGGGTCTCGAATCGCTCGCTACTCGGACATGAAGCACTGCACACTTTACGAGACGCGGACCGAAGGCGCACTCTAGACTGTTGGATGCGGATGAGGGTCCAGCAGAGCGATTCGCCTCTAGCAAACACAGAGCACCGGCGGCCCAAGGCGCCAGGCGATCCACAGTCCCGTGAGTCCCAACGAGGCGCTTGATGCTCGCTCCGATCAGCCGAGCACGTCGCCATGACACGATGGAACGGGTTGCCACGGCCTTTGACCTGAGCTGGCTTTTCGGATCGGCACCGTCTGTGTGCACGATGGAAGCATGCTTGGGAGGGTTGGGGAAAGCGGGCGCTTAGGGACATTGCAGCATGTTCACTAGAGCCGCAGGCGCATGTGCAGGCGTCGTTCCGCAGGCGCGGCTACGGAGGGACAAAGGCCGTGACCATGGCCGCGTCGTCGGGAGGCTGGTAGGCGCCGTTGTGGTCAAGGGCCACAAGGCGGCCAATTACAGACCTACGGCGCCTAGACCAGCGGTACGGGACGCGGTTGACAGGAGGGGCCTGAGGGCCTGAAGGGAGGAGGGTCGGAGGGACATTGTCATTAAGAGCATGGTCTTCTCGTGAGTCGTGAGTCACCACCACGTAGCGCAAGTCGTAGCTGCAGTTTCGAAACGGCTGAGTTGGCGGCCACTTTGACCTTCCGTGCGGGGCGGGAAGCATGGCGGGAAAGAGGGAAGGTGGCAGGGTCGCTCCTGCCACCGACCAATCGCCGCGCGCCAACCTCCTCTACACCGCCAATCGCCATCGCGACCTGAGCTCAACCTCGCGTTTTTTCCCTGCAAGCGCCCGACGCTCCCTCGCGCCCTCGAAGCGCTTCCTTCCAAGACTTCTGCAAATTTCACCCAATCCGGCCGAAAATCACGCGTCCAGCCCTCGTCTCGCCTGCCGCCCGCCTGCGTAATCGCCCATAATACTGCTCGTTGCGGACATCCCGCTGCCTCGTTTCACGCACTACATGATACGTTGTTTCAAGTCGTCTGCCGCTAGTCCCAGTCTCCCCGGTTTTCCAGAATTCTTTGGTCGTCATGGTCTGCTGCCAGCGAGAATAAGAACCCGGGCCACACCGCACAACACTGCCTCTCCCCCAGTAGTCTCTTGACCTTTCCTCGCGGGAGCTAAACGCCTCATTTCCCTGTCTCTTTTTCCCATTTCCTTGGTTCTGTCATAGACCGTCGGTGGAGCTGGCCTCTGCTCATAATCCTTCCGTAATTCCTGCCTGATCGTCCAGTTGCGTAAGTGCCGTATGTTCGTCATTCTACAAGACCCAATGGCTTACAAGCTTCATCAAGTCCGGTAGCGACGCCCCAAAAAAAAGTCTTTCCCCAATGTATTCCAGACACACCACCCCCCCTCAGGCTATGGCCCAGTTCTATCCGGAGAGCGTGAGCAGCCAAGCTTCCAACGCCTCTTACACCATGTCTCCCGAAGCTTCGCCCGACACCACCATCACCACCCCCGCAAGGTCCCCCATCCGCCAACTAGGCCCTGTTCTTCTCCCCAAGATCAGGTCCCAGGACCAGACCACCGAGCCCACCAACGGCCCCGTCAATGGCCCGACCAGTGGCCCGATCCGCGGCCCCGTCAGACACCGCAGGACGGTCTCTGCCGCCTCTGGTTTCTCGGCTGGCAACTACAGCCCCTACATGCGCCCTGGCATGAGCCGTCGTTCCACTAGCCCCATTGACAGCAACGGCTCCGTGTACACGCCCGCTTCCAGGCTTTCTCCCTTTGATGCCGGCATGCACTCTGGCTACAACTCGCCCAACCCCTACTCGGAAGCTCCCTGCCGTCCCTCTCTTCACTCGAGGTCCCGCTCGACTTCTGCTGTCAACGCCCACTCCCGCTCTACCTCTGTCTCGAGCATCGACTCGTCGGTCATCAACCGCTATGGCTACCCCACCTACCGTGCCATGCCCAACTACATGACGGCTCACTCTACTGCGGCTTCGATGGCCCTGAACATGGTCACTGCCATGCCTACCTGCAACGAGTACACCAACGACTTCCAGGTCCCTGACATGTTCGAGCCCCTGCATGCCGCTGCCCCTGCGGTTCAGTACCCCATGGCTGCCGACTTCCAGTTTGGCTGCGACAGCTTCGGCCAGCCTGCCACCACGACCATCATGGACTACCTGACCGCCCCCAACCCTCAGCCTGCCCTTGTTCAGCGCATCACCACTGCTGGCCGCAGCCTGAACCAGACGCACTACTGGTGGGACATTCGCAACCTCCGCAGCTGGGCCGACTTCAACGTTGAGACCATCAGCTCCATCCCTGGTCTGATGCCTCTGCTCCAGATCCCCGTTGCCGAGGCTGCTCTGCCCACCCCGGCTCGCCCCAACCTCGCTCCCGACTGCGAGGCTGCTCTTCACGATGTCTACCGCGACTACCACGCGACCAAGGTCAACGCTGCTCTCTCTGTCGCTCAGGGTACTTCTCACATCTCTATCCGCTCTCGCAAGAACATGCCCACCGCCCAGACTCCGGTCGACTTTGTCTCCAACTACGCGACCGACTACGAGAAAACCATCTACGGTGATGGCCGTGGTCGCGTTGTCGGCATTGTCAAGGCCTATGACCAGTGGAACACGGGCATGCGTTCCGAGACCCCCAACAAGCAGGTCTACTACCTGGCTGGTCTGGCTCACCTCCACCGCGTCATGCGCGAGCACGGCTGCCGCTATGGTTTCATCATGACTGAGATCGAGATGCTGTGCGTGCGCTGCGGTGGTGACCCCGCCACGGCGACGCAGGTTGACACGGCGACCGTTAACGCCGATGCCGGCTCCGGTGTTCCGCTCTTCGGACACCTTGAGCTGTCGGCGCCGATCTCCGTCTCGGCCTTCGGTACCAAGACCGATCCCGTCACCGGTGAGCAGATGCCCCAGATGACCGTTGGTCTTGCTCTCTGGTACCTGCACATGCTGGCCAAGGAGGACCCCCTGCCCGGCACCCAGGGCACTTGGCGCATGGAGGTCGGTGGCCCCGCCGCCCTGACGAGGCAGCACTGCCAGGAGAAGGACGCGTGGATCCCCAAGCCCAACCTCAGCGAGAAGAGGGAGGCGAAGCGTGTCCGCGGTTGGGTCTTCCCCGAGGAGCCGCTTAGCCGCAAGGAGTGCGGCAAAGGCAAGAGGAGCAAGAAATAGATGATGAGGTGGATTTGCAATGGTTTTTTTACGTCTTGATGATTTTTTACGGAAACGATGAGGGAACGGTCATGAAGGATGATGGGATACGGATGGACGAGGACTGGAACGAAGGAACTGATTTGCGAAGTGCTCGCTGCAGGTCCAGTGGAGTACTCGGATTTTTCTTTTTTTTCTCACTGCATGCATCTGTGTGGGTGTTGATGATTAGCATTTTCTGGTGTTGGATCGCAACATAGCGACGGAGGCACTCTGTGCTTTGAATATGAACATATATATATATATCGAAAAACACGCATTGTATATCTGCAAAGACCCCTGATTTTTGACCACACCACGTGATACCCAACCCACATAGGTAAGTATACCGACCCCGCTCTGAGAATGGTGTTGAGTGACCCTGGGCCGCGGCACGACGCGCACGATAGCGTCATGCTCCTCGGCAACTGCAGCTTCCCCAGATTCTCTCTCCGCTTTAAGCCCACGGGCTCCGCGCTCTGATGCGCGCCTGTTTCAGCACTTCGCAGCATATCTGCTAACTTCTCTTTCGAACCAAGAGAGCCATCTAACCAGCCATGTCACCCACAGACCGCATCAGACAGGTTGCCAGCCACCTCAACTTTCCCCAAGGCCTGCTCGCGGGCCAAGTGGCCATCATCACGGGCTCTGGACAAGGCATTGGCGCCGAGACGGCAAAGCTCTTTGCCAATGAGGGTGCCAAGGTCGTCGTCTCAGACATCGATGCCGGTAAGATCCCCTCGTCTGTGTCACGATCGGAGGGGAGCACTTGTGCTGAGAGCACCACAGGCAAGTCAGAGGAGGTCGCACGGCGGATCCGCGAGGATGGCGGCAGTGCCGTAGCGATTCCGGGAGACATGCTAGACGACAAGTACCTCGAGGAGCTGGTTCGCAAGGCGGCCGAGTTTGGCGGCGGCAAGATCCATATCATAGTCAACAACGCGGGCTTCACATGGGACGGAGTGCTCCACAAGACGACGGACAAGCAGTGGGAGACGATTTTGGCGCTGCACTGCACGGCGCCGTTTAAACTGGTGCGCGCGGCGGCGCCCTACTTCCGGGTGAGGGACGGCGAGGCGCGCAACATCATCAACATCTCGTCGACGTCGGGGCTCCACGGCAACGCGGGGCAGGCCAACTATGCGCTGGCCAAGGCAGGCGTCGTCGGGCTCACCAAGACGATTGCCAAAGAATGGGGGCCGCGCTTCGGCGTGCGCTGCAACACGGTCGCGTTTGGGCATATACTCACGCGGCTGACGGCGGCGCGCGATGGAGCAGAGTCGGACGCGTTTGCCACCTTGGCCGATGGGTCCCGCGTCTCGCTGGGGATTCCGCGCGCGCAGGTCGAGAGCCGTGCCAAGGCCGGGTTTGAGGACATTGCTCTGCGCCGTCCGGGTACGGCGACGGAGGCAGCTAGGGCAATCTTGGCTGTGGCCAGTCCGCTGTTTAGCTATGTTGACGGGCAGACGATATCGGTGACGGGCGGGCGGAATATGTAATTACCTAGTAGCTATATGTACTAGTAGTAGATACGATAATACGAAAAATAGGGGCCGGGACCAAGAATTGCGGTGCCATTTGAGCTTGGGGAGCTGCTGCAACGCCAGAGGATTCGTAATGCATCACGGTCCGAGGCGAGCCCCCCGAGCTCTTGCGGTCCCATAATCACAACCCTCTTCTTGCGCTTTCCCCCTTGCCCGTAGCATAATTCTGCCAGAGTCACTCGCTTGCACCGCCGCCCGCGACCATGAGCGCGCCCTGATCGCCACGATCCACGACCCAAGAAGCACCCCACGCACACCCCCAGTCCCCCGGGACCTGGAGTCCCGCCACACCAGCACCAATGGTCGACGAAAAACATCGCTACGATCCCGCAGAAAGCCTGCCCATCCCCACCTATGAGGAAGCCACCTCGTCGCGCCCGGGCTCCTCCCGCTCACACCTTGGCCCCGATGAAGTCAGCGACGACGCCGAGCGGCAAGGCCTGCTGGGCCGCGCCGGAACCGTAGGAGGAGGGAGTGGAGGGAGTGCGTCGCGCAGGCCCGATGGCTACCAGCACCCCACGGTCGAATCCGTGCGAGGCAGCATGGAGAGCGACCTGTCGCTGCCGGACATGGTGTCGGAGAGCGACGAAGGCGAGGCCGGCTTGCATCGTGAGATGGAGCAGCTCGAGGTCATCGACGGCGACAACCACAACCAGCGCGGCACCCGGCGTGCGCGCATCCACATGGGCTTCTCCAAGCGCATCGCCAGCATCGGCCAGACGCTGTCGTCGATACGCATGCCGCGCTGGCGCTCGCCCCTCAGCCTCAGCCTCCCCAACATGTCTGCCATCACCTCGCGCCTGCCTGATGTCGACTTCCGGCCCAGCTACGTTGTCGTCTTCCGCCTGTTCGGCGTCCTGCTCATCGCCACGCTGACATACGCCCTCCTCATCACCACCGTCTCTCCCTTGGGCCACAACGGCCTCGGCGCCGCCTTCAACCCCGAATGGACGCGCCAGTTCGTCCAATCGAGCATCTCCCCGGACCGCATCGCCGATAATTTGTACAAGATCACGAGCGTCGACCACGTTGCCGGCAGCAAGGGTAATAAGTATTTGGCGGATTGGATCGAGCGCTACTTCCGGAGCGCTGGAATGGACGAGGTCGCGCAGCTCGATTACAACGTTTACCTGAACTACCCCACCAAGGGCGGACGGAGAGTCGCTATCGTAGAGCCCCCGGAGCTGCGGTGGGAGGCGATGCTGGAGGAAGATATGGCCAAGGAAGGTCTGAAGCCGGACCAGCAGACGCTGACTTTCCACGGCCTGTCGAGGAGCGGCAACGTCACAGGTCCGCTTATATACGCGAATTACGGGAGCAGAGACGATTTCAAAATGCTAAAGGACAAAGGCATCGATCTGCAAGGGGCAATCGTGCTAGTCCGGTATTACGGCACCGTAGCAGATCGCGGAATGAAGGTCAAGCTTGCTGAGGAAGCGGGTGCCGCCGGATGTCTCATTTATTCCGACCCCAAGGAGGATGGTTTTGTAAAAGGAGATGTCTATCCCAGTGGCAGGTGGCGGCCCAAGGACTCGGTCCAGAGAGGCTCCGTCGCCCTCTCCTCCTGGATTGCGGGCGACGTACTCACACCGGGATGGGCGTCGACGATGGACGCTGAGCGAATCAGCAAGGACAACAATTCCGCGCTGGTGAACATCCCAAGTCTACCGCTTGCGTGGCGCGATGCGCAGAAGCTATTGCAGTCGCTCAAGGGACACGGCCAGAAATTGACCAAGGATTGGGTCGGAGGCGTGCAGGATATCGACGAATGGTGGACCGGCGACCAGGCTTCCCCGGTCGTGCATCTAATGAATGAGCAGGAAGAGGATGAGAAGCACGACATCTGGAACGTCCTGGGTGTCTTTGAGGGCATCGAAACAAATCAAAAGAAGATTTACGTTGGCAACCATCGCGACAGCTGGTGTTTTGGAGCTGCAGATCCGGGAAGGTTGGTGCACGCAATTCATTTATCTTTGACACACGTACTGACTGAGCAGTGGCACCGCAATTATGCTGGAAGTCATCACGGCTCTTGACTCCCTTGTCCAGCAAGGCTGGCGACCCCTGCGCAGTATCTACTTTGCTTCGTGGGACGCCGAAGAGTACAACCTCATCGGCTCGACGGAGTATGTCGAAGACCACATAAAAGACCTTCGAGAAAACGGCATCGCCTACCTGAACGTCGACGTTGGTGTCTTTGGCAACAAGTTCCGAGCGTCGGGATCACCCCTCTTTGATCAAGCGCTCAAGCGCGTCCTTGGCCGTGTAGCCGATCCTTACAGGAATGTGACGCTCTCCGAGGCGTGGGCTAGTGAAGGAGGCAAGCTCGAAGGACTCGACGCGAGCAGCGACTACGTGGCCTTTCAAAACTTTGCAGGCTGTTCCAGCATCGACATTGGCTTTGAGGGGCCTGAAAACGGCTATCCCTTACACAGTTGTTACGAGACATTTGACTGGATGTCTGAGTACGGCGACCCGGGATTCGTCTACCACGCGGCACTCGCCGAGGTCTGGGTCTTGCTCATCCTCGAGTTGGCGCAGGAGCCCATTTACCCGTTTGACGTCAAGGCTTACGGCTCGGCCATGCAAGGCTACATTAAGGATTTGCAAAAGTACGCGGTCAGCAAGGACGCGACGGAGGGCAAGAAGCTCGACTTCAAGGCGCTGTTTGCGGCGGCCGACGGGCTGGAGAAGAATGCAGAGGAGTTCAGCGACTTTGAGGACTGGTGGTACACGCAGTTCAGCGCGCGGGCGGGCTTTGAGACGAACACAATGGGGGTGCAGCGGCTGACGCACAACGAGCACCTGAGCAGCTTCGAGACGCAGCTGCTGGACCTGCCGGCCGACGCACACAAGGACGACGGGCAGCAGCACGGGGTGCCGGGCCGCGAGCAGTACAAGCACGTCGTGCTGGGGCCGGCGGCGGACAGCGGCTACGCGGAGGCCGTGTTCCCGGCGGTGCGCGACGCGGTTGAGGCGGGTGAGTGGTCGTTGGCGCAGCGGCAGATTGAGAAGGCGGCCAAGATTATTGGCAAGGCGAGCGACAAGCTGCTGGATTGATTGATCAGCAGCAGTATGATTGATTTGCATTTACAGGCGTTAGTAGTAGTTGTTGTTGTTGTTGTGGATAAAAATACATGTATACTACGGTACGAGTAGAGAGACGTGGCCCACGGCTCTCGGCTGCTGCGATGACGGTGACGCTGACTTGGCCGGTGCTTGGCGGGACATGGCGCGTGTTTCACCCGACCGAGTCTTAAGCTCTTGCACCTTTGCATCAACCATCACCACCTCAACCTCCACCCCGTCGCCCGTCCCGGATTGCGCGCGACAAACACCTGTTCCATCTTCATTCCATCGCCCGGTCCTCCCACAGCAGGCCTTTTAGTTGGCGCCGCGCCTTGGACACCCCCCGCCGGATCGCGCATCATGACTGAGGTGTCGTCGACCCGCCTCTACCTGGGCAACCTCCCCCGCAATGGTATGCACATTCCCATAGGAAAGGCCGCACCCCCGCTACGTTTGGATGGATGGAGTCTCGCGGACTGAAGGAGCCATGGCCTGCCACCATCTTTGTCGTCGCTTTCCTGGCCTTTTTGCGCGTCGCTGACTAGCCACCCCGGTGCAACAGCCACCAAGGCCGATGTCGAGGCTCACTTTGCGACCCATGGCACCGGCGAGATCACCGAGATCAAGCTCATGAACGGCTTCGGCTTCATCGAGTACAAAGACGCCATGGACGCCCGCGACGTTGTTCCTGGTAAGTCACGAAAAAAAATGCTCTCTCGCTGCGCCGCCGATCTCTGAGACTAACGCCTGCGCCACCACAGCCTTCCGTACGTTGTTGTGTCTCCAATCAATCGCGCCACCGCCTCTAACCGTTGCACGACAGATGGCTCCGACTTCATGGGCGAGCGCCTCGTCGTGCAGTTTGCGCGTGGCTCGCGTCGCCAGAACGAGGGTTTCGCCCACCAGGAGCGCGCCGCCCCGCGCCCTAGGCGCACCCCATTCCGCATGTCCATCACTGGTCTTCCCGTCGAGACGAGCTGGCAGGTTAGCAAATTCCCCGTATCACTTGGTTCTGAGACCCTTGGATTCTCTTCCCTCCTTCGCCACCATCTTGTCCCCTCTGCGCGTCCGCAGGCTGTTCTGGAATCCGCTTGAGGTTGCTCTGCCGGATTGCGACGCCGCCGTCTGCTCGGTGCCTTTCTTTCCCTGCACTTCATCCTGCACCTTTTTCGCACCTTTGCATCTGCCGTCACGCGCGCGCACATGTAGAGCTCTTCTGCCGCCCCAGTCCTGCTTGTCGCCGCCTTTGTCGGCCTTGTCATTCCCACCGAGGCACCGCGGATTGCGCAAGGCCTGTTCATTCACTGGTGGCTTGGAGGCTTCTGGATGTGGACCCGGCCCGGACTTCCCCTCAACACGTGTCACCGTTCATCCAATGTTGGTACAATTGACCCGGACTTACACTGGACCATAGGACCTGAAGGACTTTGCCCGTCAATCCGGACTGGACGTCGTCTACTCCGAAGTCGGCCGCGAGCGCGACGGCCGTGGGTAAGATTGATACATCACCTTACCTCTTTTGGGGAATCTTCGCCCAGCTAATCATCGCGTGGCAGTTTCGTCGAGTACGAGACCGCGGTCGACCTCCGCAACGCGGTTGAGAAGCTCGATAACCGGGAGTTCAAGGGGCAGGCGGTCCGATGCGTTCAAGATGTCAGGACGCCGTCTCCCTTCTATGATCGCCCCTACTCTAACCGCTACCAGATCCAAGAGGACCGCCCTCGTGAGCGTTATAGGTCTCGCTCGCCCGTCCGCGGTCGCGGATATGGTCCTCCTCCTGATGATGACTATTACCGTCGCGGTCCTCCGCGCGGCTACAGCCCTCGTCGTGACGACTACCGTCGCCGCTCTCCTCCGCGCGACTACTATGACCCGCGCGACCGCTACGCTCGCAGCCCGCCTCGCGTCCGCGGTGGCCCCGTCGATGACGCCTACCCTCCTCCGCGTGCGCGCTACCCGGATGACCCCTACGACGCGCGTGGGCCCCCTCCTCCCCGCCGCGGCGGTGGTTACGAGCCCGACCCGTACATGAACGGTCACGACAGGCCGTACGGCGGCCGTCCCCCATCGCCGAGGGGACGTCCCAGGAGCCCCGGCCCGCGCGGAAGCTACGATGACTACAATCGTCGTCCTTACTGGTGATTATCACAACTTGACTTCTGTGGACCCCGCTTACCCGTCTAGAAATACCCCGCCACGAAACGAAGCGCTCTCGGGCACGTTCACCGCATCGACAACGAACGGTGAGTGATTGACTTGAGGGGGTTTTTCGGGACTGGTGGTGAGGAAGAAATTAAAAAAGAAGAAAAGAAGAAAAAAAAAAAAAATTATTTGGCGACACATCAAACAAAACGGGATCCGACGTGGCAAGGAAGAGGAGTGTGTACGATTTATGCTAAGCGTCTGATGGCGGCAATGCGGTACGATAGCTTTTTTTGATTGCCACGGCGGGCCGCTCGGCCGCGGCTGGGGCGCGATGCGGGTGGTACACGGCATGCATGACGAAGCGCCGCCTTTCTCTCCGAAAGAAGAGGGGTGTATCTTCCGAGGTGCTGCTAATGCTACTGCTACTGCTACTGCTGCCGCTGCTTTGCCTTGTTTGCCCTTCTGCTGCTGCTGCTGCTTTTTCTTTCAACCCTGGTTTCTGGTTTCTGCTCACCCTCCCCCGTTTTTGTCTCTCTTCCCGATCTGACACGGTACGGTACGGTACGGTACGGTGCCCAATGGGGATGGGACGGGACGGGGACCGCGCGCGAGAGATGGAAGGGGATAACTAGCGGCCGCTGATGAGGAATGGAGTCTTTTCTTTTTTTTTTTTTTTTTTTCTTCTCTTTTTTTCTTTTACTTTTTCCTTTTTTTTTATAAAGTTTCACTTTTTCTTCCTCTTCTTTTTCTTTTTTTTCTTCTTCTGCTTCTTATGCTGCTTCTGCTGCTTCTTCTGCTGCTGTTCTTTGCTTGCTTGCTCTTTGCTTGCCTTGCCTTGCTATATGGAATCGGAATCAATGAATGACAGACATTGTTGGGTTCGAGAGACAGATGCAGATGCAGGCACTTGTGGACGCTGAGATGAGTCGGGGTTGGTGGTGGGTGCGATGTGATGATGCCCTTGATGCTTGATCGTGGTGGGTGGATGGAGTCGGGGAGCGAGTGTGCAGTGCGTGCGTGAGTGCGTGAGTGCGCTGGCACGGCACTGCCTACCTTTACCTTCCATTCCTTCCTTCCTTGCTTGCTTCTTAGCTGATGAGGTCATGGGCAGGGCATGGGGCAGGGCATGAGGTCGCGCCTGGCTGGGGGTTAGGGGGCTAGGGCCAAGGCGGCATCTCCTCCTCCTTATTTCTTCCATCCATCCTCGTGGCTGTTTCTTTGCTGCTTGTTTTTTGCTGCTTGTTCTTTGCTGCTTGTTCTTTGCTGCTTGTATTGCGTAGTGCGTGCGTGCGTGGGCGCGGCCGTGGAGGCGGGTGTAGGGGTGTAGGGGGGGTAGGTAGTTCAGTGAATGCGAGCTTGCGTGCGTAGTTTACATGAAGGTCATGGTGTGTGAGTGAGGCAAACGACCCGACTCGACCCGGCCCGTACGCCTGATGTTATACAGATATTTATAAACTTTAGCCCGCAACAGCAAACCCGACGTGTGTACGTACCATACAGTACGAGCACGAGCATTGACTGTACCTGCAGCCTTCTTACTGTAGCCGTCGTCGTCGTCGTCGAAGAAGAAGAAGCTAGGTACCTACTGAACGGCCATCGTCCACGTTTTATCACGTCTTTGTTTGTCCTACCTAGCTAGGTAATGTCTGCTGTATTGATTGATTGATGCTGTGGAGTAGTAGTGAAGTTTATTATTATTCCCCCCTTTCTCATCCCTCTTCTTCTTCCTTGATTTAAACCAACGCAGATAAACCATCCCCCCCCCTTTAACTACCTACCTGCCTTACCTAGATAGCTAGCTATAACCAAGCAGCACGCGAGCCTCTCGGACGACGACGACGACCGTGATCTCGTCGTGTGTCGATTTGTTCCGCTGCCCCTGCTCTCTGAAACCATAAATCGGGAGCATGGTGGATGTTGGTGAAGTCTTCCCATATGTCCCCGTCCATATCAATCGTCCTGTAGGACATGTATATCTGTCGCTGTACAGCTGGACTAAATGCCATTGTGCGAGGCATACTGACTTGGCCATCGGTGCAACACTTTTGCTGCCTTGGCTGGCTCTAGAGTTAGGTGGTTCTTGAAGAGTGAAGATTACAACAACAATCTTCACCTACCTACCCCCTTTCCTTCCACACCGTACTTCCCAGCATGCACGTCATCAAGCATTGGTACCGAATGGTCAATCCAGATAGTGATATACAATTGAGAATAGCCAGACGATAACTACTGCTCCAAGCAAGAATGCGGCGGCCATCCTAATGATGTTGAGCTGCGATCTGTATGTAATCTACTTATGTCCTCGTCGATTGGTTGCCTACGCCAAACCCCAACCCAACCCAACCCTACCGGAACATTCATTATCGTCCTATCATATTGATACTGCCGTCTCTCGGGCTCAGACGATGGAGGTAATTGGAGAAAGGAGCGTGCTGAGCCGTGGATAAGGAAGAGCGTCTCTCAGATCTTTGTACGGTGGATGAACGGGTGCTTCAGAGCATCGGTCGGCGTGATGCGCTTTTCCGGGTTGAGCGCAAGACACTTGTCTAAGAGATCGTAGAAGAGATTGATCTCCTTGAGCTCGGCCTCACTAAGACCCTTGGTGCTGCCAATCAAACGAGTCTTCAGGTCGCGCGACGGCTTAACAATGTTGATCATGCGGGTGACGTCCTCGAATTTTTGTCAGCATCATCGTGTAATAATTTCCAGAGGTGTAATCCTACTTTTCCAGTGATCTTGTCGGGTTCGACGCTCCTGAACAGGGCGAGATTCTCATCAAAGTGTTCGTAGACGTACTCGGCCCAGCCTTTCTTCAGTAGTTTCACACTGACCCTACCGCGACACTCTTGGATGGACCGGAGCATCTGGTTGTTATCCCGGCCAGTAAAGAGTATCTTGCCGGTATAGAGCTCGAACAAGGTGCAACCAATGGCCCATGTATCAATACCGTAGTCATGAGGTATGCCTAACATAACCTCTGGGGCGCGATAGAACCGACTCACAAGCAAGCCAGCAGGAACCTCGCACTCGGAGATGTCGGTGGCAGAACCGAGATCGCAGATTTTGAGGGTTGTACGATTCTCGTTGACCAACATGTTGTCTGGCTTGATATCCGCATGAACAATGTTACACTTCCGGAATAGACTCAGGGCGATGAACATTTGCTGGGCATATGATCTGACGGCTTTCAGATGAAGCCCTACGTCCCGACCAAATTTCTTCAGGACTTCTCGAAGGTTGATGCTGGCCACATAGTCAGTACCGCATTTTATCTATTTAAGGGCCATTTGAACTTGCCTAAGGTGCTCGAAAACCATGCATAGATGATGCTTGTGGTCAAACTGTCTCTGGAGGCGAATGACATGTCTTCTGTCCTCTGGGTCGTTTTCAATCAGCTTCTCCAGCATCTCGATTTCCCGGACACCAGCTTTGCGCAGTATCTCGTCATTGCGGATGATCTTGATTGCAACCAGGTCTCCCGTTTTAATGTCTTTCGCTCGAACAACTTCTGAAAAGACACCCTTGCCAAGGCGCGCCTGAACCTCGTACCGATCATCGAGGAGCTCGTTGAGGATGACTTTATAGTAGCCTTGAGGGTCGTCCCAGACATCGAGCATACTGCTGTCCAACTTCTTCACCAGCGGGGCTTTGGATGTTCCAGATCCCTCGGGGGCAGTAACCTTGGTGGCAGGCTCTGGGGCAAACATATCGTCATCGTCATCTTCGGCAAACATGTCGAACTCATCTTTTGGCTTCTTCACCGGAGCCGACTCATCCTCTTTAGACTCGGATACAGGGGCATGCTGTTTGTCCGATTCGACCTCCGTTGCTGATGGCTCTGTGAGACTGTGGCGCTGCCCGACCCGAACTCTGTCTTCTTGCATGTCTGCCGTTGGGTCATAGTCAGCTGCCGAGGGTTCATCTGCATTTGTAACGATGCCTTCAGCGCGCTTGCGGTTCGCAAGTTCCTCATCGTCCTGAACAGCAAAAGCTGGTGGTGAAGCCGGAACCGAACCATTCTGAGGCGTACTCGGTGAAGTCACCATGGGCGAAACTGCCAAAGGTAGATTAGTCTTATCCCACTGACTGGAAGGGTATTGCTGACCTGAGCGTTCCTCGCGAATATTAGAAACCTCATCACGAGGAGTTGATGGTGCCGAATCGCTTCCAAGTTGCAATGCTTGAACGAGAAGCGGCGTGGATTGACCCTTGTATTTGGCCTTGATGGCTTCGCGTCGCTTACGACGTTCCTCAATGAGTGCCGCCTCGTCGACAGGCTCCGTCTCGCCAAAAGCTTGATCTTCTCGTCCTTCCGTAGGCCTTGCCGCTCCCGATTGCGCGTCCTTCATCACAGTATCCTGCTGCGTACCGTCCCCATGCGTGTCAGCTCCTTGCGCAGACATGCGACGTTCATTCCCAGCATCAGGTCGATAGCTCTCTCCATGCCCTCTCGAGCGTCTGTCTATACCCTTGTCGCGCCCTTGCTGGTGCCGATCTTCTCTGTCGGCAGGAGCGTGTCTCCCGTTGCGACGTGATCTGTCGTCTCCCGGTCTTGCGTATGCGCGCGGTGGCGAGCGGCTTCGAGAAGAGCGCGCCCTGTAGCGATCGCGTTCGTAGTCGCGCTCACGACCATGGACATTGTCATACCTGGAAGAGTTTCTAGAATTGTCTCCGCGGTCCAAGTCGGCATAGGAAACTCGACTTCGGCGGTCATCGGCGTACGGGCGCTTGTCTTCGTAACGGGCTCTGAATCGTCGAGAGTCATGTCGGTCCCGATCGCCGTAAAAGTCGTCGTCCCGGCGACGCTTTTCCCCTCGAGGGGAGCGGCGCCTGTAGGGAGAGCGGGAGCGGTGACGTGGCGGGCCATCCTCATACGAAGCCCTGGGGGATGTCGAAACTGATGCGTGGGGTCTGGGATGACGGTCAACGCTGGTGTTCCTGGAGTGAGGCCGTGCCGTAGTTGCCTTGTCGTGTTCGACTACTTCTCCCTCCGAATTCGATCGCGAACTCATCTTGGAGCAACTTGTAGCTTGAGGGTATGAGGAGATGCAGGTTAGCGCGCTTCTCTACGCAGATTGCAGACTTGACAGAAGCCGAACCAGCGTGATGTACCCTTCCTCCGGCACTTCAGGTGGACTCGATGTTGCAAGGCTGGCGCGATCAAGATGAGGCTCGGTCGCGAATGCTGGTTGTTCTGTCGCGGAAGGGAAGTTGCAAGGTTTAGGATTCGCTGATGCTATCGCGACATCCTCATCGGACTAGCGTGGGTGCGTGGTAGGTGTCCCTGCCTGCCCCGAACCCGCACCCACGGAGCAACCTTCCACCGCGCAACTACCATCACGTGCCGGCCCGTCGATGCCCAGATGCCCAAGAGGCCGCTGATCATCTTGTGCCGGCCGTCTGGCGCGCGGAACTCCTTGTTGGCACTTGCATCATCGGGCAGCTGCGCCGCACTCACTGACACGAAAGATCCGCGCCCTAGGGTTGTATTCAGGAGTAGACCGACTTCAGGTCAAGCAACCGCCGTCTGGGCAGTCGACATCAAGTGGAGACGGCGCGGATGCTTCCAAACGAATGGCATGCCCTGTGTGGTTGTGGGGACCGAGGAAGAGAGGATACCTAGATGTTTGCATGATATGATCTACTCCTAAATAAAGAACGACATGCCTGGATGATCCCGTGACCCAGACACGCCCTTCTTCCAGGCATCCATTGAAACTTGCGTTGAGTGCAAACTATCTTCAGTCGTCAGGGGCGCAGGGAGGTTCCGTCTGCTAGTTTGTAGAGGATGTACTCACCACGACTTTCCTGCATTTGGGGGCGGAGGCAATATCGCCTGAGGGCATCCCACGATGCAACATTGACTAGAATTTGCAAGGCTTACGACGCACGCTCTTCCCAGTGTGCCATAGTCAGACGTTGGCGGGGAGCAGGGAATCAAAATCAAGCCCCAGCTGCGCCGCCGTTGAGCTAGTCCTGATAATTTGGCAGCCGCGCGATTCATAACTAGGTTAGCTTGGTGACTGACAGATCCAAGCTTAGTGGACGGTTGAGATCCTCCAAGTACAGCGGCTACGCTTTTGATATTGTTGATGTTTTGCGCCAGTGGCACACCACAAGAATTTATGCCTTGAAGCGCCAGTGGCCTGGGTTGCTTAGCTCACACGCAATTGAGAGTGTAGGCGTAGCTATTGTCTTGAAATTGGCATGAACGTATGAAGGAGCGGGCCCACGCAGCGTTCAATGCTCAGCATCCCGTTTGTGAGGCGAGTTAACCGATGGCACCTAGCCGGTGGGAACTGTCCGAGGCCAAGTTTGTATGCACTCATCCACTGTGATCCTTATTTAGAATTGCCGACGACTGAAACTTTAAAGCAGACAACTTTCTTGTTACATAGGCAAGATTCATGGACTCTAGTGGGCCTTCATCAGGAAGATCCACGCTGGTTCAGCCCTCACAGTATACCTACTTGGGAAAGTTGACAGGCGAGATCCGAATAAAAGGCTAACGGAGCTAATTTGGAAGCCGCGGTTCGTAATCCGTTGTACTCGAGTAGGGCCAAGTGCTCTACCGAGTCTACCCGCATCCTGATGTAGAGTAGCAAACGGTTGGCGTTGTTTTGCTGGCGCATCAACAACTGGCGATCTTTAACGGGTGGGGGTATGAAACATAATTAAGCACAGGCAGCGAAAGAAAAGCAGTTGCGCCGGAATAATGAAGACGCCACCCCGTGGCGTACCGTGGACGGCACAAACTTGGAGGCTGTGCTCTGCTAACAACAAATAGGCATCGTTGACGGCTCGGCACTGTGCTTGTACTGTACGGGTATAGATGGATTATCGACTTGAGGCGTTGTCATTTGGGTGGCCAATAAAGCCTGGAAAGCACTCGCTTCGCCGTACGCACGTATCCATGAGATCTGATGAGGGCTTTTTGGGAAGAAACTAGAAGCGTTCCTCTAGTATTGTTGAGATAGTGCTTCTTCTGCTACGAGTACAGCATTGCAAGAGCAATCCCACTAATCCTAGGATAGTAATCAAATGCCGGAGATCGCCAGCAAGAAATCAGGTCAGGCGGCTTTCGGCTACTACTCGTAGTTGCCACTAAAGTGGCTTCATCCAATTGTCGAGGGGGGCTGTCGACATTCGAGGGCTTGAGGGTATGGGGTACTGGGGCACGCGTCATTCGTCCCTGTGGCACTAGGAGTACTGGTGCTTTGACGAGGGGGGTGATCGTGGTGCCAGTCGGGCCGATAGTGGTTCATTATCGTGACAGGCTTACGGCTGATGAGAAGGGAAATCTGACCACGGCAGGGCATCAAAGGGCCAGGAAGCCAGCGACGCTGAAAATACGTGATGCGAGCGAGACTTTGGCGATCCCGATCTAGACCACATGCCTTTGGGTTAGTTGCCGGTGGCGGGTTTGCTGACGACCTGAGTATTTTGCGGATTTCAGGACGTCAGCGCGCTGATATGAGCCGTCCGATCTGCTTGCTAGGAGCCGTGATGGAGGGAGCATGGGTAGCGGCGGGATCCCGTTGAATCGTCGCAGCCGAGTCAGACGTGGACAGCTGGGGGTGCCGATGAGCCTGGTCCCGAGCAAGCCATAGTGGGCAGCTGATTCAGTACCCTGCAAAATTTACGAGGTGGGAGAGATGCTCGAAGGTCGGACCCTCAGAGGGCCACTAGGTGGTTCAGGATTAGTTGGACTAGGCACTAAGTCGGCTGGGTAGCGTACCGGAAAGTCTGGCAATCAACGCCCCAGTGCGGGCACAGGCGGTACCGTACCTGCCAAGCGGATCGATCGTGTAGTTCCCCGTCCAAAGGTAAATGCCACCGCATGCAATCTGCAATCTGACAGCGACTCTGGTCCGTTTAGCGGCCGCACGTTATTAACCAAGAGCACGTTGGGAAGCACATGTCAGGACCACGCTCAGACAGCAGTAGTGTCGTACGTCGCCTGCCCTCGCCTGCCCTGCTCTCTTCGAGCCATCACCAGCCTTTAAACCATCGCTCTTCCTGCTCCCGGTGGCTTTGATCCGTACGCGTGCCCGCACCCTCCCGCTCTTCTCCGCCCTCTTTCATTGAACAGCCTGGACCGACGACCTAGGAAGCAACTCCGTCTTTCATCTTGGACCGCGCCCCCGGGAGGTGGGACCCTTACTGCACGAACAGTCGACCGAATCCTTCCATTGGTCCCCAAGCTGATGGTCCATAGACTCGGGCGTCGGGACTGTAGCACTTGTAGAGCTTCTGGGTTCGGTATCTCAAGAGGGCCGATCAGCCCGGCCACGGTCGCAAATTCAAGCCAAGAACGGCCAATTCTATCGACTAATTGGCTCTTTTTGGCCTGTCTGGCGACGACTCTCCACGCACTAGACATTTCAGCCGTGGTATGCTGTCAGGTAAGCAAGCTCCCCTGACTGTCGTAGCATCTGTTTGGTTCCTCGGCTCGCGTGGCACTCCAGAGCTTTCATCAACCATGCTCTTTTTGCGGGAACAAGCCCCGGGGAGACAGTGGGGACTGCCGGCTGCAAATGGTGCCCAAGCGAAGACCCTGTCAATCATCAACTTCAAGATCGAACAGTTTTCTGCTGCGCTGATACTGACACCAGAAATGCGTAGAACTTCTCTCGTGTCCCATCGCATTGCCGTTGGTGACGACACCTTCGGAAGACCTGTCACGCTTCAGTGTCGCGTACCAGGCAGTCGCACCACTGCCGGCGCGATCTGCATCCTTTGCCCAACAATCCGTTGTTTCCTCCTCCATCGACTGGACTCAAAGTGTAGATATGCCGACATATCAACAACAACGACCCTTGTTTCGCCCTATTCAGGTCGGCCCTACTCCACCACAAGTCTCCCCTCAGTTCTCTGACAACGTTCCATCGCCTACCTCGACAATTCCTAAACTCGGCTCGAAGCGGGGCCGTATCACAGCCATAGCATGCGTGCCATGCAAGAAAAGAAAGAGCAAGGTTCGTTGGCGGAGACCCTGCATAAGAGTGGCTGACTCTTACACATCTTTAGTGCAATGGACTGCAACCTGTCTGCAATACCTGCGCAATGAAGGGATCTACATGCAACTATGACATGCGACAAGAACACCGGTGGCAGGGCACTCTGCGGGTCAATGTGAAGAAGTTGGAACAAGAGCTGGAGGAAGTTAAATCCGTCTTGCCTCTGCTTGCAACAACATCACAAAAAGAAGCAGCGACGAGACTAGCTTTGGAAATTCAGACCAACGGTTTCTCAGAACACTCGGCGGAGGAAATAAAAAACATACTTCAGGGACCACGGACATCACAACCATCCGAGGAGGCAGACACTGCTGTTGGATCTCTAGGAGGGAGGAGCAGGAGGAGCGCAGCGAATCAAGAGCCGCTTCCTGCATACTACATGGAATACGACCAGAATGTCGGTCCTAGTATGCAGCAAGCTCTCGCTCAACCCACAGAGGTATGTCGATTGATATTTGTGAGGATGGACTCCGGTGCAGGTTAGGGCGGGCCAATGAGCGAAACAACACGAGTCCTCGGACTCCGGGCATGACGCTTCGGTGATAGCATGGTTTGCTAGCCTGCCTAGAATATATCCCTAGGCAGTGGTGCAGACGAGTCCTGATTTGGAAGTTGCTGACATGAATTAGGTGCAGCAGTGGCCCCCACATCCTCTCTTGTCGACCAGTGATAGCGGAGTTTGGATGGCCGATAACCCTTTTTCTCCAAATGCGACGAACGTTGCAACATTCAGAGAAGACTCGGTTACCCCGGCCATGCTACCAGGAAGGTCAGTGACAAAAATTCCTTTGGTTAGGGGTAAAGCAGACACTAACTTTCGAAAAGCAAACAAAATCCAATCCTTGGTAGCAACGCGCACAGTATTTCTGTTTCGAGCCACATGTTGAATCATCCAAGCGTACACATGAATCATCCAATGCCGCAAACATCATCTACAGTTAGTCCCATCACTTACGTTGTAACGACATTCCGCGAAGCAAAACGCCAGCTTCGCGCTGATGGTTGCCCCATGCCAAAAGTTTTCGGTCTTCCGCAAGTCGACTACAATGCCATACTCGCTGGGGAAACGGATTTTGCGCTGGAGCAACCGTTGTCTGTTTGGGTGGCGAGGATTACGAATGTATTTTTCTCCAAAGTGGGGTTACCAGAGAAGCTTGCACTCGCGGGGATGCTTAGGGACGTGTTACAGGTGAGCGGTCCAAATATCCCATCTTTTCCCAGGTCTTGGCATTGTAATCTGCAAGTTCCAATAACCAAGTCCGCGCCTTGGCAAATGGAATCAATTCCGGATAAGAAACTGACAAGAATGAAGTGGCAAATCTGCCCAAGCAAACAGAACTTTGAAAAGCTTCCGGAATGGGTAAGGCCGACGCAAAACCAGACGGTCATACCTCATGACCCGACTATCGATTTTCTTCCCTGGTGAGTGATGCAGGAGACTCGGTCCTCGTGATGTAGGCTAATCGAAGCAGGCCTGCCGTGCGAGATTACTTTCTGCACAATCAAGAGCAGCATGTGGCCGGAGTGCTTGGCAACTCCCTGTCGGTTAACTGGGCATACGAAGAATCTCGCATGTTCTTCTACGACAGCAACTCGGGTATCCTCATGCTCTCTCCGGCGTTTGAGGAGCACATCCGCAACATTGACAACTGGTCATTGGCACCTAGTATCTTCGAGCAAATGCCGTATCTTATGGGAAAAGTCCGTATGACGGGGATCCACTAGGGAGTTCCATATCAATGTATAGCATGGCTGTGGTAGATGTAGTCGAGTGGTAGTAGTCCTCTGACGGATCCAATTTCCTGGGGAGCCAGGCGCGCCTTCGCTTTGAAATTGTCCATAGTCCTCCTGTACGGGACGACGGCGCTACGGCCTTCTCTCGATGCTCGCATCCTTTTGGCGTGTAGCGGTGGCAATTGTACTCCTCAACAGGCGTTTGACGCCCGTTCGCTCTTTTTTTCGAAAGACGAAGCTCCGGCGAAGGGCTGTGACGACGGAAGCAGGAATCCGGGTGCATGCAAGGCTTGGCACAGGCCCTCTGAGACGAAACAGCGGGGGGCAAGTACAGAGTTAAATACTGTCGGCGAGATGAAGAGAGAACGCACCGTCAGCGGCCCCGTTCCATCATGATGTTATTCCCGGGCCTGTGCTACGGAAAAGACGCCGTATGCGGGAAGCGGCGGGTCAGGCCACGCGCTCCGAGGAGGGCCCTGGTAGCGATCAAATCATAAGGCAGAGGGCGTGGACCTTCCTCGCTTCACCACATAGTTTGTTGGACATCAGTTACCTGACTTGGCGATTTGCCTTCACATGGTCGTGGGATTCTGACGCGCCCGGCAAAAGGCCCGAGCTGTACACAAATACTAAAACAAGCATTCCATTATCTCATCGCGTATTGCACTACAAGAGACCCCAGCCCTTCTACCTACGCCCCAGCCCCTGCCTCACTGGCCGGTCCGCTTTCAGACCCCTCTTTTTTATCAGACGGCTCCTGATTCTTTTTAGCTGCCGCCATCTGCCATGCAGGAATCGCCGCTCGTCCGCTCGTGAATCTACCATACGGACTTGCGCTTATGGGCCTCGATGCTGTTGGCGCAGGCGATGGCCCAGCATCCTGACCATCTGACGCTCCTGATCCGGCCGCTGGCTGTACTGGCGTGGCTGTTCCTGGGGTCGAGCTTCCAGCACCGTTGACAGCCGCAGTGCCTTGCGCACTAAACATGTTCACGCCTGCGGTATTCGGCGAGCTGGCGCCTCCCATCCGGTTCGCAACCAATGTCTTCAAGCTCTTGAGCTCCTGCGAAAGGTCCTTCAGCCGGTTATCGGTGCTCTCCTTGTGCGCTTCCAATGCCCTAGGTATCAACTCCCTCAATCCGCGAACGTCATCCTCCAGTCTCCGGCTATCGGCATCCCGTCTCCGCAGAGATTCCCTGAGGGATTCCGTGGCGGTCTCCATCTCAGAGAGAGCCGTATCCAGGTTGCTTGTCCGGGCTTCCTCCGAAGCTTTAAGTGCTTTGGTGTCCGCTTCGAGTTGCTCGAGAAGGGCAAATGCGCGGTTGAAAGATTCATCAATCGAGTTCTTGTCCTGCTCAATCTGTGGCGGCGTAGGGGGAGCGATGAGAGGAAGGATATAACGCTATGGGTCACAAGAAAGTTATTGCGGGAGATTCGATCAACAGAAGAGAAGATCACACCTTTGCGGTAAAGTATAGGCCGTAACCGACCCCGCCCATTACCGTGGCCATGATAAACCAATCGCGCCAGTCGCGCTTCGGGACCCTATCAGGCTGTTATTAGCCGTTCGTCCTCGGGCACGACGTGGTTGGCAGTGCTCTACTCAGGCGGAGGCTGCTGCCAATATCCCGGATAGGCGCCATATCCGGGAGGAGGTGCAGGCGACGGCGGTTGCTGGTAGGCATAGCCTTGAGGTGCGGGGGCCGAAGCGGCTGGAGCTGAGCCTGCGCGGGCTAGGGCAGCATCAATTTCATCCTGGGTAAGATTCTTGGACTGGAGAAACGAGATGCGCTTCTCAATCGGGGCACTGGCGACCGAAGGGTCCTGGAGGACTGCAGAGGATGGTGGTGAGAGGCGTCACTAGAGGGGTGGCGCGGGGAAGGCTCACATGAAACCTGGCGCGGGGTTAGTGACAGGAGGATGAGAGGGCGAGAGAGCCTACCGCTGAGGTGACTAGGTCCTCGCGGACCATCTTGACGGTTGCTGCTGCGTCGTGCCGGGCAGAGCAACGGGCATGAAGCGCGCGCGTCACTTGGCCTGGGGAAGCTGCGGCCGGATTGCCGAGGCTGTTCCGCTGCCGTCATCACGTGCCGGGCGGTGGCGTACCGTCAAGCCGCCCGTCTCGAGCTTCTCCACCTTCATTCGCCTCTTGCCTCCGTCTTGCAGCGTTCTGACTCACGCAAGCCCTGGCGAGGCTTGAAAGGCACACGGGATGCATCATTGCTCAGCTGTGACTGGTCGTTTCAGGCACACGCCTCCCAGGTACGTGCAAAAAAGAGGTGGCTTGTATGCTCCTTGTCCCACCTACTTCAGCCTTGAATCGTCGACAAAGCACATCCAATCCCTGCGGCAAGCATGCCTGCAGCCGTTAGGACTGATGAGGCCGTACCGGCAGATTTGGTGAACACAAGCCCGCCCTCGAAGCTTTTGTTGCGTCACGCAGAGGTAAGAGCTAGGAACTCGGATTACCTTGATGAAAAGGTCTAAATGGTGTAAAAAAGTCGAGCAGCTGACGGCAGTAGCCTAGAGTAGGACCAGCAGGCCGGCTCGTCCAAGCCGGCCCGGCAAGGCGGGTTTAGGGGTTCAACAAGGAGCTGAAGCCGGGTGCTGTCAGCGCGCTTCTTCTTCTTCTTCTTCTTCTAGTGCTGGAGTAACGCTTCTGCCTTGCAGTCCCGAGCGTGCAACTGGCTGGCCATCACAAAGGACCGGGAACAGCCGTCTTTGTGCGACTCCCGACAGTCAAACTATTGACGACGCCCGCTCCCGCCGCTTGCGGCGTTGGCGTTTCACTGGCCTGGGCGGCGGATGATGCGCATGGTAAGCTGGGGGTTACGACACGGGGCAAGTGAGGGCGTTTCAGCTCTCTTATTATGCTCTTCCAAACGCGATGATATCAGCTTGCGCGTTGGTGACGCGTTAGAGAGAGCGAGAGGCGGGAAGGGCGTCATTCACCGACAAGAAGAAGAAACAACCCCAGAATTACAATCTACTGGAGATGGCGCGATCACCATGATCGAGGGGGCCTTGGGCCTTGCGGGCCGCAAGTGGCTTGCTCGGCCAGTGGGGAGCTTGGGGAGCGATATCGATAAGCACAGACGAGCGGTGTGCGTTGCACCTGTTGACACGACGACATGTGGGGAGCAGAAGAGGTGTTTCGCATGGCTTGGAAAATTCCAGAGCGGGCAGCGGCCGGATCGGGTTACGCGGCCGCATGGATGAGGCGGCAAGGAGGCTGCAGCAGCTTGACGCACAGGATCCTTCCATCGAACACGAACCCGGGCCAGACTCAGGGCTGTGGAGCGGCATGAAAAGACTCCTGCCACGTTTCGGGTGGGCCATCAGCGATGGCGGCGGGTCGCATGACGGGCGCAGGATTGGCCGGCGGGGGCAATCTTGGGCGGTGATTGGCAATGGAGGCGCACGAGTCGGGGGGCGCAGCGCGGCCAATCAGTTGGGCAAGAGCAAACCAGAGGATTCCGCGTGCTTGCGACATTTTTTCGGGCGGAATGCGCCAGGCCGCTTTGGGCGCGGCGACGCATGCAGCCAAGTGTCAGGGAGGCCCGCGCACGGCGCACCCTCCGCACTGCGCCTGCCGCTAACGTCAATCCGCCCCAAGCCCGCTCGCCTAGCCTGTTCCTTCCCTTCTGTCTCGCCCTGCGACGCCGCCTTCCTCACTTATCATTGCCGCCGCCTGCCTACATCATACCGAGTCCGCTACCACCACCACCACCACTTCCTCTTTTGTCCGCCCCGTCCTCCCTTTTCCCTCTACCATCCCTCTCCATCCATTCTTCACTCTCTACCTCGACCACCTACCTTGACCTCCTCCTCCTCCACTCTCACCCACCCAAACCAACCAACCAACCAACAAACCAACCCCCAGATTCCGCTGTTTCTAAATTTATTTTCCTTTTCCTTTTATTCCGCGCGGATCCTCCACACCAATCCAAATCCTCCTTCTTCTCCTGGCCGTCCTGGTTTCCGGTTTTCTTTTTTCTCCTCTTCCGTTCTTGTCCAGGACCTTGACCATGTTGCCCACTCCTCCTGCCTCGCCGACCCCTGGTGGATACGCGCCGCAGCACCGCCTGGGCCAGATTCTCGCCGGCCGCCTGCAATTGGTCGGCATCCTCGGCGAGGGTGCTTACGGAACCGTCTATCGGGCCGTCGACATCCACTCCCACGTCCAGTACGCAGTCAAGGCCCTGAACAAGCTCAACCTCGAGCCCCGCCAGCGGAAGTTCCAGCAGCGCGAGATCCAGCTCCACCACCTGGCCAGCTCCCACCCCAATGTCGTCTCCCTGGTCAAGATTATGGACTCCCCGGAATGCACCTTTGTGGTTCTTGAGTACTGCCCGGATGGCGACCTCTTCTCCAACATCACCGAGCGGGGAAGATACGCTCGCGATGATGAGCTCGCCAGGAGAGCCTTCCTTCAGATTTTGGATGCCGTGGACTACTGCCATTCCCTCGGAATCTACCACAGGGACCTCAAGCCCGAGAATATCCTGGTCACGGACAACGGTAACACTGTCAAGCTCGCTGACTTTGGCCTGGCCACCTCGGATGCCATCACCTCGGACTTTGGATGCGGTTCCACCTTTTACATGTCGCCAGGTAATTGCTTCGTCTCCGATTGCGTCCCAGTCAGGTCCTAACCATTATGCAGAATGCCAGCAGTTGAACCCCAAGGCCTACGCCTGCTACGCCTCGGCGCCCAATGACGTCTGGTCCCTGGGCGTTATTCTGGTGAACCTCACTTGCGGCCGTAACCCGTGGAAGAAGGCGTCCCTCGATGACTCCACTTTCCGTGCTTTCATGAAGGACCCTAGCTTCCTCAGGTCCATCCTGCCCATTTCCCTTGAGCTGGACTCGGTCCTGCGGAGAATCTTCGACCCCAACCCCAACACGAGGATCTCTCTGGACCACCTGAGGGAAGCCATCCTGCGCTGCCCGACGTTCACCAAGCCGGCCAACCCGCCCACCTACGCTCCTGCTCCTCTTCCGTCTCCCCCACTCCAGGCTTACGACCAGTGCAACCCGGTCTACCCTGCAGTGGCTCCTATGCCCCAGTACCTGCCCAACTTTGTTCCCCAGGTACCGTTGTCGCCTATGAACTACCACCAGCTTTCCGGCTCGTCTGGCAGCTCAGGATCCGATTCGGGCTCCGTTTTCTCTCACACTTCTTCCAATTCCTCGGCCTCTTCGACATCATCCATTACGCACGTCAACAGCGTGTCTGCTCCCGCGGACATTGCGGTTCAGCATTCATACGTTTCTCCCGGCAACGGTTGGATTAGCCCTTTCTTCCAGCCCTTCCACCACGCCCAGATGGCGGTCAAGCAGTTTTCCAACTTCGTTGCGCGGCCACAAGGATTCACGAGGCCCCTGGTTGCCCACTAGACCGGAAGCTATGATTTTGGCAGCCGCCTTTCTACGGACATTTTCCGGATATTCTTTTCACGAAAACCTGTTCGCGATGTGATTTATACATTCGACCAAAAAGTCACGATGACATGAGGGATGTAGTCTGTTTTTTCTTTTTCTTTTTTCTTTTTTTTTTTTCTCCTGTAAGGTGTTGGGGTTGGGTTGGTGCCAGTGCCACACTGGCGTAACACGAGGGAATGGCGCTTTCCGGACTTGAGCTTTTACGCGTCTTTCATCCAGGTTCCATTTTACCACGGACGGTCTAGGAGCCAAGCCGGGCCCTGGCCTGATATGCTGTTTTTCTTCTTCCTAATCTTCTCTCTTAGTTTTCTTCTTTTTTAGAAGGCGAGCGGATTTTTGATTTTCCACACAAAGAAGACGCCAGCTAGTAACGGCACCGGGGCGGTTGTACTGATCACTTTTTTTTTTTTTTACTTTTTTCGTCACACGCGCACGCAGAAGGGAAACGGCATTTGCACGGAGTTAACACACATTTTTCTTCATTTTTATTTTATTCGACGCCGGAGAAGAGTGTACTACTACCTACTACCACTACCACTACCATTACTACCTATTCTACGATCGTTCAAGAAGAAGAGGAAAAAAGAGATTAGCTGTAAGATAGAGTCAGACAAAACAAGAGGGACGGACGGCAAAGTCCGCAATTACAGGAGCAGGTGCAGCGAACGTCATAATCTCGCTTGGTGTATTGGCTTGTCGCGCAATGTCCGACGGCAAGTCAGGTGCTTCTTCACGAGCGGCGCAGGCTGACGCGCTTTAGACTTTGGGGCCGCGATGCGAAACGCTCCCATTCACGCCGCGACACACGGGCCCCCGCAGGCACCGCATCACGTCGTGCCGCCGCCCGCGCTCACGCCTCATCCGCCCGCCCTCTCTGCACTTCGCCCACCGGGTCCACGAGGCGCAGCGTCGCCCTTGCTCCCATCGATCCCCATCCAGCTGCAGCCGCATTGCAGATCACTGCAGCCTCCCCGTTTTCCTTGCAAAGCAAAAAATGCAACTGGTCATATTTTGCTGATGAGCTTTCGTCGCTGCTTCTACGCGTCGTTGGCTAGCCGCTGTCAGTAGTATTGAACAGGGTCCCCGTCGGCGGCAATCATGACTGACCCCCACCATCCGTGTTTCCTGCTAATGATTCTACCGACTCTTTCCGCGCAAGGGTGTCCGTCTGGCTGAAGCGTCCGACCTGGCCAACCGCCCGCCCCGTGCCCCGGCTCCCAGCAGATCGCCATCTCTGATGCTCCGTCGGCTGCGCTTCCTTTTGCGTCGACGCACTGCGACAATGTGTCAGACTGTCCGCTCTGCGTACAAGAGAGAGGGTGGTACGATGGCGCCTCATCTCAGCCCGGCCACTAACCGTCCCAACGATCCGTCTGCCGCCGGTCCCCATGCCACTCCTCCATACCAGCCCACGTTTTCCACCCCTGCTCGCCCAGGCTCATAGGCTATAGCCGAGCCATGATCCCTGGGTGACAGGCCTCTGGCGACGCGCCACGCTCCACTGCAGCTCGCGCTCTCCGCCGCCGACTCATGTACAGAAACGGGAAGCGAACGGGCCCTCTGTGCCCCAGCAGGAGCCATTCGTGTGCCCGTTTGTGGCGCGCCCGCGCCCGCGGCTGACGCTCCAAAATGTAGACATCTGCACGCTGCCGCCCAGTGGTCCCCTCCATGGTAATCAGCAGGCAGCAGGCCTCATCTCACTGGCCCGTGCGACGGCGGCCATCAGCGATGGTCACGGCATGCTATATTTATTGGGTTGGATATTCGATATATCCTTAGCCTGGCTCTTCGGGAGTCCGCCTTGCCGTGGGGTGACTCAAGTGCGAGGCTAGCCTAGCCTAGTCTTTTGAGAAGGATGATGGAGGGGGGTTGTTCAGATTCAGGTTGACGGCCGTAGTGTGTGTGTATGGTTTTGGCCAAGGCCCTGTCGTGATGCCTGCCTGCAGCAGCAACCAAGCATGTCGCCCTGTGTGTGTCTGAAGCAGACTGCAAGGGTGATGGTAGCGGAGGCTCAAGTTGTCACAGACACGGGCGCCAGGGGCCCTACTTGAGACGGAGCCGTCCGTTAGTTATGCCCGCCCGCCCTTGTGGGCGGCTTCTCAGCGCGCCCAAATGCCGGAACACGGCTGTGCTTCTTATCGTACGGGCGTACAGTCGTTTCTAGAAGTGAAGCGGCATCTGGGATCATTGCTGATGGCCGTCCATCTCATGATACACAGGCAAACGTCCGCGCCGCGTAGCGGTTTCACCTCGTACGTTGGTGCTGCTGCTGGTGCTGCCACTACTACTACTATGTCTCTCACGGCATCTTCGGGAGCAGGTAACAACTGCACGATGAGTGCTGTCATAGCTGAAACTAACAGCTGGCTAGCTTCGGAGGTACGAAAGGATCGACTGGGTGATCTTTGAGTTGTACAAGGCTAAGCGCAAGCCTTTCCACGGCCCAACCGGCTTTCTGTGATCGTGCGAAGCTGACATCCCTCACGTATGCAGGCAGACGTGAGAAAGTGCCCGAAAAGCTTAAACTACTCTAGCGATCCGCCAAGTCAACCGGACGCCATATTCATGTTCAAGCCGGAACGGCGAAAAGCCAAGTCCATATTAAGCTCCCTGATAAGGGGCCAGTCTCTGCGGTCAAAGTCGCTAGGCTCGCGTGAATCGCTGCTGCGCAGTGCTCAAGCAGAGTCAGACCGTCTCATGGCGGGGCAGCACGCTTCTAAGATCACCGCTACTTCTCAATAGTGGCAGATGTGCAGTGGGAAAGTCGGTGTCCCGCCTGAGGCATGCTGGTAGTGACAGATCTGACGATGGTTCGCAGCCTGGGACTCGCTCGTAGCTGATGCTCATCGAGCGCTCTGACTTCCAAGAAGCGGTGTTCTCTGCTTGTTTGTCTCTCTCCTTGAGCTCTGGCTCGTTCGTCAGTGGATCATTGACGGCGCTATGATGGGGAAGAACTCACCGAAGTATGCTCCCATGGCCGACACAAAGGGCTGGCAAAGCATGAATAAGGCCAACATTTGCCCAAATCCCCACGCGTTTTCTTCTGGGTTATTCAGACTGCAGAATGTTATGAAACCGTCCTTACGGTGGGTTGTGGGATAGAACTTCTGCATGAGTACAAAGAACAATGAGACCGCGGCGAAAGTTATCTGCATGCAGAAGGCGCCTGTCATGTTGGAGAACACGAGAAACCTGGCGATGTTCTTTGTCGTACGTACGATGCACCACCGGCCGGCGCATTTTTTGTGTTTTTCTAGCCAGTTGCTGAATCTCTTCCATCGAAAATGCTTCTTCAGCTTTTCCGGAAGCCATTGGAGACAGAGAAAGTTGTGTACTCTAGACTGTATCTCCTGCGATAGTTGCATGACGGATATCCAGAACGGGTAGATGACAAAAAATGGCGGTATGGCATAGTAAAAGAGGTAATAGAAGACCTTGTAGGTTGTAAATTTCCGGACCCTTTGTGTTGAAAAGTTGAAGACCTTGTCGTATAAATCCCAGAATGGCCTAAAAGGTCGGAGACCAAGGTCAATAGATACCGCGACAAGGACTGCGAACAGAATGATCAAAATTATCCTTAGCCAGGCGGAAGTGTGATATTTGACAAAATAGTGTTTCAATGTGATGACGCAGGCAAGGTGAGAGCTGGAGCTGAGACAGCTTAAAAGGACGACAAGATCCCACTGGGCCCAGGAGATTTTGCTATCAAAAGACTCCAGGTTGTTGACGTCTTTGCCGGCTAGGACAAAAGCGCTCACCAGCAGGGCGAAGCCGGTGAGCAACTGTTGATCCGCGAGAGCAATCATTAGCCGATCAAGAAGTTCTCGTTGAAATTCAAGATTGCGTATGCTCTCCGGCCTTCGGTTTTTTGAAAGCCAGTCGGCGATGAATTTGGGCATGACGACGTGCTCCTTGTTGGCCATCCCGTCTAGGACAGCCGCATGAACAGCCGCGCCAGTCGTAAGAACTGCAGCAAAAGCGAAGGAGATGATGACCTACGGACAATAGTATTAGGCCTATGGTTGCCAACGGTGATTCGAGCCATTCTATGTTGACTTACACCTAAACCAGAGATGTCTGGGTTTGGCGTTGCACAGTAGTATAGCCCGTCCGTATCGTTCTTGGCCGAATTTGAAACGACGGTGTGGTTCATGGTCGTATTTCATCAATTGCAGGGTCTAGTACATGGTTCGAAAGCTGCTGACAAGCGGTTAGTGTGAGATACATACAAGTACGATGAGGCAATAGAAGTCAAGGAAAGAGTACGTACCTATATGTACAGGGATGATCGTGAATGGCTACAGTTCTTCGAAATGCATGTCAAGATTCTACGAGAAACTGCAGATCATTTAATACCCAGCAATGGAGCTAGATGGCAAGGCTGATCTTCCAATGGAGGCTGGACTAATGCAACCGCAAACATGCAGTCCATGTGTCTGATTGGTGCGCAATGTAGTACTGTGGCATCGTTCTATGTAGGTATGCTTACTCCTAAAAATAGACACCGCGGGATAGGACGGATATAACTAGTATGCGCGACCGCGCGGCCGTATGACGAGCCTCAACTATACATACTGGAAATCTATAGCGTAGGTATATTTAGGTTCCGAATGAACTTGCCGACTTACTTTACCTAACTACTTAGCCCACTCCTTTGCTATACAAAAAGTAACGTCTAGTAAACCTATCGAGTACTTCTAAGGTAGCTCTAATAGGTTACAATGCTATAGTTGACAGTCGGTAGATATGTATATAAAATAAAAGTAAAGAGGTACTAGATATTATTGTATTTAAAAAGTACAAAGGTATATATATGTGTGTAAAACAACCTATTGGGGCACGAGAATAAGGAAAATATAATGGCGTAAAAGAACTTATAAAATTATAAGGCCATAAATATATCTAAGGGTAAAGAGTAAGTCGTACTTTCGCGGGTATATTAGCACGTGGGGTGGGCAACTTATTCGGTGCCTATTTTTAGGCAGATGGAATGCCCGGCTGCAGACGCCATGGGCTACACGTCTGCACGCAGCCCAACAAAAGATGGATAGCAGACGTCATTATTCAGTTACACATCGTATGCCTGAGTTGTGGGGGCCGGCGACGGATTCAGCGGATTGAGCGGAAGATGGGGACGGTGATGGAAGGAAGGGATGATGTCAAAGGGCGACGCGGCTCGCGGGAAGGGGGCGCAAATCCGGGGAAAGCGAGCCGGCGCTGCCGGGGCAACCGATTGTTGACATTGACAATTAGAAGTTCCACCAAATGTCTCAAGCTGCACCATCTTCTTTCCACACAACCACCTCAAAAAAAGATGGCCACCTCTTCGTTGTTCGAAGTATACCTACGGCTCCGCCCTGCCGCTGCCGCTGGCGGCGAACGCTTCCTTGACGTCGAAGCGCCCGACCGTGGGTTCCCCAAGCACATCACCATCAGGCCGCCGGAACCAGACCGGCGGAAGCGAGCGGTTGAACGATTCGCCTTTACGAGGGTTTTCGAAGAGCGTGCTGCGCAGATTGAACTTTTCCAGGGCACTGGAGTGTTGCCTCTCATTGACGGCGTGCTCGGCGCAGAGGGTAGGGAAGGCCGCGATGGTCTCCTCGCCACGCTGGGAGTCTCGGGCTCCGGAAAGGTATGTATAAGGATGAGGAGTAAAAATAGACCCGCGAGACTGACAATGATTCCAGAGCCACACTATCCTCGGGTCAAAGACACAACGCGGATTGACACAGATGACACTGGATGTACTTTACCAGAACATCGGTGACCTCCTCGTCGACCCCCTCACCTCCTCCTCTGCCTTCCCATCTATTGCCGCAGCAGATGTCTCAGAAGCTCAGATGTTCCCTGCGTCGTTATATCTGGACACTCTCTACGGTGACAGCGCATCACTGTCGTCGAGGGCGCAAACGCCTGGATTGGTATGCTCACCACAACTCTCTCTTATCAATTGTACATCAGACGACCTCTACCCACAACTACCTTCGCCCACAAAGACAACATCGCCTTCAAAGATACCCTCACCTTCAAAGATACCTTCACCCTCCAAAATATTTTCTTCCGTCAAGCCAGTAGCATCAAGTATCACACGCGTCACACGGAGCACAGCAGCTAAGATCAAATTCTCATATTTAAAGGACGGCAACAATTCGTTCTTTGGCACACGCCAACGCTACACCCCAAACGTAACGGCCCTACCATCCGTCCCCTCGACCGACAACCTTACCCTCGACGTCGACCAAACCTGCGAATACGCCATCGTCGTTTCAATGTACGAGGTGTACAATGACCGTATCTTCGACCTCTTGACCGGCGCCGCCCAGAACCTCAAAGCGAATGCGAACCGCCGCCGAGCGCTGGTGTTCAAGCCGACCGAGCAGTCACCGGACAGGAAGGTTGTGGCAGGATTGAAAAAGATCATTTGCGGAAGCCTTGAGGAAGCGTTAATGGTGTTAGAGACTGGACTTATGGAAAGGAAGGTTACTGGTACAGGCAGCAATGCCGTGAGCTCAAGGAGTCATGGCTTCTTTTGCTTGGAAGTCAAGAAGAGGCACAGAGCCACGAGAGGGCCCTGGGCCAGCAGCACATTAACGATTTGCGATCTTGCCGGTAAGAACGCCCGTATGTTGACAGTACCTGAAACATACTGACCTCTTCCAGGCTCCGAGCGCGCGAGAAACGCGAAAACGGCTGGCGAAACTCTTGCGGAAGCCGGTAAAATCAACGAGAGTTTGATGTACCTGGGGCAATGTATGCAAATGCAGAGTGATAACCAGGAGGGCAACAAGGTTTGTATCTCGTGTCAGCACTTTTGGGCGTATTGGTCGACTGACGCACAACAGCGTAACATTGTCCCCTTCCGGCAATGCAAGCTCACCGAGCTCCTCTTCTCCAACTCCTTTCCCTCACAAAACCAGCATCATCATGGCTCGCACCACCGCAGCCCCCAAAAAGCCATCATGATCGTCACGGCGGACCCCGTCGGCGACTACAATGCCACGTCTCAGATCCTGCGATACAGCGCACTGGCGCGCGAAGTGACAGTGCCACGCATTCATTCCGTCAGCAGCACGATACAGACGGGTCCAACGGCCATGCACAGCCATTCGCAGCGCCCTGGTACGAGCGCTAGTGGACGCGCGACACCCAGTGCGGGCGCAGCGAGCTACATCGCGCGGATGGAAGATGAGCTCGACACCGCGCTGGGCGAGGTAGCGCGGCTGAGTGAGGGACTCGAGGTAGCGCAGGTGCAGCTGCAGGAAGAAGCAGCCCGGCGGCAAGCCGCCGAGGCATCGTGGCGGGCGGCCGAGGCTAATATGCTCGCGCTGGAGCAGGAGCTGCGTGACGAGCTATACGCGGAGTATGAGGCGCGTATTGAGAAGCTGCAGCGGCAGTACAAGGCCAGCTGGGACGAGGAGGCGGACAAGAATGACGAGCGGCTGGACCGCAAGATCGAGCTACTAGCGAGGGGTATCAGCATTTATGAGGATCCGGAGGACAAAGGAGAGGAGGTTGTGAGCGGTGAGGATGGGAGAGTTAGAGCACTCGAGGACGAGAATGCCGCATTGAGGCGGAAGGTTGAGATGCTGGAGCGGGATGCACAGACGAGAAGTCCAACGAAGAAGCAGAGGGTGCTGAAGACGCGGAAGTGGGGCATTGAGAATGACCCTATCTTCCTTGACAGCCCTTAGAGATTGACGGTGTCTTGGAGGAGACCTTTCTTCTCTAACTGTTGGGCTAAGAGAGGAAGGAGGGAGGAGCCTGGCCTTCTTGATTGGTTGGTTGCATTTGCACAGGACTTGGGTCAAAGATTGGGGCGGGATGGTCCGGGATCGGCGTTCGATTGGCTGTCTTAAGGACGGGCAATGGTGTTTTGTTTTGTCTTCATATACCAAATACCCGTCGGTATAATGTTCAGTTACGGTTTCACTTCCAGTTTGCAAGGGTGTCTACGTCTTTTCTAGCTGCCACCTTCTGCCCCAAGTCTGGTCAATTTGCTGTTCAGACCCGACTAGTAGAAGTCTGAACATCCTGTTCATTTTTTTTCTGTCTTCTCACTACATACAACCATGTGGTTGTCAAGATGTAGTATTTCGCACCGAAGTCCCCACATTCCGAGCTAGTTCCAAAACAAAATAGCGGGATCAGCGCCTCGGCGTTCGCAATAAGTTATGCCCGGCCCTTTTTAATGTTCCTCAATCCTCTCCACTTCGTCAACGCCGCCCAAGTCGGCCCACAAGCAGTCCAATTCCTTCCCACCAACGTTCCGGATGACAAAAGAGATATTCCGACGCGGACGAGACTCGAACTCGCAATCTTTGCCAGATTCCTAGGTGTCTTAAGAGTTTTTTAAACATCTTAAATACCGGAAAGCAATGCCTTGCCATTAGGCCACCGCGCCTTTGTTATTGAAGATAATTTACCCAATTGGGATAAGAATGGATGTTTTTTGTTGCCTACAGCTTATCTGCCCGAACGACCACGATACACCCGCTGGAATGTGGAATTGCAGTGCTGCCATGGCCGGTATCCTTGATTCTGAAGGCATAACCAATGGAAGAAGCCGCATTCGGCGAGAAATGCTAATATATTAATTTGGAGAATAGCAGGTACTTTTAATAGTCGGTCCTCTCTTGTATCGATGTCACAAAACTTTGCTTTTATATCTGAAGACTCATGTCCATTCCGCAGCTGGCATGTAAACTGATTACTCAGCTCGTGCTATAAACATCACGTGCTTTAGTAGAGTCGCTGTCAGGTACATTGCTTGCAGTCGGAAGTCAATATAAAATGCAGCCGTCCGAAGTCCGAAATATCCGAAGGCTCCTGCCGCTTCCCCGCCGCCCGCATAAAAATTAGTGGGGGTTTGTATGTTCATCCAAATGCCCACATCATTCCCCGCATTAACTAACCCTTCTAGCACCCCGCCCCGTTCCGTCTTGCCATTGAGCAATCGCGTCATAATATCCTGATAATGGCTACGTACCTTGCATTCTTCCTTGTAAGCTACCTGTTCCAGACAAGAATTAAAGCATCTGCGATTTGCGGTCCCCACACACAGCCGCGGTGACTGACTATTTAAGCTTCGCTCCTTCGTCCTGTTAACAGACCGCATGGTCATCACGATGCGCGACTTAAAATTCCTACTTGTGACCTCCGTAGCCTATGTCACGCAACTGGCCTACTCAAATGTTATTGATCTTTCTGATTCCAGGTGGACTTTGTCAAATCCCTCGTTGAACATCTCAGTCGCTGCCCGGTTACCCTCGCAAGCACATCTTGATCTGTATGCCGCTCAAAAGATAGACGATCCCTACTTTGGCCTCAATGATTTCAACCTACGCTGGGTGGCGGAGACCAATTGGACCTATACGTCGACTCCGCTAAGTTTGTAGGTGAACTTGTTTTTATTTAAAAATGAAGGCGTTGTCCCAAGATATGCTGATGTAGTCAAGCAGAAGCTCTGATACTTCGTACACGTACCTCCTGTTCAATGGGCTCGACACGTTTACTACCATCGAGCTATGTGGAGAACATGTGGCCTCGACAAACAACCAGTTTCGCCAACATTTTTTTGAGATTTCACAAATAGTCAAGCGCTGCCCTGGAGAAATAATCCTCAGTATCAATTTTGGGAGTGCTCCCAATATTGCCAATGAGATCGCTGCACAGCCAAATCAAGAAGAATGGCCGTACGGTGTTGAAATACCATTTGAGTATCCCAACCGCCAGTTCATCCGGAAAGAGCAGAGCGATTTTGGCTGGGACTGGGTACGTGATTTTGACCTTTTTGTATGTATCCTAAGTTTGCTAATTTCAGCCAGGGTCCGGCCTTTGCGCCTGCAGGTCCATGGCAGCCTGCCTATGTGATTGAACTTGGAGCCTCCGCCATACACCTACGCAATTCTCTTGTTGATATTTACCGCCTGGGCCAATTGAACAACTTACCACCAAGCCAAGACCAACCCTGGGTTCTCAATGCCAGCGTGGACTTCCTGGGCCAACTTCCGCAGAATGCAGGCCTCGCTTACCAGCTTCTTGACGCCAACAACAGTACAATCACAGCCGGTCATTTGTCGAACGTGACCGTGGGTGACGGTAGTATTACGGGAAACACCATTGTTCCGAGCGAAAAGGTGGATCTATGGTGGCCAAATGGGCTTGGTCCGCAGGCTCTGTACTATCTGACCATAGCTGTTGTCGGGGCTGACGACCACTTGCTCACTTCGACAAACAAGCGAGTGGGATTCAGGACTATTGTCCTCAACGAAGGCGTAATCACCGAGGAACAGCTCTCTCAAGGGATTGCTCCTGGAAACAACTGGCATTTTGAGATCAACGGCCACGAATTTTATGCCAAAGGATCCAATTTCATCCCACCAGATGCTTTCTGGCCCAGAGTAACAGAGGATCGCATCCGTCAGCTATTTGAATCAGCTACGGATGGCAACCAAAACATGCTCCGTGTCTGGTCTTCAGGAGCGTACTTGCCTGATTTTGCTTACGATATTGCCGATGAGATGGGCCTTCTCCTATGGAGCGAGTTTCAATTTGGGGATGCCCTTTACCCAGTCGAACCAGAGTTCCTTGATAATGTCCGAGAAGAAGCCATATACAATACCCGCCGGGTCAACCATCATCCATCCTTGGCGTTTTGGGCAGGCGGAAACGAAATGGAGAATCTGGAGCTTCCAACGGCCAAGAAAGCGGCTCCTGATGAATACCCCCGATATCTGGCTGAGTATGAAACTCTATTCCTTCGTACGCTACTACCGGCCGTCTTTGAAAACAGCAGAAGCATTTCCTACGCTCCGAGTAGTACCAGCAATGGGTATTTAGTGCTAAACTTCAGCCTACCGATACCCATGATTGAAAGATATGACAACAAAACGCCAGGATCGATATACGGAGAAACCGATTACTATAACTACGATTCTTCTGTTGCCTTTGATTACAGCACGTATCCCGTGGGGAGGTTCTCGAATGAGTTCGGATACCACTCCATGCCTTCACTCCAGACATGGAGACAAGCAATCTCGGCTTCCGACTTGCATTTCAACTCGTCTACCATTATGCTACGGAACCATCATTACCCACCTGGTGGCCTAAACACGTCAAACTACTACAACACTTCGCTAGGAATGGGGGAAATGACACTTGCAGCAGAAAGATGGTACCCTGTGCCACACAAAGAAGATCCCATTGCAAATTTCTCCGCTTGGTGTCATACCACCCAGATTTTCCAGGCAGATTTTTACAAGAGCCAGATTATGTTCTACCGCCGTGGAAGCGGAATGCCAGAACGTCAACTCGGATCCCTGTACTGGCAACTGGAAGATATCTGGCAGGCACCAACTTGGGCTGGCATCGAATACGATGGCCGCTGGAAGGTGTTACACTATGTGGCAAGAGACATCTACCAGCCTGTCATCATTTCACCTTTTTTCAATAGCATGACAGAGTCCCTTGAGGTCTACGTGACTTCCGACTTATGGTCAACTGCTACCGGGACGGCCAACTTTACCTGGTACGATTGGTCCGGAAATCGGCTTAACGTCAGCACGGCTCCTTCTGCTTCTCTTACGGTCGGTCCCTTGAATACCACTCTTGTACTTGGTGCCAATACGAATGAAACCTTGTCCGGATACGATCTTGCGAACGTAATCCTCGTTTGTGAGGTCAGTGTGGACGCCCAGTTGCCCAACAGCAATGTTACGCAAACATTGACTCATCAAAACTGGTTCCATCCAACCTCCCTTGCAGAATCCAAGCTAGTAGACCCAAAACTAACGCTTTCTTACTCCAACACCACAAACAAATTTGTGGTCAAAGCAACAACGGGAGTGGCAGTTTGGGCATGGCTGGACCATCCGGCAGATGTAGTTTTGAGCTTTGACGAGAATGCATTCTTGCTGCTCCCCGGCCAGGCCAAAGAGGTGGGATATAAAATAAGAAGCGGCTCTATCAGTGATGAATGGATTGATAAGGTAACTGTACGGAGTTTGTGGAACAACACAGTTCCCTGAAAACTATAGCCAATACCCTTTTCAGACGAGTTATGGGTATCAATCCATACACAACTAGCTTGCCTTGTTTTATACTTTTGAAAGAGGCATCGACCATACAAAAAGTGAATGCACCCAGTCGTTCATGCCACATACACACTCGCTTCATGGACATTAGAAAACACCTTGCTCTGCAAGTCCTCTGTGGGGAGAGTTGCGGCCAACCATTCAACATAAATAGGCCGATCTTTACTATGTTTCTGTCCGTTAAACCTTATAAACAGCCATCAGTATGGTCCATAACAGTTCATTCCTTCATTTATAAACGAACCTCACCGTTCAGCGAAGCTGGTCAGTCAAAGCCCCAATTGTCCAGCCAAGGAGACCCACGAGACGCGCTTTTAATTAGGCTCTGATTGATCGACTTCGCTGAACGGTGAACTCCGTTTATGGGTGAAAGACATTAACATGCGAACGTGAATTCATTACTTACAAAGCTTAAACCAGATGTCCGCGGGACCAATGATGACTTGTATCTCGGAGTTTATCTTGTGGTAAGGAAAGTCCGGGACAGCCCAAAAATTGTCGTTGAGAATAACCTACCTCATCCTGTTCCCGACGAGACTATCTGGAGAAATGTCTAGACTACGCACTCTGATCAAGAATCACGTCCAGAGCTTTTACGACAGTACTAAAACCAGTGACTGTAATTTCGAGTCGAGAGGGCTTTCAAGTATCGTGGATAATCGACAAACAGTGTCCACGCTCGCAGCTGCAATTGCCAACTCCCAATTTCGGGCCGCAGCACTGCGGTGCCTGATCGCCTCGGTCATCTTCTCGAAGATGGCTCTAGAAAGTGGGCCCAACACCACGTTCGTGTCGTCGGAGGTTGCAAACTGCCTTCGAGTGATAATGGGATCAGGAACGAACCAAGGTATATCTCCATGCTCTTTTGGAACACCTTCTGATCGTTCAGCATTGTACCTATAAGCTCGACCAAGTAAACACTAACACACACCTAGTACAGATGGCTTTCATTAGCAAATGGCGCACTATGGCTTCCACAATGTTGCAGCCTACGTAAGGCCGAGGATCAATCACGAAAGACGACCCACGTGCTCCAAACATTGATAAGGCACTCTCAACACTGGACTCTGTACTGGAACCTTTGGCGGAACGAGGTGTTGACAATGCTCAGCGTCGCCGCAACCTTGAGGAGATTCTTAAGCGTGCTGCTAGCTTTGCCTTTTTGCTATTCTCGCAACTCAGCTTTTGGAAGTTCGAATGGAAAAGCATGCATAACCTGGGCCACAATTGTTAGTGGTTCATCCTGCTTTGGTACAAGTTACCAACAAGAGTGGCCAAAACCTGAACCGTCCAAGAGTCCTCGAAGAAATGGAAGAACGTTCAGTGTGACAGAACTTGACGGCAAACAGACGAGCTCCGGCCCCTGTGTTGTCGGTTGAGTCCATAAGCCTTGGCGGAGATCGCACCAGTTTTCATTGTTGCAACCCGGGCACTATTCTCCTATCATTATTCATAGGATCAAAGCAAAACAGCCACCAATATTACAGGGCCAGTTTCCTGCCGCACCTCATATGCAAAGGCGGATAGAAATCTAAAAAAAAAAAAAAAAAGGGAAACACATCCATTTGAAGTTGGGGTCTTTCAGCCTTGTATTACTTTTTGAGCCGGTTGAATCATTGGATCCCATTGTAGACGTTGGTGGCGTTGAGAACTGGTGTAAATGTATACGGTGATTGGCTCGGGTAGTTGCGGTGATGTTCAGCACCACAAGGGTTATTCTGTGACTGTTATAGTCCAGCCACGTAGATTATGGTTACATGCGTGTTGCTACATGCTGCTGCAGGCAGTAGGCCGCATGTGCTGCCCGCAATAGCACTGTTCTGGGCATGAGGCATCCGAGAAGGCAAACACCAGGAGTAAGTATCAGCTACGAATGGCGCAAACAGGGCAAAAGCTCTAGGTGACCTACATTGCCGTGGCCTCGTGATGATGTATGCAAACTTACTCCATTGCCGTTACTTTTGCATAGACACAGCCAGACTGTTTCTGTATCATCCTATTTTGTAAAGAGTTATTTTTGAGCACAAAGACAACCACACTTTCTTAGAGATCTGTCAAAAGATTTTACAGTCCACAATGATGGAATTGGGCCTTATATGTTCTGCGGCGGATACTTCCATCAACGTGGCCATTCGATTAGCAGAGTTTGCACTTAGGCTCAAGGAGAGCTCTGTCGAGGTTCGCGTTTTTGCGTAGTTGATCAAGCATGTCAAAGACGACGTCGACGAAGCGCTCCGACTCCTGCAGAATACTCCTGTCGTCCAGTACCATCTGGATAAACTTCCAGGCCAGAAGACATGGATAACAGGCATAGTCCGGGACACCATTCTTACTTACGTTAAAGGACATCAGGCAATGTTGAAAATATCCGAATCGATGAAGCCAACGGAGGCAAAACTGGATTAGCCCACCGGTTCGAATGGGTTATTTAAAACAAATCGAAAGTTTCAACCAGAGAAACGCAGTTGAGCGGTTGCCGCAGGAGCCTGTTGACTGCAATTCATACATTGCACGGGATTGAGGCGAGCACTGTTGCGATGCGTGGAAGCGAACTTCCCACGTACGAGGCATGTATTCTCGACTCGCGGTCCATCTAGAAGTGGAAAGATGATGGAGACGAGGTTTTGAAAGCACCTTCAATCCGGAGGGAAGAGAGAAAGACAGAAGATGGATCTGAGTCCAGAGTTGGAACGGCGACAAGAAGCAACATAGTTGTTTAGTAAAAGATCACCTTTAAGCATGTGGCTTGATAACTGACCTTAACGTAGGTATTGGAAGGGAAATAGGAAATGCGGACACTATTTCTGACTTCTCTTATCTTTGGAGGCTTATTGACGACCTAGCGACCGATGAAGAGCCACGAAGGACTCTCATGCCGGGCCCGAGGGGCCCATTCTGACCCCTTCCCGACCGGCATTCCAGAACGACAGTCTCCGATGCGAACACGACCGTTGACGAAGACGAAAAGCTCCATCGAATGCGATGAGATATTGAGTGCAAACACAGGCGATGTGAGTCGAATGGATAGGGAGCCTAGCACCAGTAAATCAGACAATACAATGCATGCAGAGATCAGCAACACAGGAATGGCGTAGATGGGCGAGGCTAAGGTTTAATATAGCTGGCCAAGACCCTGAATAAGCCAAGACTGGAGCGATATAGGATCACGGAGCTATCAAATAGTGTGTTAGAATAAAAGATCCTTGCTCGACGTTGGTGTTAGAGTGTAGGCAAATTTAATTTTGATGTGGGGTCGAGTGTGTCGACAGACGGTTTTGACGGTGGGGGTATGTAGGTATAAGTATTTTAAAATTTGATTGTCAATCAATGCTATCTCAAGTAGCCCAGGGCATGTAGTAAGTTATTCCACATCAAAGAATCCTTCAACATAACACTAACAATCAATCAGGCTCAGTGGTAGAGCGCCCGCTTTGCACTATAACGAATGCGGGAGGTCTAGGGTTCGATCCCCTACCTGTCCAAATCTTTTTTTTTCCTGCTGAATATCTTTTTGCTGGTTGCATGTCGACGTGTCTTTTACTTATAGGAGTGAAAGAAAATGAGGGCGGGTAGGTATATGTAGCGGTGTCCAGGAGCGACGGTTCCGGCCACCTTGAAATGCACTCTATAGAAAAAGAAAATTTACTCAAGTCTCTCTGGCTTCTATATTAAACAGCACTATGTGTCTATGTTCACATAATTCATTTGTGAAAGTATAGCCAGCAGACAGTATTGTGAAGTGTTGAAGTCAATATAGGCTCGCAAGAGACTAGATCTACCAAGGAAGAGATCATCACTGACAATTGTAACCGCTAAATTTAAACACGGCGGGCTCAAAGTGGCAGGCCCATCGACGGCACAATCCTTTGTCCTTACATCTCACTCTGTTTGTTTCTCTATACTACAACGTAGAACAAGATCCATCCTGACTAGTTATGGCAGCATCTCTTCTAGAGTGGCCACTGGACTAGTCCAATGAATCTGAGGATGCTAGGTTCTTTCGGTTTTTGAGAACTAGCTATGAGTACTCCAGTTGAATGCTGTGGCTGTATTCTTTGGACTTTAGGAAACAAACGCATCATAAAAAGTGCTGCGGTGCCACAAGGGAGAGGAAAATAGGCACAACACACCGATGAATACATTGCCGCGTGCTTACTCTATGTAAGTGCTCTGGCACTAAGCAAATGAAATTAAATCAAACGCCGGGTGCTTGTCAGCATGCTCGCCATAAGAGTAATAGAAAAGAGCATTTGCCTGACCGTTGCACCTAACCCAAACACCTTTCCAGCCACCCAATTACGCCGGATCCCATTTAAACCAGATTTAGGGCCAGTACCGCAGCAGCTCTACACCTTCATTAAGTCGTTTCAACGCCAATCAGACGGGTAACAATGACATAACCGAACAGCAGCACGGCACCAATAAGGTACTTGTTGCGGCTCACCCAACCTTGGCCGGCATCACGCGCGACCTGACCGCCTTCGACAACGGCGTTCAATCCCCCGCTGCCTACGGGCCGGCGGCGGAGCGCAGCAGCCTCGGGAGCGCAGAGGTGGCCCGTTTGGTCTTCAAGCTGAGCGTGCTGCTGCTGTCCAGTCACCGGATCGACCTTCTGCTCTTTCATCCAGCGCCAGCTTTCCGCGTCTAGCTCAGGCCATTCCTGACGAAACTTTGCTCCGCCATCGCCTTGCTTGACTGCACCAATACCACTGGCTCTTGGGCGAGAGGAGTTGACAGCGTGCGAGCCTCCGCCAGTGGCGTTCCACCACCGTGACCTTGCGGCAAAGATGCGGCGTTCGGCGTCGGAAGCGCGTACGCTCCCGGTGGTCATCTCCTCGCTCGTCATGAAGCTCATCAAGCCAATCAAAATGGTGCTAACCTCCCAAGCCGGGTTGAAGCTCTTGGGGTGGAAGTCGGAGATGCTGAGGCAAAGGCGTGTCGATGGCTGGAAGCGACCGGAAGGTGTGTGCATGCGGATGGCGGGCGGAGCGAAGGGGTAGTCGGGCGGGAACATGAGCGTGCCCCAGTACTGGCCGCCTTCGTACGGGGTTCCGGGCGGGCCGGTGAGGATGTAGTGCCACTCGAGGATGTTGACTTCGGAGGGGTGGGCAACAATGTAAGGCGGGGGGTTCTGCGAGATGGTCTTGTATTCGCGCGTCAAGCGCTTGGTTGCCTGCGGAGTGGCCATGGCGGGTGGGGGAGGAAGAGAAAGAGAGTGAGAGTGTTTTAGGTGGTGAAAGGCGACAGATGGGGGGGGGATTGACTAGTTAGGCAGCTCCAGTGCCAAGAAAAGGCAACATGGAACAATCTCGACGAACCGCGGGACCGCCAACCAGTTCACCCGCGCACACCTCGCAACCTTCCTCTCCCAATGGCGTCGCATGTCGACGACGATGTAGGCTGCTCCCTTCTCCTCAATGTCCCGCCACCATATCTAATTCACCCAAGGTGTTCGAGCGGCTGAAGCAAAAAGCCGACCCGGCAGAGGCGCACAAGCGGCAGCAGCAGCTCAATGAGCGCATCCTCGCGCAGCATGAAAAGGCCCAGGCCAGACAGGCCGAGCTGGTCGCCAGCAACTTCACGCTGCCCGTCACCATCTCGTCCGTCCGCGTACTCCAGGCCAAGCACACCCGCCATGGATTCCTGCAACGCATCTTCGACCCGATGCTGAGCGTCAACCGTGACCGGCCCTACACCCTTGAGGAAGCCCTTTCTGACCTCTCTGGCGCCGTTGGCAAGCTTGAACGATTCGGTCTGCTCGTCACGCGCTACCCATTACTGCAGCTCCGCCATTGACTTCCACCGCAGACATCTTCAAGTCCCCCATTTCCGTCTTCATCGACAAGCCCGACAAGGCCAACCCTTCGACCGCGCCCACTGATATCGATGTCTACCTTCAAGCTCGCGAGCGTTCCCGCTACACTATCAAAACTGGCACCGAAGCCGGTTCCGCCGAAGGCTCCGCGTATGCGAGCGCCGAGCTGCGCAACCTCTTTGGGGGTGCCGAATCACTCCATGCGCATGCTTCGGCAGGCACGCGCACTCGTTCCGCCTACTCTGCCACCTTCGATACGCCAATCCTCAGCAACCCTGGCCTGCGTTGGGAGATTGGCGGCCTGGCAAGTTCCACGCTAAAGTCGTGGGCCAGCCATGAAGAGGTACTAAAGGGTGGTTCGACGAAGCTGAAATGGTTGACGTCCAGTGGTCACCGGCATGAATTGGCATATTCGGGCCTCTGGCGGCAGATCACGGGATTGGCAGCCAACGCGTCGCCTACGGTGCGGGCAGATGCTGGTGACTCGTTTAAATCAAGCGTGTCTCATACGTACACGCTCGACAGGCGTGACATGCCTCTGCTGCCTTCTCGCGGGTACCTGCTGAAGACCCTGGCCGAGATTGCTGGTGCCGGTCCATTGGGCGGCGATGTCAGCTTTGGAAAGCTCGAACTTGAATCGCAAGCTGCGCTGCCCTTCGCACCACTACCTGGTGTTGCTTTCACCACCAGCTTCCGCGCCGGTATGCTTTACCCGCTTGCGCTGGGAGGCGCCAAGGCCCCTAATTCACGTCTCAATGATCGCTTTCAGCTTGGCGGTCCCACTGATGTCCGCGGTTTCCGTCTTGCCGGCCTTGGGCCTCGCGACGGATCCGATGCCATTGGTGGCGATGTATATGCCGCTGGCAGCGCTAGCCTTATGCTCCCATTGCCGCGGATTGGGGCTGATACTCCTCTGCGATTCCAGGCCTTTGTGAACGCTGGCCGGTTATTGGCTTTGAAGGAGCCACGCGAGAAGACAGAAGGCCATGATGCTGCTGATGTTGCTGAGAGCATGAAGGCAACCCTGCAGGAATTGGGCAATGGCCTGCCGAGCTGCGCAGCCGGCGTGGGTCTTGTTTACGCACACCCAGTTGCACGGTTTGAGGTCAACTTCTCCCTGCCGCTCGTGTTGAGGAAGGGTGAACAGGGTCGGAAGGGTGTACATTTTGGCGTTGGCCTTGAATTCATGTAGAAGTAGAATTTGGCAGGGGCAACCGTCCAGAATAGATACATTCTTATACTTATTAGCTGTACTACTATACGAGACCAATAAAACTAAGCAAAGAATCATATAAAGAAATATAACGATCTAAATAAATACTGTAGAGAATCTATCTGTACTTCCTACCCTACTATGCGCCCCGCTACTGTCTACAGTATAAGATAGTAGCAGCTAAGATAGCTAGTCCAATAGCATAAAAATATAGAAGATTACTAGTACTTCATAAATATAAAAATATATTCAAGGTGGTTTTAAGTGGTATATTAGATATAGTACTTTTTAAAAAATCGGCTATTTACTAATATATATATATATATATTTAAATCTTTTCTACGGCTATTTACTAAGATATAAGTTTTTTTTCGTATATTTTCTAAGATATATATACTATTTCTAAAATATATATGTTTTTATATATCTCGCTTATAAATAAATATACGGCTATTTTCTAAGATATATAACTTTTTCGTATAATTTCTGAGATATATATAGTATTTCTAAGAAATGTATATCGAAAAAGTCTCTAAGATATATATATATATATATATATATATATTATATATTTCGCTTATAAATAAATATATTATAGTATATTATAAAAAGCATGCGTCTCTTAGAAAAATAAATTAAAAATATATCTATCTTAAAAATATATTTGAGAAAATATGTATATCTTAGAAATTATATTAGAAAAAATATATATCTTAGAAATTATTTCGAAAAAACTATGTATCTTAGTAATTTAATTTTTTTTTTAAAAAAAATATATTGCTAAAAAAAAGATAAATATACTCTTAAAAAAACGAATATATTCTAAAAAAAAATGTTAAAATATACTCTTAAAAAATCGAATATATTTCTTAAAACATATATATATTCTTAAAAAAGTTAATATATACTCTTAAAAAAACGAATATATTAAAAAAAACCGAAATATACTTTTAATAAATTCTAAATAAATCTCAAATATATTTAATAAAAAAAAAATCGAAGTATACTATTAATAAATTCCAAATATATTCTAAAAACAAACTAAAATATACTTTTAATTTTTTTTAGGAATATATTTTTTTAAGAATATATTCGATTTATTAAGAATATATTTTTTCGATATTTATTTCTAACTCAGATATACAAATATTTTAAATTATTTTCTAAAATATATATAAATTTTTAAATATATTTCTAAGATATATAATTTTAGTAATAAAATACTATATATATGTAGCGTAAAACTCTAAGGTATATATATTTATATATTAGGAATTTTTCGAAACTCTACTATATAAAAATTAGATAAGTCTAATAATTAAAGCTAACTATAAGTTATTATATATTCTAAATAACCTAAACCTATATTATAACTATTATATTTTTATAAGGGTAGAGTAGTAAATTAAATTTAATATAAGTTTATTTAATTCTATTTAATTTTCCTTAGTTTTTTCTAATATAAACTGGACGAATTAGAGCGGGCTTTAAGAGGTATAAAAAAAGTAAAAATTTAAGCTAAATCTAAGTAATAAATTACTCTAATTTAAATTAGTAGGTATTAAATTTCTATATTTTAAGAAAAAATTAATAATTTATATCTTAGAAATATTATATATATCTTAGAAATTAGATAAAAAAAAATAGTATATCTTGGTAAATAGCCGTAATTTTTATCATTAAATATTATATATATAGCTTAAAACTCTAAGATATATAAATATATATATCTTAGAAATAGTATATATATCTTAGAAATAAAATCGAAAAATACATGTATCTAAGAAATTCAATTAGAAAAATATATATTAAATTAGAATTAAAATTTAAAAATAGTATATCTAAGAAAAAAATATATATATATTTCGCTTCTTTTTAAGATTATATTTTTATAGAAAATTTTTTTTAAGAATATATTTTTTAAGAGTATATTTTACTTTTTCTATGTATTTCGCTTTTCTTTAGGAACATGTTTTTTAAGAATATATTTTTTTTTAATAATATTTTTTTCTAAAAGAAAAGCGAAATATATTCTTTAAAAAAAATATTCTTAAAAATTAATTCTAAAAAAATTAATTCTTAAAAACGCGAAATATACTCCTAAAAAATATTCTTAAAAATATTTATCCCTAGAAAAAAAAGCGAAATAAAATCTTAAAAAAAAGTAAAAAAAATATTCTTAAAATATATATATATTCTCAAAAAAAAAAAAGCGTAATATACTCTTTAAAAAAATATTCTTAAAAAAAAATATATTCTTAAAAAAAAATTAACATATGTTCTTAAGAAAAAGAATATATATATTTTTTTTTTAAAAAAAAAAAATCAAAGATAAATATATTTTCTAATTTAATTTCTAAGACATATATATTTCTTAAATATATTTCTAAGATATACGCTTTTTTTTATAAAATTTCTAAGATATACTTAGTATTTCTAAGATATATATATCGAAAAAGTCTCTCTAAGATATATACTCTAATATATTTATTTATAAGCGAAATATATAAAACAGAGTAAATTATAAAAAATATGTGTATGTTAGAAATATATTTAAGAAATACATATATCTTAGAAATATATTCGAATAAACTATTTATCTTAGTAGTATTTTTTTTAAAGAAAAATATAACTATAAATAATAAATATATTCTTTAAAAATCGAGTATGTTCTTAAAAAATTTAAATATATTCTTAAAAAAAGCAAATATAATCCTAATATATATATATATATATTCTTATAAAAATAATCGAAATATACTCTTAATAAATTCTAAAAAAAAATCTAAAATATATTCTAAGAAAAAATCGAAATATACTCTTAATAGGTTCTAATTTTTTTAAATATACTCTTAAAAAAAACTAAATATATTTTAAAAGAAAACCGAAACATATTTTTAAAAAAATAAATAAATAGAATACCTAAACGCCTAAAAGTAGAACTATATAAAATTAATCTCTTCTTCTTCTTCCTACGACTATAACCTAAATATAAGCTAGGAAAGCGTTATAACTTAGGAGTTAGGCTAGTTCTCTATAGTCGAATTTTACGAAGAATTAGGTAAATTCTCTATAGCCGAATTTTAGAGAAACCTTAAAATTCTTCTAAATTTTCTAAAGAATTTAAATTTTCTTTAGCTATTTTAGAAGAACTCGAACTTTATCTTCTTATTCTCCTAAAATTTAATCTTTAAAGATTAATTCTTTACTAATTAAAAGTTTCCTAGCGTTACCTTTTAGCTAGGCGATTATAGCGACTAGCTACTATTTCTTTTTATAGGCGTTTAGTAGGAGGTCGCCCTAGCTTTCTCCTTCTAATACTATTTTTGTTTAGCTACGTATCGTTAGATACTAGCTAATTAAATAGTACTAGAGAAAGAAATCTTTTAGGATAATAAATTACCCTATAGGAATTAATTTTCTAGCTAAAATTAACTAAGTCTTTAGGATCTAGTTCTAAAGTAGTAGCTAGAGCGTAAGTATATCGATAGGGGAGCTTATATTCTATAAAATCTTTATAGGAATATTCCTTTTTAAGAATATTTATAAGAAATTATAATTTTTCTTAAGAAATAAGCCTAATTTACTTTTCCCTATTAGTAATAGAGATAATCTAGTATCGAGACTATTAAATAAATTAGTATATTTTTATTAAAAAAAAAAAGTAAAAATATACCTTTCTTTTTTAAAATATATATCTTAAATAGATAGCTATTTACTACTAGATTACGGTAAATATAGTATAATACTTTTGAATTACTATATTTTATTTCTATAATCTTCCTCGCTAGTTAATATAGAATAAGGCCTATTTTCTTACCTCCTCTATAGTTAAAAACTTAGTTCTAATTAAAAATAGCTCTATAGTCGATTTTTTAAATAAAAAAAAAGAAAGAAAGGTCCTAGTATTTATATTCTAATATTAGGCGCCTATCTAATTAAACTAAATACTAGACGTCTAGTTCTAAGTTTTAGAATTTTAATTATATTTAAACTATAAAATTAATCGCGTATTTTTAAGTTCTAAAATATAGATCCTAATTAAACTAAGTATTTTTATAAATTTTAAATTTTAAGAATTTAGATAATGATAAAACTAAATATTTTTATAAATTCTAAGTTTTAAGAATCTAAACTTAGTTAAATTAGATAACAATGGTATAATTATAATAAATATAAAAATTTTATTTTAGAATATATTTATTTTTCTAAGATTATAATTTTTTTTAAGATTATAATATTTTTTTTAAGAATATTTTTTTAAGAATATATTCGATTCTTTTTAAGAGTATATTCGGTTTTTTAGAGAATATATTTAGTTTTTTTTAAGAGTATATTCGATTTTTCTTTTTAAGAATATATTTAATTTTTTCTAAGAGTGTATTTATTATTTATAGTAATATATATATTTTTTAAAAATAAATACTACTAGGATATATATACTTTTAAATATATCTCTAAGACATATAGTTCTAGTAATAAAAATAGTATGTATATCTAGCGCAAAACTCTAAGATAAATATATTTATATATCTTAGAAATACTATATATATCTTAGAAATTATGCGAAAAAAATATATATCTCAGTAAATAGCCGTTTTTTGAAATAAAATACTACATATATTACGAAAAGTTCTAAGATATATATATCTTAGAAAATACTCGAAAAATATATATCTCTTACTAAATAGCCGATAAATAAATATATTCGTAGAAAAACGAATATATTCTTAAAAAACGAATATACTCTTAAAAAAGATTAAATATATTTATTCTAAAAAAAAAGAAATATACTTATAAAACCGAATATATTCTTTAAAAAATAGCTATTTACTAAGATATATAATTTTTTTCGTATAATTTCTAAGATATATAAATATATTCATCTTAGAGTTTTGCGCTATATATATATACTATTTTTATTACTAGAACTATATATCTTAGAAACATATTTTTAAAAATTATATATCTTAGAAATTAGTTCGAAAAAACGTATATCTTAGAAATATTTTTTAGAAAATTATATATCCTAGAAATGTTATTTTTAGAAAAGATATTCTTAATAAATTAGTATATTCTTTAAAACAAATAGTCTTAAAAATTAAGTATATTCTTAAAAAATAAATATATATATTCCTAAAAAAAAAAAAACTACAAAAAACTAAAAATTAATTTAAAAAAAATCGAATATATTATTAAGAATATACTCTTAAATAAATAAATTCTTAAATAAATATACTCTTAAAAAACGAATATAATCTTAAAATATTAAATATAACTCTAAAAGAAGTAAATATATTCTTAAAAAAATATTTTAAATTTAAAAAAATTATATACATTAGTATTTCGCTATTATTATCTAGTTTAATTAATTTTTAGTTTTTAAAACTTATAACTATACGTAAATACTTAGTTTAATTAGAACCTGTATTCTAGAACTTAAAATTAAAATTCTAAAACTTAAAACTAGATACCTAATATTAGTTTACTTAGCTATTTACTAAGATATATATATTTTTATATATATCTTAGTAAATAGCCGTATTATATATATACTTAAAAAATACTCTAAATATATTATTAGAAAAAGCTAATTATATTTTAGAAAAATACTTAAAAGTATACTTAGCTATAATAGTATATATATACTATTTCTAAAATAAGTATATTTAAAAGTTTTTCTACTAATATTTATTTAGTTTTAGTTATTTATATTTATTATAGTATACTATAGATTCTATATTTTAAAAGTTAAATTATATATATATATATATAGTAAATAGCAATAATTTTTAACTATTTTATTAGTATATATCTAATAATTTACTTTAACTATTATAATTAAATTTACTAGTTAAACTTATAGTTTTATTAAAATACTATATTATAAAAATTAGTATTAATAAAATCTATTTAGTTTATTATTTTATTTTATTTTTACTTTTATTTAAAGAACTTTAATTTAGATTACTTACTTTAATTTTTAACTAAAAATATTATAATATTTACTATCTATAGTAACTACTATATTTATTTTAAAATTACTTTATAGTTATTAGGATATATATATATAAGTATAATCTAGTAGTAAAGCTAGTTAATTTATATAAAAATTAATTTAAAACTATAATATTTTTAATATTCTAGATATATAAACGAGTTTAATTTATTAGTAAATATATTAATTAAAATAAATTTTTATATAGTAGATAAAGTTTTATTAATATTAAAATATATATATATATATATCTACTAAATTACTACCTCTAGAATATCTTACTAATTAGTATACTTACTAATAGATTAAGCTTATTTATATATCTAGAATATTAATTAAAATAGTTTTAATATAACTATATTTAATTTTACTAAGTTAAATTTATTTATAAATATAATTTTATAGAGAATTTTAATAAATACTAGTTATAGTCTTTTAAAAGTTATTTTAATAAATAATTATATTATATTATTTTTTAGTAGAAATATACTACTATAGAGTTTTATTATACTAGGCTCTAATAGTATATATAATTATTTATTATAGCTTTAAAATTTTACTTATTAAATAGCTAGTTAGTGTAATAGTAGTATATATCTCTTTTATTATTAATAAAGTCTATAAGAATAAGATTATAAATTTAAATTCTATTTTAGTTACTTTATTTTTTTTTTATTTTTTTTTTATTTTTTTTTTATTTTTTTATTTTCTTTTTTTTTTTTAAAGTAATAGCTAAGAACCTTTATTATAAGGCTTAACAGACTTATATTTTTATCTATCTTTAAAAAATTAGAGAGAAAGCAATAAAAGGGCTTACTACTAGTATAACTAGCATCTGTACGCATCGTATTGAGCTACCAAACCTATATATAGTTATTCCACGTCGGTGTCCCCAACAAGGTGCTTAAAATCTCCAAGAATAGTATTCCAGCTATCCTGCATCTTCCGCGCCCACTGCTGCACCTTCTCTGCACCTTGCAAGTCTTCCCTCATCCTCTCCGCGTTCGTCGTCCCATTGAGCACCACAACATCCAGTGCCGTGACTAGAGAATACAACGCAACAGCTTTGCTCACGCCTGCAAATTGCGCTAGCATCACGACCGGAGTCGATTGTAAAAGTCCAGGATTTCCCGTCAGGGTCCAAAAGCTTTCGTACACAATGTCCTTTTCCCGGCAGAAACGCCTTAGCGGCACGTCGTACGCTGTGGCTAGATAAAACCGATTTTGCACAACCGAAGGCTTGATTGTCGACCCATTGTAGAGCGCCTTGAGCACTGGCAATGTTACGTTTGAGATACCAAGGTAACGGATGCTGTGGGGGACATATGATTCCAAAACCTTCCATGCCTCCATAGTGGCGCGTGTTGTCTGAAGTGGTGAATGGAGCAGCAAGCAGTCGATGTAGGAGGAATCCATGCTACTGAGATCGTCGGTCGGACGGAGATTATGCAGCGACGACTTGACTGAGGTATGGAGCTGTGTTTCGAGGGGGGCTTCGGCGGAGTACGGCATATTGTTTAGGTCTTGCCCAGCCGGGGACGTAAATTTCGTTTGGACCTTGAAAGTGTCACTAGACCCAGTATACAATTAACAGGAAAGGATCTAGAATCTACGCGCATACGTATAGTTGCTCTCTCTTCATGTTATTTGAAACCAGGCTCTCTCTCATTCCGGTGCCGACAAGGTCTTCGCGGTAGTGTCGAGGTTGGGCAGCTGTATCAATGGCTACAAAACCAGCGGACAAAGCTTGACTGACGAGCTTTGTCGTCGCATCTTTTTTCCAGGCAGTCCCGTATATGAATGGGGAATTGCCAATTGCCTGCCTAACGGCATTGCTGTGTGTTGGAGGCATTGCGGCGAGACGCTAGAAAACCCCGATGATGAGAAGTGGTTGTTGACGTCCAAGCAAAGCGATGTGCGGAGGTCATTGCTCGCGCGCACGAGCCTTGAGGCAGCCCTGGCAGCTACTTTGTAGATCCAGATGCACGGGCAAAGAAAATGCACACTGCCATCCAACAAACAGAATAAACACCAACAGACTGGAAAGCTTCGGCAGCCGTGACTTATTTTTTATTTTGTTGTGTCCACCCCCCTCTTCCTCAAAGGCCTAGATAAATGGCAAGGTGACTACAGCCAACTTATATCCTCTCTCCCTCAAGAATAGGCCGTGCTTCACCACTCCTCCACCAGCTGACATCATCCTTGCCAGGGAACTCATACTTATTCATGCTGTCCGCCTTCATCTCGACACTGTATCCGGGCTCCACTGGCGTGACGTAGTAACCCTCCTTAACAGAACTCGGATGCAGGAAATGCTCGTGTAGGTGGTCCACGTACTCCAGAACGCTCAGTTTACCACTCACGACGACATAGTCAATGGTACTGAGATGCTGAGTGTATTCAGGTAACCCAACGCCCCCTGAATGAGGCACAATTGGAACGTTGAACTTCTTCGCCATCAGCAGCACCGCCAAGACTTCGTTCACACCACCCATGCGGCATGCATCAATCTGGCAAATATCGATGGCGCCTTGTTGGAGCAGTTGTTTGAAAATGACGCGATTCTGGCACATCTCGCCAGTCGCAACGCCAATTCCGAGAGGCTTGAGCGCTTCGCGGATTGCTTTGTGACCGAAGACGTCGTCTGGAGAAGTTGGCTCTTCAATGAACCAGGGCTTGAATTCTGCCAGCTGCTTCATATATGAGATAGCTTCTGGCACGGACCAAACCTGGTTGGCGTCGACCATGAGGATATTGCCACGGTCATAGCCGATGACCGAGCGGGCGATAGAGAGGCGAGTCCGATCCTCCTCCACAGACGACCCAACCTTGAGCTTGAAGTGTTTGTAACCGTTCTTGAGCGTCTCTTCTAACAACCCCTTCATCTTTTCCTGCCCGTAACCGAGCCAGCCCGCACTGGTTGTGTAGGCAGGTACAGCTCGATTGGTTTCGGCATCCTTGATCCTGTCCGCTTTGCCCTGTTCCGACTCTTTGAGGATTTTGATGGCTTCTTCGGGAGTGATGGCGTCAGTGATGTAGCGGAAATCGATGCATCTGACAAACTCCTCGGGAGACATTTCGGCGACAATGCGCCAGACGGGCTTCTGGAGCACTTTGGCCCACAAATCCCATATCGCGTTGACTACTGCTCCAAGCGCAAGGTGTATGACACCCTTTTCAGGACCAATCCAACGGAGCTGGCTGTCAGAGACCAAGTATCTCCAGGTTTTGCCCCAGTCGGCAACCAGAGAATCTAGAGATTTATTCTGCACACGCAGGGCAAGCTGACTTATGGCCTGGCACACTATTTCATTGCCACGACCAATCGTAAATGTCTGGGATGGATTAAAACGAGGTCAGCAATGAGAAGGCATGGATCGGCGTACCATGCCATGGCCGGAGTGAGAGCCGTCGGTATGCAGGATGCAGTATGCAGCGGAGTAATCGCCGGCTGCATTCATGGCATCGGAGCCAGTCTTATCCAGAGAGGTCTGGTCCAGTCAGTGAGGGTTTAGGGCACAGTACAATGGGTACGTCTTTGCTCACAGGGAAGCGGACATCGCGCGTCTCACAGTGAGTGATGGTGACCATGATTGCGGCTTGGTAGAGGGTAGGTTGGTAGGGTGCTCTGGCGAAAGACCAGAGCGCAATGGCTGCTCATATATAAGAGCATCACGGACGCGATGCTCGGAGGAACGATGTGCCCCCGCAATGCCCTTCCATGCCCCTCGTTGTCCCTTGGCGGGGCTGATAGGTGGATAAACTTGGCGTGGGGTTGCCGACGGTCGGCTATTGTCCAGGCTATTGGCGCTGTCGGCTTTCGATGGAAAAGGCCTCACCTATCGAGCCGCCGTCAGTAGCAAAGTGCCCGTGAGATGCCGTAGTTTCCCCTTCGGAAAGTGGGAGCGATTGGAGCTTGCGGATGCATCGTGGTGTTGTCAAGGCGTAAAGTGCAATAGGGTTTCGCAGGTGTCGCGCGTCGGTCCTGCAACCAACGGACGACCTCACACGCCGCCACCCTTCACCGTCTACCCTTCATCACACACCACACACGGCGGGCCCCTCTCTTCTCCGTCGCACAAAGCAGACAGGAACATTCCCGCCGCAGTCCCACCTCGCAGCCCACATCCGCCGCCCATGTCTGACGGTTCGAGCACGCTCAACATCCCGCAGCTACTCGTCCTCGCAGTCGTCAGCTTCCTGGTCTTTCGCTGGTATAACTCCAGCTCTTCAAGCCCCGCTAGGGCCTCCGCCAGCCGCAATGCAGGCCCCCGTGTGAATCCAGCTGCCGTGGAGCAGATAGTGCAGATGTTTCCACAGTTGGACCGGAGGCATATCGCCTGGGATCTACAGAGGAACGGCTCGAACGTGGCTGGCACTACAGAAAGGATCTTGAGTGGGAGGGGTTTGGAAGTGGTGAGTTTGAATCCTCGACTTGTCTGCCCACCACTGTGGAATGTGTACTCTGGCTAACTTACATCCTCAGCCCCCTCCGTCATTCCAACCCCAGCTGCCGCAGATCTCCCCACGACCAACCACTACAAACTCAACACCCGCGAAACCCACGCATCCAGATTTGATCACAAGATACAACCTCTCCTCCAAAATCAATTCTTCAAGCACTGAAACCCCGCAAACCGGCGGAGATGCTACACAGAAAACGACCTGGTCACAGAACAAGAATGAGCGGCAACAAATACTGCAGCGTCGTCGCGAGGAAATGATTCTGGCGGCGAGGAGGAAAATGGAAGAGAAAGACAAAGCGAAAGCAGCATCGACGTCATAGATCTGCAGTTTCTTCTGAATACAGGAACACGAACAGCTGTACAAATGCACGACAAGCTCGCCGAACCAATTGCCTAGTGTTCTCTGTGGACATTGTTGTCTGTTCTATAGCCGTTATATCCAACGTAAACCGAAGACGGCATCCGTTTGCTCTTTCAGATGCTGTGAGTCGGATTTATACCAACCCGGTGCTCGAATAAATCCAACAGTGGCAAAAACAACTTTCGTGTGCTACTGCGGCCTTCTTTCAAAGCGTTCTTATGAGTCTCTGCCCAAGAGCTTAATTCCTCCCATGTGATCCATTGCCAAGACTCACATTTCTCTGGTTCTAGGAGCTAGTCGAACGTGAATCATAAAAGACTTGGTAAACCCAACTGTTCAAAAGCAGGGAAAACATACCTCAGGTTCCGTCTTGTCTCCATGAATTTTTGCGGTCATGAAAATCGTCACGTAGTGTGCGTCGTCGCCCCGCATGATGTTGTTGGTGGCTGTCAGGAACTTTACAACCGTGGTTGACAGTCCCGTCTACAAGGTACGTATGGAAGGTTAGCTTTGTGTTATCATATACATAGCTATAGGTGACATACCTCTTCGAGCGTTTCCCGGGCTGCACAGGTTTCGAAGGTTTCACCATATTCAAGATGACCACCTGGTAATGCCCATGTACCTGTACGGGAGTAAGACTAAACACGCAGTGCAATATGCTGGCTTTGATGTTGTTAACATACCTGCTCCATGAGCGCCTTTACGCTGACCAATTACGAATTGACCACGATCATTAAAAACAAAGACGCCCACTCCCACTTTGGGCTCCTTGATCAAGGCAGATGCCATAATACCAGATGAAGAGATTGGGGTTGTTCCGGAGCAGACAATTACCGCAAGGTCGAAGAGAGCCGCAGATGTACAGAATAGTATTTGTTAGGTAGGCGAATGAACATTAACAATTCTACCGCCTACCGCGTAAGCGTAGCGCATCCTTATATAATCTACTTGGTATTTGTTTGGAAGGTAGATAAACAGTTGACATTATATACTCATAAAATATAAACAAGTCTTTAAGAGCAGCGTCTTTACAGCGTACCATAGAGTAAGTATATACGTACGGGAAATCTTAATATATTGCCGCTGTTGGTCATCCACCATAGACGAGCTGATTTCTTTTTTTTTCTTTTCTTTTTTTTTTAAAAAAAAAAAGAAGAAAATTAAAAAGCAAAAGAAACGACCAGCACGGGACTCGAACCCGCAACCTTGCCCTTAAAGACTTTTTAGGTACTAGGAGGGGCACGCGCTACCATTGCGCCAACCAGCCATTTGATAAAGGAATTTTTGAGACTGCAATAAATATTTACAAATGTTACTGAAGCCTAGCAAGATAAGATACCATGGCGTTGCGATCTTGTCGTACTCCTACTGTGTTCCTCCCAAGACTCCAGGCCGCCACCTCACGCATGTCGGATCGCATCCCAATCTAGTCGCCATGCCCTTTTCTCACCACAGCCATTCTGGGCAATTTTGTGCTCATGCCAAAGGTTCGTTAGAGGACATGATCAAGACAGCAATAGCCAAAAACTTCGAGACGTTCGCTTTGACGGAACATATGCCGCGCGATGGAGAGGATTTGTACCCCGAAGAAGTGCGTAAGCTCTTGATAGTGACTGACGGAAATGCGCCCAGCTAAACGTATATGTAGACAACGACGGCGGATGGACTTAGCAAGTTATTCGATGATTATTACCACGAAGCGCTCCGCTTGCGAAAAACCTACGGCTCTCAAATCAAAATCTTGATTGGGATGGAAATTGAATGGATACGCCCCTCCTCTTTGGACCGTGTTCTGAGCTTGCAACGGCAATACCGGCTTGACACGTTCATTGGCTCCGTACATCATATGCACACGGTACCGATCGACTTTGACAGGCCGATGTACGAAGAAGCACGGAGGAGGTCGGGAGGCACAGACGTACAACTCTTTGAGAGCTACTTTGACGAGCAGTACCGCATGCTCCAGGCACTGAGGCCACCCATTGTTGGTCACTTCGATCTCATACGCTTGCTCAGCGACGAGCCGGACCGGTCATTGAGAGACTGTGAAACCGTGTGGCCCAAGGTACAACGGAACTTGGAGTACATCGCTGGTTATGGCGGGCTTCTGGAGCTAAACACGTCAGGATTCCGCAAGGGCATGAAGGAGCCATATCCAACGTCTGAGATATGCGAGGTAGGTGCAAGTTAGGACGACTTTGTTGTGGTGAAGCTTCGTCTGATGCAACTCAGTCCTTCCTCCGACTCGGCGGACGCTTCACTCTATCTGACGACAGCCATACCGTTGAGCACGTTGCAACGAATTACCATCGTTTGCCAGAATTTTTGGCGCGTGTCGGCATCCGGGATATCCACTACCTTGCTCAGGGTCGAGAAGGCCCAGACCCTCGCTTCCCCGACATCTACGTCTCAAGCATCAGCCACGACATGCTTTCCGCACACGCATCTGCCTCGCGGTAGGGGCCCGGGGAACAGCCCAACGTGGCCAGGTGGAGGTCCTGGCCATTGGGCCTGGCCGAAACCGCGCAACAGGTAAAAGTCCATGCTGCCCGCTGGAGCGAATGATTGCAGGTTCATGGTTTATACTGGGGCCCAACCCCAGACGACTCTGCGTGACAATGTGCGGCTTGTGGCAACGATGCACGGCAGGGCCCGCAGCGCAGCCACGCGAACGGTAGTGGTAGTGTTGCCGGCACAATTGCGCAGGCGATTGGACGGGGCCGGCGTCAATAGCGAGATCCGTACCGATGTGTTGGGCACCCGAGAGCGGGGTGCTTAGCTGGTCAGCTCTCGACGTGTGACATGTGCCGCGAGCTTGCGTTAGCCTCGATCAACAGATAACGGGCGTGAGTTGTCGTGGGATATAGTTGGAGGCGTCTATAATGGCGGTGACATGATGCAGCCAGGCAGGGTCTTGCCGGGTGGTCGATCGCTCTGTAGATCCAATTCGCCGAGCAGCCGGGACGCTCTCGCGATCTTTGTATAGAGTCTCGAATGGCCGTCGGTACGCATGTGCCAAGGGTTTAATCTTCGTCAATCGCGCTTCGCAGCAAAAGCAGATGCGAAGGAAGGCGTGCTGTGGGATGGATGCAACGAATGCCCGCGCGTGGGCTTGAGCTCCTCCGCCCACGGCCTTCTGACGTCTCCCATCCCATAAAAAGCTCCCTCTCCGCCCTGCTCCTGCTCCACCACATCTGCCATCTGCATCCCGCCGCCACCGCGTTCCTGCAACCCCACCATCTCTCCGAATCGTGCACAGCTGCCGCAATGGGTGTCGAAAAGAAGGTCATCAACCCCGGCAACGGCGTCGACTTGCCCCAGAAGGGTGACGACGTCACCATGGAGTACACGGGGTACCTCTACGACAGTGCCCAGGCCGCCAACGACTTCAAGGGCAAGAAGTGAGTGCGAGCCGGAGACGCCATGCGCACAACGCCCACGGCTAATCTGCGTGTCGCTACAGGTTTGACTCTTCCGTCGGACGTGGTGACTTTGTCACCAAGATTGGCCAGGGTCGCGTCATCAAAGGTTGGTTGGACACGCACAGCGCCAATTATCCGTGTTGATGAAAATCTCCGTGTTGCAGGCTGGGATGAGGGCATTCTGGGAACCTCAAGCCAGGAGGGCATGTCGTTAGGCGAGAAGGCCACTCTGACCATCTCGAGGTACGTACTCTACACAAGCAATCCCAACCACTACGGCTATGGTTGGCTGACACAAAGGCACGCAGTGACTTCGGATACGGTAGCCGGTAAGTGACTCGGGCTTTTTAGCACATCCTGCGCGTGCACTTTTTCTTGTTCGCCGCGGCGCACGGGACAGCGCTGACAGGCTATTCTAACTAGTGGTTTTCCCGGTCATATTCCTCCCAACGCGAGCTTGGTGTTGTAAGTGCTTCCTCCCTGTTCACTTACAAACGTTACTCTGAATCCTGTTCCCTTACTTTCACGTTTCCGTTGTCACCTATTCTCTTCTCTTTTTATTGTTCAGTTGCATCAACTCATGACAATTGCGCTGTACCGGTCGACTGATATGTTGGTAGTGACGTCGAGCTTAAGGCCATCAACGGAAAGACCGCTTAAGCAACTCGCAATCCATCAAACAGCCTAAAACCCGGGGAAAATCTGGCATGTTATTGTGTGATAATTACGTGGCACCAACTCTGGAGATTCCTGTCCACTGTGGGGCTGTCTGTATTAAAAGTCAACTCGTTTGCTACACTCCCTTAGAAATCACATTTGGTGTCTGCAAAATGCGGACATTTATCAGCTTGTCAGTATCACCAGGTTCCGTGCTTTCCCCTTCGACAATGGACTGCATCGATGGGCATGCGCTTCGAGTCCGAGAACGTCATGGTGATCAGCAAAGGCAAGGACTCTCGTTGCACTTGATGCACTTGTGATCTAGCTAGAGCGCGAAAGCTGAGCAGCTGCGAGCCGCAAGTAACAAGATAGGTGTCCAAACTGGTACACTTTTGTGACAAGGCTGTGGCCTTCTCATCCCTTTTAGTAGTGATACTTGGAGCATCTTACCATCATCAGGCCCCAGAACCGAGCTGTCTCACCCACGGGCCAGAGCACGACAGTAGACCGGCATGAACAGAGCTTATTTTGTTAGTCTGGTCATTAGTGAGCAGAGCAGGGTAATTGCGAAGCATCCGCACGTTCGTCCGATCAGGAATGACTTGGTCATTCTCCCGAACGCCCTATCGGATCGCACCTCGTTCGGGGCTTATGCGACGCATTGTGCACGACGAATACGCTGCAGCTACGGAAAACACTACTTGCGCATGGATGGCTATCCTCCTGTTTGGTAAGCTGTCATCAATGGGGGCTATGTCTTCCGAAACCCCGACGTGGACTGCTGAAGGCTTGCTGCACAAGCATAGCGTAAGAAAAGCAAATCATAAGCTTGAATCTAAAATAACAGAGTAACTCACATGTCAGCCATGGATCGAAAAGCAAAGAGCTTCTGCCAGACTGAAAGGCTAATGTGCCACATTCAGGCCCTATCAGCCCTGCAAGGCGGTCACATGCACCAGTAGGTGACTTGAGCGAGGAAGCATATCTCGCCAGTAAGTCTGCAGATCGTTCGATACTCCACATACGCGGTTGCACAGCTTGTACCACAACAGGCGATGGTCAAAACGGCATGAAGGACAGCAACCATACAGTTAAAGAACATGTTGCAAACCCAAGCCATCCACCGAGCACATGGTTGCGACAAAAATAACTACAGATGGTTCAACTAGGCTTGGCAACCGAATAAAGAAGCCTCCGTCAAGCTCGAGCAAAAGGATTGCAACGACTGCACCTGAAAGGTCTGGCATGAGCCCGGCATACAACCTGTGATCGAGCTGTCCATAGCAAGCTGCGATAGAAGTTGTATTCCCCAACACCCTCGCACTGTGCAGGCCGACTCATACGCTGACGCTAAAAGAAAACATGTCTCATTCGTTTCTCTCGTACATCTCTTGCCAACCTTTCCCCAAGGCTTCGGTGGCTTTGTGGTCACTCCAGTACCACAAATTTTTTGCCAAATCCTTGTCTTTGGCTAGCGGGCTCACCTTTTCTTCCGCTCCAATGGGAACAAAATATTCGCCTTGAATATCGTCGGACGCCACTTCGGCGTTGGTGGCCAGAAACATGGCGGTCGCAACAGCATCTTCGGGAGTCTGTACGGTGAGACGGGACGTTCCCTTGAAAACCGCATCGGCCAGGTCGCCGGGCAAGTCTTTGCAGGCATCTACGGCGTCCGTGGGGAAGTTGCCGGGGAAAAAGCAATTCACGTGAACATTTGCCACGCCTTTATTTTGCATCAGTCGCGCTAGCTGCTTAGTGAAGAGGAGGCTGGCCAGTTTGCTGCGGCCATACCTCCAGCAACCGTCATAAGCAGCGGGCGACTTGATGGGATCGGGAGAGGTGACGTGCGAAAAATTCAGTTCCTGACAAACCAAATGCAAGGATGATGACGTTGTCACAATACGAGCGTCTCCATGTTCAGAGGCGGTCTGCTCCACAATGGGCAGAAGGAGGTTGGTGAGGACAAAGTGGCCCAGATGATTCACGGCAAAGAGGGTCTCGACGCCTTGAGGGGATAAGGTGCAGTCCGGCACGGCGGGCTGGGCGGCTGGGTATTGTTAGCGCAGGCGCAGCGCAAAGGTCAGATGGCGTACCGTTGAGCATGAGAATGTCCAGTCGGGAGAGGTGGTCCAGCAAGGATTGGGCGGCTTGCTTGACGCTGTCCAGGTCGCTCAGATCGCAGCGGAGGAAGCGCGTGCGCTGTTTCAGGGCATCGTCTGGCAGGCCGAGTGCGCGCGTCCACTCGAGCTTGGCGTCAGTGAACTTGTCCTCGGATCTGGCGACGACGTAGAGGCAGTCGATTTTGCAGCGGAGCAGCTGGGCAGCACACGCACGCCCCAGGCCGGCCGAGGCGCCGGTGACGACGGCGGTCTTGCCGGACAGGTCGGGCAGGTGGGCGAGGGAAAAGTGGCGGGCAGACATTGTTTGGTGTGGGTAAAGTGTCTAGACTGCGGTGACATCAGTCCAGAGCACCACACCGATTCACGTGTGGGCGGCGGCCACGCCATCACGGCGACGCAGGCGGCCAACCGCGCAAAGGGTCTGCGAGGTGACGGAAAACTCTGCCATGCAGCGTGGGCGCCGTCGCGGGAGGCGGGATGCAGCCACAGGGTAACAGGGCAGAACGAGAACTCCGGATTTGCTTGGGGGCATCACGTGCGGTGCCTGTCGATCGCGCGCGCGCGACGGCGGAGAGCCGTTGGCCCAGTCTTCCAGAGCAGGACCGAGGCCGCGCAGCCACTTCCCAAAGCGCCGCCCGACACGAAATTGGCCCGCCATGGCTCCGACCACTCTTGCCAGGCCCCCCCCGATCCCACAGGTACGCTTAGCCACCCATTGGCCGTCCACCCCTGCCGGCCACGATGCTCGCGGGCAGCAATTTGCGTGCACCCGCTAGTCGTCGCCGTCGTTCTTGGTACCCCTAACCTAGGTAGCGCTTTTTTCCTTACGCTTTCTTATAAACCGCTCGCCCGCTGCCTCCCCTGCTCCCTCTGCACCTTACCGTCTCTACATCACCGTCGTCGTTTGCTTCCAAGCTGGGTCTTGTCCACACTCTTTTTGGCTACCCCAAGCTCACGTTCCTTCGAACTTCGATCCGATCCCGATCCCACTGGACCCACCTGACTTTCTCTCTACTCTCAAGGATCCCATCTTCTCCTTCCAATATGCAGTCCATCACCTTTGCCGCCGCCATTCTGGCTGCTCTTCCCCTAGCCTCGGCCGGTAAGGCCACTGTCATCAACAACTGTGACAGCGGCGTCAACCTTTGGACTGCCGATACCTCGCGTGGCCAGAAGGGCCCCCACTCCGTGAGCGCGGGTGGCAAGTGGTCCGAGGAGTACTACATGGTCGGTGACGGCGATGCCTCCAACGGCGGCGTCTCCATCAAGTTGACCACCGGCAACGACTGCGAGGGCTCCATCACCCAGTTCGAGTACACTTACAGCGCCTCTGGCAGCCCCAACCTCTGGTACGACATCTCCAATGTCAACTGCAAGGGCGATGCCTGCCCTTTCTACTCGGGCGGCTTCCTGCTCGATGGCCCCACGCCTGTCGATTGTGGCCCTCTGACCCTTGTCTGCGACAAGGTCTACAACCTCTGGAACGACGACCTGGCCACTCACGGTATGACTTCCGATGAGGATCTGGTCCTCTACCTGTGCGGCAAGGACGGCGGCTCCGCTGGATCCTCCGCTTCCCAGTCTGTGGCTTCCTCGTCCGTCGCCGTCTCCACCCCTACCTCGGCCGCCGCCACGACTCCCGCTACCTCGACTTACGTCTCGCCCTCCACAATGATCACCGCGACTCCCTCTTCCCCCGCGGCCGACGTCGCCGTGGCCAACGTGGTGAGCACCGAGGAGGACGGCGAGGTTGTCACTGAGGTCGTTACCGAGTACGCCACCGAGTATGCCACCGCCGTCGTCACCCAGTGGGCCAAGCGCTCTCCCGAGCCCCACGTCCACAGGCGTGCCCACCAGCACAACCACCCGCACTGGCGCAAGTAGAGTGCGACACTCGCCTGCTTTGTTTTATTTTCAATCGACAGCGTCCATTTCTATTCCCTTGCATTTGCCAGAACTGCAAACAGTGGCATGTCTTAGCGACGCCAGGTGTTTCGGCGCACGCCCGGCAAGATACCACGCGCGTGTTATATTTGGGTTCGATGGGAATTATCAGCTTCAACTTCAACTTCTTGTCCCGGACCTCACGCTCGGCGTCGCCTTGGATCGCCGGGTTGGCCGGACCCTTCATATTGTGTCAATAGAGGCCTTTTGTTGGTTAGAGTGCTTGAGGAGCAAAGGGACGCCAATACTACCATCTTCGACTCACGATGACATGACTTTTTTCTTTTTCTTTCTCGCTTCTCTGAAACATATACCTTTTATATAGCGCACCGGGGTCGTTTATGATGCGCTGAGCTTGGAGCATTGTTCCGTAGTCAACCAATACTACTTCTTTCGCTACACATGATCGACGGCGTGCCCGACGCTTTGTCCGCCCATGCGAGGTCTGCACATCTGCACATATATTTAAATTTGCAAAACGCGCGTGCAATGCATGCGGGCCTGATCGCCATGTGTCCCGTTGCGCGGGGTATGGTGCTTGCATTAAGCATATATCTCGTACGACCTGGCCGATGCCACGGCCGCGGCCGTGGATGCAGGCGGGGAATGCTTTCTCCAGGCGATCTACTCCCACCCCGGCTGCTCGACTGCAAAATCGTCGCGACGGCCGAGGAGATGAACTTGGTCCGCGTAGCATGATGCCAGGTTGCGGGCCGTCCATGCACATGCGACGATCCTGACGGACTGGGTCGAGCCGGGGCTCTGAAAGGAGATCGTTTTCTCCTTTTGCTAGAAACATAGTCGCCCGGTCCACCCCTCATCTCCGCAGCTCGTGCGCCTTCGTTTGCGCCCTTGCAGACTCGATAGCCCGCCATGCTAAGGATCATGGTCTACCTAGACCAACTCCCCGCTATCGACCGCCGACTTGGCATTTCAAATCTCGCTGCGCTTGGCTGTGGGCTCTGGCGCTGGCACGCGGCTTGGAAGATAGAAGGAAGAAAGAGCTGTGGCTGTGCCACTGGCAGCACGGAGCGATGTTTGCACCTAGACACACGGCAGCCAAGGCTGGCATAACTGGAGACAACGCGCTTCAGGGGGTTCTATCTTTGTATTCGTGCTAGGTCGGTCGAACCACGAGCATGAATGCGCGTAAGTTTGGCGACCGGCACTTTGCGACGACCCTTGCGCATGCGAGGTCACCAATCGCTCCGGCTCCCGGCACGCATGACGTTGCCTCTATCTCCGCGTTATCCAAAAGTCACCGCTTGCTCTCCTGAGCATGGGTAGATGTTATTTATATGCGTTAGGGGGAGAGAAGACCTACTGGGTGGCTTTTAAACTGTACAGTATCTGCTCGACAAGCACTCCCGAGGGGTGTGGGAGGGAGGCGTGGGAGCTTTCAGTCAGGCTTGACTCGATGTTTGGTGCGTGTTGATGCAGGCCATAATGTGGAGGCTTGTCCGTCAAGCCATCGTGCCTCCCGAAAAAGAGAAGTGACTGTAGGAGTGATGTGAGCTGTGAGTATGGGCGTACTTAAATCAACTGCCAAAGGAGTGTTCATAGGGAGATGTTTTACTTGGTGTCGGAGGTTTATTGTGGAGGTGTAGTAGGTAGATAAGCAACACCGTGTCGAGTTCTCACTATACCCGATAAGGCCAGAACCCTGCGACGTCCCCCAAACCCACCAGCTCCGCCAGCGCCGCCTCCGCCCTCGCCAAACCAACGAGCTACACCAAGTTGCAGCCATGGACAAATTCTCAGCTTTCGGAAAGAACTTCTCGTAAGTCGTTCCGCCCCCGCCCCCGTGCTCTCTACTGACAACTTGTCTTTTGGCCGCCCAGCGCCTCGTTCACGCCCTTCGCCGCGCGCACCCAGCAATATGTCAAGGAACAGCTGGGCCAGGCCGACGACAAGGTATGCTGTCCACTGCACCCGCTCATGGTTTGCCACAGTCGCTTACCTTGGACCGCTTAGACCCAGCTTCCTCCAGACTATATCGAGCTTGAGAAGCGCGTCGATGCCTTGAAGCAGGTTCACCAGAAGATGCTCCAAGTCACGTAAGTCCGAGCCACCTTGTACGCTGCTTCATTCTTCTCCGCTAACGGGTTGCAGCTCGCAATACACCAACGAAGCCTACGACTACCCCAGCAACCTGCGCGAGTCCTTCAACGACCTTGGCCGCACTGTTTCCGAGAAGGTCCAGCTTCTTTCCTCTGCGACCTCTCCCGCTGAGGCCCAGGCCGCCCTGACTGCTCCTCCCTCCGCGAAGCCCCAGCCCAAGACCTTCAGCCATGCTATTGCCCGTTCTGCGCTCAACAGCTCCACAATCCTGACGCAGGACCTTGGTAGCGCTGGCGAGGATCCTCTGGCCACGGCCCTTGAAAAGTATGCCCTTTCGCAAGAAAAGATTGGCGAGGCTCGCCTGTCGCAGGATGCGCAGATCCAGAGCCGTTTCCTTGCGGGCTGGAGCACAACATTGAACACCAATCTCATGTTTGCGAGCCGTGCTCGCAAGGCTGTTGAGAACTCCCGCCTGAGCCTAGATGCCACCAAAGCCAAGGCTAGAAGTGGCGGTGCCTTCAGCCTTCCTGGTGCACCTGGCCGTAGGGAGCACGACGATGAGCACATCAGCGAGGAAGCCAGGGCGGAGATTGAGCAGGCCGAGGACGAATTTGTCGGCCAGACCGAGGAAGCCGTTGGGGTGATGAAAAATGTATGGACTTTCTCCTGCGAAGCTTACATATGGTCCACAAACAGGTTGTTAACGTGTCTAATTTTTTAGGTTCTCGACACCCCAGAGCCATTGCGTAACCTTGCAGACCTAATTGCTGCTCAACTTGAGTACCACAAGAAGGCTTACGAGATTCTGAGTGAACTGGCGCCTGTCGTTGACCAGTTACAAGTGGAGCAGGAGGTGCGTACTTACGAGTCGATTGGATTTTGATGGATGCACATGCATCGTTGGCCGACACCTCGACAGTAATTTAATATTCTAACTTTTACTAGGCGAGCTACCGCAAGAGCCGCGAGGGCGCCTGAACAGAAGTCCATCATTCTCCGGCTCTCTCAAAATACCCTGGTTGTTGACGAAGGTCGTCGTGGTGTACTCGGGCTACCCAAATATGCCTTGTTTCGCGGCTGAGTTCTGGTTTTGTTGAAGGATATTGATCAGGCATCTATGTCTTCCGCTATGCGGTCGCCAGCAGCGCTCACGGCTGGTCGCAAGTGTTTTGCATATCCTCTTTTCTTGTTCGTTTGGGGCTTTCTAAAATCGGGCTTTGGGTCTTTCACACGAATCACTCGCCTGCCGACTTGTCGCCCATCGTCCAGTGAAACTATGAACGTGCAAGTTCCAGTGATTGTATTCGATATTCTTCACTGGTGCACTTGCTACCTCCTGGCGTGGCTATCCCACGAAAGCTCCCAAATCTTAGAAGTTCATCCAAGGGTATTTTACGTTGATCAAAACACGATGGAGCCTATTCCCTGCCTTCTAGGCAGGCAGGTACGTCCAGTAAACGGCTTGATTGGTAAGGCTTTCAAATATTATGAATGAGCCTATGTGACAGTAGTCCTCGACCTGTGACTTATCCATAGGTCACCAACCCAAAGTCGATGCTGTATGCTAGTTGTCAAAACATAAGGATTACTTCTGACCGTCCCTCTTAGCTCCCCATAAGAAAATAAAAAGTACATATCTGTGACTCGTTAGATAGTTTTGCTGTTCATACCGCCCGATATCAGGGTTGAAAAATTAGGTTTCCATGATTGTCTAACGCAGTAGAGGCGTGGCATCACTAAACTTTGCTTAAAGCTGGTTCTACTTCTTTCGAACAACGGTTTCAAACGCGCAATATCGGGACACAGCGAACGCCTCCGTCTCTAACACTACCTTCTCATCACCAATAATAAAAATATATCCCCTCTCCTTACCCAGTGTTTTGCTGAGAGTCCATCGTCTTGCTATGTGTAGTTTACGCTTCGCATTAACATATGCACCACACAAGGATGCCAGTTGCCAACTCTATCGTCTTTTACTATCGAGCCAAGACGGCCATGGGAACATCTGAAAATCTAAGTTTATATCGCGTCGTTATGAAAACACTGTCTGATTAAAGAAGTTCGCGCGTAGCTTGGTACAGTGAACATTTCAAAACGCACTGCAATTCCTATGGTAGTAATGTTGTTTCTTGGGCTCGCAGAATTACCGAATGTCAGAAAGCGAGTCAAGGGCTTGGGTAGATAGGATTTTTTAAGTGATATTAGAGTTGCTAAGTTCCGTAGCAGCGCTTTTCGACCTTTAGGGCTTCCACGGTCTAAACACATACCTACTTCTTAATAGCAGCTTATATAGTACGAGTGTATGGAGGAGAAAGAGCTTCTCTAGCACAACTTTCTATGCATACTAATATCGTGCTGTGTCTATCCTATTTCCTTTTCTGTTTTAGATAGGCGCAAGGAAGACGAGATTTAGGAATAAATAAGAATAAACATAGAAAGGTAAAAGAGACCTTAATGATATTCTAAGTATTTTTTTCGATAAAGAGTAGAGTAAATTACTTTTCTTTTAGTTGATATATTATCTTTTATAGTATCTACTACATTTTGAATTCGATATAGATACTTGTTAATTACCGAATAAATATAAGAGTTATATTAATTATAAAGGAAACCTAGTTTATTATAAATACAAACAAAAGTATATAGTATTATAAGCCTATCTATTATAAATTAATTTCCTACACAGTAACTACTATAGTTATATAAGAAGATATTCCGTAGTAATAAAAGCATATAAGATCGGCTTAAATTTAAATATCAATAGACTTAGAGAAAATCGAAGGTATATATAATAGTACATTTAGATAATCTATATAGGTTTCTTATAAGATAGGTCTAGAGGCTTCACTCGTGATTAGATATGTAGATTATAAGGGTATATTAAACTATGAAAAGTCGTACCCCTTAGACCGTGGTAATGTATTTAATAAATGCTTCATCCTCTATCCGAAAATGTATTGTACAAGTTAATGTGCGAATTTACTACAGTAGCATTTAACTTGACAGCATATGATAGACAGTATTAGAGACTTTAATGATTTGTGCACCCCTTAACTTTATCTTAAGTGTAAATCGGTATGCATATGAATTATTTTTTCGATGAACACGATAAGCAAAAACGCTACAACAGGTAGTCGCTAAGTATTCATGAAAGTAGAATATTGGAAAAGTACGAGAGGATTCGAAAATACAAGGGCATATAGATATACAAGAGTACGAGGGTAGCCCACGACGGCACGAGGGTGCCGAGGTGAAAGGGTGGAAAAGTAAGTTATACATGCTCGTCGGTTGTATTTTATCGCTACTGGGATCTGATCTCTGCCCGGCCTATGTCTGGCATATACTGTGGGGTTGAACATGTCCATGACTGCACATGGAAAGTGAACATGATTCTGACTTGACCTCGGAACTGGAACGATTCACCTTTGCCCTGATGGATCCAGTGTTCCAGTGTGCAACTCCAGCCACTACGGCCTGACAAGCGTACATTAGCCAAACAAGATAGAGTATTTGCCGAACAATCAGAGCTTCCTGGTGATCTCGTTACTCATTCATCAAAGAGTTCGGCCGAACAAGCGTGTTAAATAGGCTTGTCTATGCACCTCCTGGGTGCTACGACTTCTGAACTGAAATCCGCGCTTGAATGTGTACATCAACTTACGAATCTGTGGAGCATGCTTCTAAGTTCAGCCTTCAGCATCACCAAGCACATGGGCAATTCCTTCCCATAGACGTCCTCCATTTTCTTGGGAACGCTGAAAAAATCTTTTGGCTTCGTCCAGTTGTACTTGCCTTTCTTGATCGATTTCTTCCACGGCATCGTCCTCGGCAGATATTTCCAAATCTGAAGCCTTGCGCGCTCGGTCTGAATCACCGTCCTGGGATTGAAGATCGCCAATCCATAAGGAAACCATGCCTCGTAGTCTCAGCAGATCCGCGTGCTTATCAAAAGGCGGAGAAAGGAACAGTTCGTCGAGTCGCTGCGCTAGTTCTTTGGCCTGCTTCAACTCTTTTGCTTTAACTGCAATGATTTGGGCCTCACGGTCCTCAATATCTGACATGGACTCGGCAGTGTCATCATCTAGGTCTGAGGTGTTGTTGGAGGACTTTTCGATCATCGCAATGCTAGCGTTTTTTGTCTCGCAAATCTCATGTATCCATAAACCAAACATAGCTGGATAAAAGGTAAGCGAGTTTGTGAAGCGCTGATGAGTCTGGCGGTAAGGGTATTCCAAAATCAGCCGCTCGTAGTAGTCTCGGGCAGCCTTGAAGCCTTCCTCGGTGAAGAGCAAATCGACGGCGTTGTTTTCCTTTTGGGAGTATCGATGCAAGAGAATTTCAGCACCAACGCCCCATCTTCCGCTGGTTCGCACATCCATGCTCTTTCCATGGTAATTGCCTCTCAAGATCATTCCCCAGGCACGGCCTGCCCGTTGATAGTCACCTTTGAGTAAGCAGCTATGCATCACCGCGGTCATCACGCCGAGATGGTGCTGGCGCAAGTTCGTCGGCGGTTGGGATGAAGCAGATGTTACACGAGCGGTTGACGATAGGCCGGATGCGTAGACGGGAGGGTCAAGGCTTGCCAGCTCCTTCTGGATGGCGGCTGGCGAGAGCTTTGGCTCGGTGCGGGTGGCTGCGGCGTGGGGGAAGGGGGGTGGAGGTCGGGCGGTCTGGGGATCAAGGCCGGCGACGCGGTACTGAAGCGCATCGGCAGGCGTCAAGGCAACGTCGTCGCCGTCGTCGCCGTCGTCGTCGTCGTCGTCAGGGTCGGAGTCATGACGCTTCCGCTTGGCGGAGGGGCGGAGTTGAGTGGCTCGCAGGCTCTGATGGGCGGAGCGAAGCGGGGGTAGATAGTAGTGGGCCATGGCCACGGGGAAGGGAGGAGTCTGGGTCTGGGTGCAGGTTCGAGATTCGAGACAAAAGTCTCGACCCAATGACGTGCCGAAACGTACCGGAGATTCGCCGCCTCACACGCTGGTAAGCCAGCTTGGTATCCGCTGTCGCTCACACGCCCTCACCCACTCAGCTCACACTTCAACACTCGCTACAACACTCGCCCCGCCCACATTGCTCCCGCTTTCCCCCAGGCCTCCTTCCTCCGACCTGTTCTCTCGATTCGCCCCTCGACTATTCTTCCGGCACTGGCCCCCTAACACTTTGCCGCCATGGGCCAGAGCAGCTCCAGAGGCGTTCCGGCCTCTGAGCCGCGCTCCTCGCCCTCGCCGCGTCCCTTCTCTCGCCGCCACACCAGCCAACTGGACCTCGATACCCATCCGCCCTCGCCCTCGCCTGCGCGCAGCCGTAATCCCTTCTCCCGCCTGCAGTCCTGGCACTCCGAGGCCAACTCGTCCACCTCCAGCTCCGGTGTTAGCCGCCGCCGCTCCAGGCTGACCCGCGCCCATACTTCCATTTCCAACATTCTCGACCGCCACCACTCGTCCTCTCGCACGCGCGACCGGTCGCACAGGCGAAGTTCCTCGCATTTCTCGTCGTCGTTTTGGACCCGTACGCCCTCGCCTGCCGCCGACGAGAGTTCTGGCACACCTGCTGCGCCACGGCTGCACGTACCCGATCTCAATCTAGATCTCGACGAGTTTACCGAAACCTTTGACACGGCAGAACCAGCCCAAAGACCACGGGTAGCATCTCCAGGAACAGACGATGAGCGCGAGGATAGCCTACGGAGCGCAAACAGCATTTTGGATCGGGTGACGGGGAGCAGCGGGCAGGACCGAAGTGGAGGAAGGATAAGAGGCTCGGTGCGGCGAAGGCGCTCGCCTGTCCAACAAAATGAAGATAACGCGGCAATGCTGTCGCGCCTACTCTCGGTTGCTGCCGCTGCCACGGCCGCAACCCTCATGGGAGACGACCATCGCGCGGGCGCTGAAGCTAGGAATTTTGTGGGCGAGGATGAAGACGGCACCTTTGACGGTTTCTTACAGTCCTTACAAAACGGCAGAATAGCCTCTGCTCTTCGGGGAAGTGCCGCTGACATGGATGAGAACACGGAAAACCCAGGGGGCCCACCGGCGCCCTTGAACTTTTTCCGCATGTTCAGATTTGGCTCGTCTAACAACAACCGGAGGGATGCAAGATCTACTGGTGTTCAAGGAGACTCCACAGACAGGGAAACCTCACGTGCAGAAGATGAAAGTACCGAGGGTCGGATGATTCCTATCATCATTGTTGGCATTCGTTCTATTAATCCCTCCAGTGGTGGCAGCTCACAACAGGACGATAATATCCCCCCATTCCTTGATGCATTATCTAACTTTCCAACCCCGATCACGTCTGGAAACGACTCCAGCATTGATGGGATCCTTCGGCAGCCCCAAAACGGGACGAGGTTTAGTCACAGGCGCCGGGCGTCGATGGGAGGTATAAACACCTTCCCCTCGACGTATGACAGTCAGCGGCACTCGCGCTCGCCGGACCGCCCTAGGCCACGTTCTACGCTATCGGATGCAGCCGTCGGCCCGCGACCTCCACCCTCGACACCTGCCAGCTCGGGTCTTTCGGCTTTCTCTTCTGGCAGAACAACCCCGACATTCACACCGCCCGCCACAACGCCCACTTTACCGTCGCCGGGGCCATCGCGCCGCGAAAGCTTTGCGCGTACTCCGACAAGGACGAGCTCAGGGCCCGAGTCGGCTTCTGAAGAACATCAGCCAGCCAGCCCGTTGCGAACGGCCAGGCAACGGCGCCTGAGTGAGTCTGACCACACCAGGTTTGGCGCTGGTTCAGCAAGGCGCAATGGCGTCGTGGAGCCAGATCATGCCCCTGGCGAGGGGCCGAGAAGCTGGATCATCTACGTTCTTGGCGGCAGCTACCCGGAAAATCATCCGATTCTTACCACGCCTAGTTTGTTTACGGATACACCGACTTACGAGGACATGATGCTCCTTTCCACCCTTCTTGGTCCGGCGAAACCGCCTGTTGCGAGCGAATCCGACGTTGCATCGGCAGGCGGTCTTTACACTATTCAGGCCTCGGCCGAGGGCTTGATTGCTTGTCGTGCCGAAGGATCTGCAGAAGAAGCAGAGTGTATTCCCATCTCTTCTGAGCAACGCTGTCTTGTCTGCTTGAGCGAGTACGAGGTTAATGAGGAGGCGCGGCGATTGATCAAGTGCGGTCATTTGTTCCACCGAGAGTGTATTGACCAGGTAAATATATCACCGTCCGTGACCGGCAAATGAGTGCTGTTAACAGGAAAATAAACAGTGGCTTACCACCGGCCGTAACTCCTGTCCCTTGTGCAGGGGCCAGGGCGTGGACGAGCATGAGCAGCGACCGAATCCGTCAGCGAGCTCTGAAGTGCCTACATCGGCGGCCCCTCCAGAAGCTGCATGAGTAGTAAAGTCGCCGGTTGGATCTATTGCGATATATTTTTATCTTTCTCGAGAGCCCCGCTGAATCTCATCCCTGAGATTACGACTTCTTGTTGAATTGGTGTGCTCTCACTTACCGTTTTGATTTTTGATTCTTTTTTTCTTTGACCTCCAACGCTGCGATGAGGCTCTCGGTTAAGCTCAGGAGACCCCTTTCTGATTTGGATGGCTGAGCGTATTGCCACATCAAGCCCTGCATAGTGCTGTAGGCGACGCGACGCGCAGTAGTATCCGATGATCAGCATCTCGTTAGCGGAGGACGTTGTCCGTTGGAATCAGCCCTCCCCTCGTTTTTTTTTTTTTTTGGTGCGCACGGCGATACGGAGACGGCCTTGTGGAGGAATGATCGTTCTTTGGCGGTTTTTATCAGCGAGCCTGGGTTTAGCATGCACGGGGATTGTTCGGTGTCGGCGTTATCACCAGGCGGGCCGCGGGGTCTCACGGACGGGATTGTGTCATGGGGATTTCGTGTTCCTATTGTTCTTTGTCGGGGGGCGCGTGCGCTCCCGTCTATTTTGGTTCTTTTGTGGATGATTGACGACCTTGGGTCTCCCTTTACTGTGGGGAGTCATAGAGATGACGAACCGATGCGCGGGACTAGGCTAGAACAGAGCTTTAATGAACGAGGTCGACGACGCAAGAGCAGGGTGGAGCCGTGGGTGGTGGAGGAGGGCAATGGCGGGCGCGACGTTAGTATTAGCAGGCCGCTGAGTGGACGTAGGCGTCAAGGCTTGGCAGGCGATCGGCGGCGTCACGACCAGAGTTGCGCGGGCTGGCAGGGTCATGCTTGATGTCGATGACGGAGCAGCCAAGTGAGCGCCACAAACCCGGAGTGCCGGAGCGGTGGAATCCGGGCGCACGTGCCAGTCGGATTTGTGAGAAAAGCTAGGACGTAGTACCGTAGAGGGACGACGGATGTGGATGGTGGTGGATGCAGTGGATGCTTCGGTGGAGATGGATGGTGGTATGATGCGGGCGGTGAGAAGAAGCAAGAGGGAGTCGCGCCGCGCCAGGAGAGAGAGAGATTTAGCTAGGGGTAAGAGATCTCTGGGCGAGTACGTACATAGTACCTACAATACTACATACTCTAGAGGCGCGCAGGGGGCAGCCCCCACACTATTTCTCGCCGTCACCCCTGTCCATCAGGGCTTCCTTTTCGTTCGACGCGCGTGTGCAGGGGCGGGCCGACAGATCGCGCGGTGAGGCGGGCGGGATTGTTTCATTGTTGGTGTTGCATGCAGACTGACGTGTGAAGATCCGTATTCGTATGAGGAATGGGGGAGCATCAACCCAAGACGCCGCACCTCCACAAAGGGCCGATCGCTCTGGGTTTGGGGGCGCGGGATGATGTCTGCGCCACGGCCATGTGGAGGGCTCGCGGGACCTTCCGCATCCGGAGCCTCAATGAAGCTGATGCAGAGATTGCGACGACAGCTGGCATGTGACACGTGGGCGTCTAACGGCCGAAAGGGCGCAGGAAGGGTGGTGGAGCGTTCGTTAGGCCCTGCCTGATGCGACATCTCGGTGCAAAACGGCGGCGAGAGGGGGGACATTAAGGTTGTTCCCTACCGGCACCCCTGCCCGCATGGCGATAATGGCTGCACGGGATATTGAGCGATATTGCAGGGAGCAGGCCTGTCGGCCACGCGCCTGGTCGAACCACCCCATGGCGCCGCTGGCAGATCGCTCGAGGATGCGCTTGCATTGACTCGAATCTCCGAGCGCGACATTTGAGATTCTCCGAACGTGCAACCCATGGCGGAGGTTAATGCGACTGTCGCCGCCCTCCTCCCAGCCCGCCGGACGGAGCCTGACGTGCATCGGGCCTCGAGCTGCTTTCGCGGCCGCCACGGGAGCACTGGGAGATCCAAGACGTCCGTCGTCGGCCGGCGGCTGGGCCCCCATTCAGCGCTGCGATCCGCGTCCGGGGTCGTGCCAAGTTGGGGGGAGGGCCGTTCGAGAAGGCGGGGCGCCCTCCTCTTCTCTCATCATCCTTCCCTCGCCGGCTGCGCCCGAGCAATCGCTGAATCACGCAAGCCTGCCGGGCCGCTGGCCAGGAACCGGCGAGTACGGCCGTGTGTCCACAGGGCTGTCATTGACGATTTGCCCCGACTAATCTTAGGAACAGCTAAGCCCGGTATATTACCCTCCGGGGAGCGGCTAACAGGGGACTGCGCGGTTCTAAGATCAGCCTACTTCATAATACCATCCGCCCAGACTCGCTGCGCTCAAGTTCCTACACCTATCTCCTCGCTCGCGTGCAGAACCTTGTTTAGGCGCCAGCACGTATGACGTTGGCCTTGACCGTGACGCCGTCGCCGCCGCCATCACTCCACGCCTTTCCTCCGCCGCCGCCGCCGCCCAAGCCAATATGGACGGCCACTACTCCAACGTGCCCCAGATGCCGCCCTACCACTACGCCATCAACGCCGCCCAGCCCATGATGCCCATGGACTCGTACGCCCCGGCCTCCTACCCGCCATTCCAGACCCTCTCCTCCGAGAACCTGCGCCAGGGCTACTCCGACCTCGAGGACCAAGCCCGCACCATGCTGCCCGCCCAGAGCTCCGCCAGGGCCCGCCGGAAGCCCGCCGTCGGCCAGGACCACGTCAAGCACCGCAGGACTCGCAGCGGTTGCTACACCTGCAGAAACCGCCGCGTCAAGGTACGATGACGCACTGCATCGCCCACTCCCCGCCGCGCGCCCAATTTGCTGATTTCATGTCCCGCCCTCTTCCAGTGCGATGAGACTCACCCCATCTGTGAGAGTATGCATGTCCTGTCTGTCCGAGTGGCACACCTGCTGATCACATACTGCAGGATGCCGCAAAGGCAACAGAGAATGTGTCTACCCGGAGCCCGTCCAGAACGCCAAATCTCATCGAGCCGCAAGCAGGACCAAGGGCTCCTCTCCCGGCAGCGCCTCGTCTGGAGACGAGGGCAGAGACCATCTACCGCCAATTCCCGACGATGACGAGGAGACGCCAGGATCCAGCCATCGCGCAAGCGTATCCAATTCGAGCCACACCGGCCGAGAGCAGTCGAACACGCCGTCGCTTACCCACGACAAGAGCCCCTCGCCTTCGACGGAGAGTTCGAGCGTCATCGCCCACGCCCACCCGCGGCCTGTACCATCCCGGACGTCGAGCAGGCAGAACCTCCGCCGCTCGCCCATGGACAGGACCTGGAACGAGCTCAAGCCCGATGTGCGCTATTATCTCGAATGGTTCCGCGATAACATCACCTGCCATCACTACGCTTTGAAGTACGATGGCGCAGACTTTATGCGCACGACCCTACTAGACATTGCCGTGCACAATGACCCATTGCTCTACGCCGTTGTAGGATTTGCCGCCTACCACCATACGGTGCAAAGGCCAGATGGCCGCCTTCAAGACTTTCTCGGATACTACAACCAGTCCGTTAACCTGCTTCGAGTTTCTCTGCAGCGCGGGCAAAGACGCAGTCCAGCCACCCTTCTCACTATCCTACAGCTGGCTACGATCGAGGTATGTGATATCCTCAATCCCTTCCAGGAGGCAATTTTGCTCATCCGGCCGTCTAGGAGTACCTAGGAGATTGGGTCAATTTAATAGGCCATCAAAAAGCCGCATTCGAGATCATCACCAGTCTTTACACCCCGCAAACCGTCATGCAGAATGAGACTTCGCGCCGGATCTTGCTGTGGTATGTCCGCTTCGACCTTTTCGGAGGCTTCCTAGGCGGCAATGAGACCGCCCTCGCACGAGACTGGTTCGTTGCCTGCGCTCAGTATTACGTCCAGCAAACTCGCGACAGACCAGAAGACCTCAACAGCAAGTTCGAGGAAAGACTATGCCAATGCCGGTTGTTTGCGAGGGACGTATCAGCACTCTTCTCCAGGACGACAAAGGGTCTTCTTGACTCGGAAGCGTTTGCAGCGGAAAGTGCCGCCATAGAGCAAAGATTGGCGGAATGGTACGACGAACTCGATCCCGCTTTGATGGACGAGTCAAAACACATCACGGATTTTTCCGGTGCGCCACCTCGAGACCCGGAAGACATTGTGGATCCTTACGACCCCAACTCCATGTATGGCGGCGACCTTTTCCCAATGAACATTTGCCTCATCGACTACTGGGCCATCGTTCTCATGTTCAAGCTGCAACTTGCGATGATCCGAAGAACGACGCCGTCGCCGGACACGGTTACAATAGCATTTAAGGTCTGCCAGATGTTCGAGGGGCTCGAACTGTGCCCGCAGAGCCCTCCTGGCATTCTGATTGAGGCCCAAGCAAGCTTGGGGATGGGCATTATGTTTTTACCCAAGGATCAGAAGCATATCATGTGGGGCCGGCGCAAGTTTGCCAAGGTGGAGTCATTAGGGTATGTGCCCAATGAACTCCCACAGAAACAAGTGTAAACTGACATGCTCTTCTAGATTTATTCACCCGCAAGCTCTCCGAACACGCATGTCTGAAACCTGGAATGCGGACGTCTCACGTTGGTGGCTACCCGAAGACGAAGGCTACCCGCCAATCATAAAATCTATCCGCGGATTTATCGAGGATCGCACTGTCAACCCCAGCGACCAGGAAAAGCAGGATTTGAGAGACATGAAGGGTTTGTTCAATGAACTCAGTCTGGGTGAGGACAAATTCAGCCACACCCATGTCGAGAATGCCGATAGTTTCGATCCGTCGAGCGAAAGCTTTAGCATGGACATCCAAGCTTTTGATGAAGCCATGATCTACCAGGAGAGCCCAGAGTTTGGGTGGAACTACGACAGTCATAACTCTGAAGCGTAAGAGTATTTCGACTGGTACTCATTCATGGCAAGCCCTACATTGCCTGTCATCGGACTGTTCGGACGTCCGAAGTCCGTGGACCGGACCACTGATCTACCTTCCCTTTTTGGCCTAGGCTAAAGCACAGCCACCTATTAGGAATATTCATCTGGACTGAGCTGCATACAATGATCTCCTGCCGCCCGTGCCGCATTGCTTAGATCCTTGCTTCTAGTGGATAATCTTTCTTTTTGTTTTGCATGTGATGGGGCGTTCTGGCATGGAATCTAGCCGTCGATGGACTTCGACACGGCTCATAGAAAAGTTTCTTTCCGGCTGTATTGGGAAAACGGATAGGCAGGTCTTCTTGTTTAGGGAAAAGGGTCGGCAATAGGGCCATGGACTGGAGTAACGGTGTCATCCCAGGGTATTGTGCTATCTTGGCATTCAAGCCATTGTATTACTAGCTGTATTATGTACCAATAATCCGCCACCGCGCCGCATCTCGGCATTGGAATCAATCACCGTATGCATGTGAGTTATACTTGGCTGAGTGGAAATGACATTTCTGCATGTCGCCCGAAAAGGCAATTGGAAGTAGTAGTCGTCTAAGCCAAAAACGGCAAGATAGTGAAGTAAAAGGTTACACCCGACAGGACCCAGAATCAACGGAATTTTAGCATTTCTTCCGTCCGCTGTGCCGTCGCAAGACAGTCAAGGTACTGTACGTACCCACTGCAATACCCCCCCGTACACTCTTTTGAGCCAGGGGTGCTTTTTTCAAAGCCACGACGAATACCTCTCACGTGCCAACAAATCGATAAGAAAACAGGAGCTCTCTAGTACCCCAAAGAGCATCTCTTGTGTAACAGCGAGGTTGCTGGTAGAACCACGTGACCATTTGCTGGGTACAAGCACGTGGTGCGTGGCTGCGGCGATCGGTGGTCGGAGATGCGGCGTCGGGGAAAGTATGGCGCAACATGGCAGTAGCGCCGACGTTCGTAAATAAACACAACTCTTTCCAACACGACAACGACCACAGGCGACATCATCTTCCGCCTTCAACGCCACTTTTCGCTTTTCTTTTTCGAAGAACTGTTCTCCTGTATACCCCGAACCGACACTGTGCCATTTGCTTGACGCCGGGCGTTTGCCCGCCATCTTTTGTTCACTTCACTGCAGACGCTCTTTGACCTTTCACCCTCACCATGGACTCCATGTCCGACGAATCGGCCTTTGAGGACGGAAACGTGAGTTCCGACTTCGAGGCGCCAAAGCCAGCAGCAAAGAAGGCCGCGCCGAAGAAGGCCGCCGCACCAAAGCCCAAGGCTGCCGCACCCAAGGCTGCCACCGCGAAAAAGACCACCAAGAAGGCGCCGAAACCGATCGAAGAAGACAGCATCATGGACGATGATGACGACGACGTTTCTCCCCCAGCGCCAGGCCCCAAGGCAAAATCGGGCACCGCCACCCAGAAGTACCAGAAGCTCACGCAGCTTGAACATATCATCAAGCGACCGGATACGTACATTGGCTCTATAGAGCGCACCGAAAAGCAGATGTGGGTGTTCAACTCGGAAACAGAGTCCATGGAATCCAGGGAAGTCAGCTTTGTGCCCGGTCTGTACAAAATCTTTGATGAGATTCTCGTCAATGCCGCGGACAACAAACAAAACGACAAGAACATGAATGAGATTAAGGTCACGATAGACCGTGAGTCCGGAGAGATCAGCGTCCGCAACAACGGAAAGGGCATCCCTATCGAGATACATGAAACTGAGAATATCTTTGTCCCCGAATTGATTTTCGGACACCTCTTGACCTCTTCCAACTATGACGACGATCAGCAGAAAGTTACCGGTGGTCGCAACGGTTACGGTGCAAAGCTCTGTAATATCTTCAGTACGGAATTCACCCTCGAGACGGCCGACTCTCGCGCGCAAAAGAAATACAAGCAGACGTGGACGGAGAACATGGGCAAGATGGGCAAAGCCAAGATCACGGCTTGCAAGGGTGACGATTACACGAAAGTCACATTCAAGCCCGATTTTACCAAGTTTGGTATGGATGGCATCGACGACGATTTCGAGGCTCTCGTCAAGCGACGTGTCTATGATCTTGCGGGAACAAGCAAAGGCGTCAAGGTGTTTTTGAACGGCGAAAGACTGAAGATCAAGAACTTCAAAGAGTACATGAAAATGTATACCAAGGCCATCAAGTCCGAGCAGGTCCAGGCCAGTGGTTCAGAAGATGCCGCCGAGGTCATTCTCACCGACAACCCGGATGAGCGATGGGAGATCGGTTTTGCTGTGTCGGACGGCTCTTTTCAACAGGTTTCATTCGTCAACTCCATCGCAACGACATCTGGCGGAACTCACATCAACTACATCGCTGATCAAATTGTCAACAAGCTAGTGGACATCGTCAAGAAGAAGAACAAGGGTGGTTTCCAGCTGAAGCCGGCGCAACTTCGCAACCACATTTTCCTTTTCGTCAACTGTCAGATCGTCAACCCGGCATTCAACTCCCAGACGAAGGAACAGATGACGACAAAGGCCAGCCAGTTCGGTAGCAAATGCACTGTCTCGGAAAAATTCCTTAAGGACATCGCGAAGACGTCAGTCGTTGACAACATCCTTCATTTCGCCCAACAAAAGGCCGATCAGGTGCTCAAGAAATCAGATGGTGGCAGGCGACTGCGCATGAACCACTCCAAATTGACAGACGCCAACAAGGCTGGTACCAAAGATGGCTATAGATGTACTCTTATCCTTACAGAAGGTGACTCGGCCAGTTTGCTTGCTTTGGCTGGGCGTGCAGAGGTGGATCCAGATCTTTTCGGTGTCTTTCCGCTACGTGGTAAAATGCTCAATGTTCGCGACGCCTCCATCGACCAGATTTCCAAGAATCAGGAGATCCAGAACATCAAGAAGTTCCTCGGTCTGCAACATAAGAAAGAATACACCGACACCAAGAGCTTGCGGTATGGACACCTCATGATCATGACTGATCAAGATCACGATGGTAGTCATATCAAGGGTCTTTTGATCAACTTCTTGCAAGTTCAGTTTCCCAGTTTGTTGAAGATCGACGGTTTCCTTATGGAGTTTATTACACCCATTGTCAAGGTTTGGAAGGGCGACCCCAAGCACCCGAAGCAACTCAAATCTTTCTTCACGATGCCCGAGTACGAGGCTTGGAAAGTAGATCCGACGCATCAGAAGGGTTGGGATCACAAGTACTACAAGGGATTGGGTACCTCCGATCCTGCGGACGCCACCGAGTATTTCCAGGACCTCGACAAGCACTTGAAGGAGTTCCACACCATGAAGGAGAACGAAGCTCAAATGATCGACCTTGCATTCTCAAAGAAAAAGGCTGACGCCCGCAAGGAGTGGCTGCGCAACTTCGTTCCTGGAACATACCTTGACATGTCCACGCCCAAGATTTCCTACGATGATTTCGTCAACAAGGAACTGATACTTTTTTCTATGGCGGACAATATGCGTTCCATCCCCTCTGTCGTTGATGGCTTCAAGCCTGGTCAGCGCAAGGTGCTTTACACCTGTTTCAAGCGAAACGTCAAGAAAGACTTGAAGGTCAACGAACTTGCCGGTTACGTCTCTGGTTTGACGAATTACGCGTACGGTGATGCATCTCTCCAACAGACCATCACTGGTTTAGCGCAAAACTTTGTCGGTTCCAACAACATCAATGTCCTGGAGCCAAGTGGTAACTTCGGTTCCCGTATTCAGGGTGGTAGCGATGCGGCCAGCGCTCGTTACATCTACACTCGACTTTCACCATTCGCTCGCCGGCTGTTCCACGCAACGGACGAACCCCTGCTTGAATATGATCAGGACGATGGCAGGACGATCGAGCCGACAATGTACGTCCCCATCTTGCCCATGATTCTTGTCAACGGCGCGGACGGTATCGGTACGGGTTGGAGCTCTTCCATTCCCAACTACAACCCTATTGAGATCGTGGAGAACATCAGGCGCAGAATGTCGGGTTCCTCTAAAGATGACATGGTGCGCATGAACCCATGGTTCAAAGGCTGGACTGGTCAAATTGAGGACATTGGTGGCGACCGCTATAAGTTCACCGGTACTATTCGGCATACTGGAGCCAACGAAGTTGAGATCACTGAGCTACCAATTCGTGTTTGGACTCAGGATTTCAAGGACAAGCTTGAAGACATCATCAAAGCGGAGAAGACGCCCTCCTTCATTAAGGATTATAATGAGTACCACACCTTGACCACGGTGAACTTTGTCGTCAAGATGGCGGACGATAAGAACATGAATGCCGCCTTGGAGATGGGCCTAGAAGAGCGCTTCAAACTTTCCAAGACCATGGCGACTTCAAACCTTGTTGCTTTTGACGCGCAGGGCAGGATCCACAAGTACGCTTCTGAGCTTGATATCATGGAGGAATTTTACCATGTCCGGCTGAAGTTCTACGAGAAGCGCAAGCAGTACATGCTCAATGAGATGCACAAAGAGCTTGAGAAGCTCACCAACCAGGCTCGCTTCGTCCAAATGATCATTGACGGCAAGTTGGTGGTTTCGAGAAAGAAGAAGGCCGCGCTCGTTGCGGAGCTCAAGGAGAAGGGTTTCACGCCGATCCCGAAGGTCTCGGATGCCAAGAAGCAGGGTGAAACCGAAGAAGTCGTGGAAGAGGAGGAAAGCGAGGATGATGAGCCTGGCGCAAATGATTATGATTACTTGCTCGGCATGGCCATCTGGTCCTTGACCGTCGAACGCGTCGAAAAATTGCGCAAGCAGATCGGCGATAAGGAAGAAGAGGTTGACACCCTTATCAAGAAGTCGCCGAAGGACTTGTGGAATGCCGATCTGGATGCCTTCGTCGCAGAGTGGCACCAGCAGCTCGAGGACGAGGCAAACAACAGCAAGAAGTCGCGCAGAAAGGGTCGTCGCGCTTCTGCTAAGCTCCGGATCGGAGGTAAAGGACCTGCCGCCAAGAAGAGAAAGGCGGATGATAGTGACGCGATGAGCGACGACGATTTCGAGATCAAGCCTAAGAAACCGACGAAAGCTGCTCCGAAGCAAAACAGCCTGTTGTCGGGCTATTTCGACAAATACAGCGACTCTGCGGCCAACAAACCGGCTTCCAAGGTTGGTGAAACGAAACCTGCCGCGAAGGCTAAGGCCAAAGCCTCGACAACTTCGACCAAGCCGAAGAGCAATCTCCTTACCTCATACTTCGAAGACAAAGCCAAGAAGTCGGACACTGCAATGGAAGTTGACGGTGCTTCTGACCCTCCTGATGTAGAACCCGACTCGGATGAGGTCATTTCCAAGCCCGTCACCACGGCCGCTGCAAAGCCAAGGAAGGCCGCTGCCAAAAAGCCTGTCATTGAAGACGATGAAAGTGATGAGGAGCCCGCTCCGCAACCAAAGCCAAAGAGGGCCGCTGCCAAAAAGCCTGTCGTCAGCGATGACGAGAGTGATGAGGAACCCGCTCCACAGCCAAAGGCGAATGGCGCGAAAAAACCAAGCAGGTCGGCCAGTGAAGAGAGTGAGGATGAGGACGTCTTTGCAGCTGTGGCCAAGGAGACCAAGGCCAAGCCAGCAGCACCACCATCTCGTAGAGCCCGTGTTGCAGCCTCAAAGCCTACCAAATACGTCTTATCTGACTCTGATAGCGATGCAGAGGCTGCCGGCGATGATTTAGGCGATATTAGCAGCATGGTCAAAGGCGCCAGCGGTACCACTGCTGAAATTCCTAGCCGGTCACTCTTCTCCTTGTCTACTACCGCTCGTCCTTCAAGCGCCAACGGCCTGGGCAAGACTGTTGGCAGCAAGCCCAAACCCGCTCCCCTCAACCTTTCAGATGAGGAAGATCAGACCGACTACACCGCCCTGGCACCCCAGCCATCCCCGCAACGCACCCGCATAGCGAACGACACGATTCTTTCTGTTTCTGACGACGACGTGGACATGGAGGATGCGCCCCCACCAAAGCCCGTGGCCAAAGGTCGCGGCCGGCCCGCAGGGAGCAAGAACAAGGCTACCACCGACGATGCGCCAAAGCCTGCAACGAAGACTACCGCAAAGACTGCCGCGAAGCCTGCGGCGACGAAGGCGAAGCCGGCACCGAAGGCTCCAGCTGCCAAGGCTAAAGAGGCCGAGAAGCCGAAGACCCTTAGTCCGGCCGCCAAAGCTTATGCAAAGGCCCGACCCGGCAGAGCTGCGGCTGCTTCAAATAAGAAGTACACGGTTGAAAGTGATGAGGATGAGGAAGAGAGTTTCCAAGTGGAAGATGATGATGACGAAAGCGAGGGGGACTTTGATGATGATAGCGAGTAGACGGGGTAGCAAGGGAAAAAGTCCAGGGAGTACCATTTGCTTCCCAACGGCGTTCGTGGAATTCGTTTATCCAAGACTGGATAACAGAGGGAGTTTTACTGGAAGGGGCATGAGAGGTGGCTAGCGGATTTCTGATTACCTTTTCCTGGCTTTCCGTCGTTGCGCAGTTCGGCTCAGCAGGATGCAAGAAGAGCGTACAACGGTGTTGGTGTAGCTCAATCGTCTTAGTTACCGTAGCTGAAGCTTTTTTACGATTGACGCGTGGATTGGGCAGTGATTGCGGAGAAGGAGCGGCCATGCATGTCGCCATACCCGCCGCCCTGGTTCGTGTGGTCGCGGCGACACTTGTGTGCCGGCCGTCCTGGCGTAGGAACGGTCACGCAAGAATCAATACAAGGCCTATGAAACGGTTCACGGCAAAAGCAAAAAGCAGCTAACTGACCACTATCCAGAGGCGCCTGCCCATATGACGAGGCGGCGACGGTGGCTGGAGGATAGATGAAGCACTACCAAACGGGCTTTGTTTGTTTGCTCGAGACATGAAGATTAAAGCACAGGAACGTGCCCGGTTGACAGGTCGCACAGTGGCAGTGGGTCGAGTGCGCGCGGACTCGACCAGGCCGATTGCGGCAAGAGGCACGGCATGAACGTGTGTGGCCCCTGGCAGGCAACGGCGGCCCGGACCTTTGGCTGCTTTTTGACAGCTCGGTAGCACGCGTGCAAACAGACACCGTCAGCTGAGACAGGGCCGAGGGCGACGGCGACGTCGGCGACGATGGCGCGGATCCACGGCGCGTTTGGTCGACAGCAGCAGCAGCAGCAGCAGCAGCATAAAGAGGAGTCAGAGAGCGGGAGCAGACAGACAGGAAGAAGAGCGGTCAGCCTGAGACAGCAAGAGAGAGCACACCGCTCCGTCACGGGCAGGCACGTTTGGTGTTGAGGCGTGCCTGTCTGCCTGCCTGCCTCGCCATGCCGGCCGCATCCATGGCCGATATGGAAGTCCAAACTCCTCAAACTACCTTGGGCGCCCTCCCCCGTCAAGCCTTGTCGCAAACCTCCACTCCCCCGCTTGGTGCGCCACGTTGGACGGGCTCTTGGCTAGGGGAGCCGCTTGTTTTGACGGGTGTGTGCAGCAAGCATCCCAGCCGCTAGCCGATTGGCAGACGCCGCACGCCGCCCTGTGGAAGCCTGAATGCCAACGCCCCGGGACGACAAGAAGAGTGCCAGGCCAAGTGGTCAAACCTTTGGCTGATTTTCTCCTGGCCCGTTGGCAGCCCGCAGCCACCTGAGAGCCTTTGTACCATGACCTGGCTTCATCACAACGCCCAGCCAGAGGATAGATACATGGGCCAGTGATATTCCGCCTCGACCATGCGCCCTCACTCGCTGCCATGCCCGCACGCACCAGTCTGTTGAAAGAAGTTTCCCTTTGTCGTCGTCGTTGTTGTGTGGGAAAGCACTGAAGCAACAAATAACATCTCGTGGATTGCTCATTGACAACCACGGGTAGTCGTATGAACCGACGGGACTGGGCGAATGACCATGGAAGTGCTGGCTGCACAGCTATAAGATCGGCTGCACGTCAATCGTGCCAGGTCCCTGCTTGATCTGGCTTGCAAAATCCCAGAGCACATCGTCGGCTTAACCCTGCCTGCCGGTTGGCTGTCATCCCTCAGTCCCACGCCGTCGACCATAGCCAGCCAGTCGGCACGCCTATTTCCCTGTTTCACTCCCGCTCCAGATTGTACTCGACGGCAACAGCATTCCCCTTAGCGTGGTCGCTGTAGCCCAGGTGTAGATCTGCCTTCCAGCAAAAGAGCAGCGTGCGAGATCCAAGACACCCGGCACCCGCCCGCCCCAACAAAGACAAGGCCCCAGCACGAGCGTGACCGAAGGCCCTGACAGGGAACCGTAACGGAAGAGCAGTCCGTCCTTCTGCAAAGTCCTGACATCCCTGTAAGCTCTGGCTAGCGCCTTTACTTGCTGGTATAAGGCCATCTCCTCGCTCCTGTAAGTACTTTTGCAAACGGCCATCACCACCAGCCAAACCACCAAACCACATCACAATACTACAACAATTCAATTAGCCATTCATAGCCGGACAACTTGGAGCAATCTCACTTACGATACTGTCCGAAACAGGGGTTAAGCCTATCACTCCGACCATTCTTGGCCCGTGTAAATAGCATGACAATGAAGATAGACTCCCTCCTAAACCCTCTTTCGGAAGAGCAGCAACAGGAACAGGATCCGAGGTGCTCTTCAGAGCCTCTTACGCCCTTCGAAGAGCCCCGACAGTACCACAAGCCAGAGAAGCCGAAGCGCCAAAAAGCCTCCAAAGTCGCTGCTATCTTCATCAAGGCCAAGGCCAAGGAGCCTGTCCGCTACCCGCCTCACGAGGGGAACGAGGATGCTGACTTGCTTGCTGAGCATAAGAAATTCCGCATCAACCCCTTGGGTCACATCAAGGACTACTGCAGGCACATTCCATACAACAGCGAGAAGAAGCTGTTTTTCGAAAAGACGGGTCGCGAGGCCTTAGAAGGTATGCCCTCACTGTCCGTAGGCACAACGAGTGCTCACGATCCTGTATGATTGTTTGTGCGCCCGCTAACCGATAAACTCTCCGGCAGTCTACCAGTACGAGTTCTTCATGCCTGGCGATGACCGCGACCACGTCGTCATGTGGGACTACAACATTGGCCTTGTGCGGGTCACGCCCTTCTTCAAGGCCTGCAAGTACTCGAAGGTCAGTCACAATGGTCTTGTCTTCTTTCATTCTTGCCAGTCTTGCTCACGCTCAAGCTTGCCAGACCACCCCAGCCCGCGTCCTCAATATCAATCAAGGCCTCCGCGACTTGAGTCACAGCATCACCGGCGGAGCCCTTGCTGCACAAGGTAAACTCACTCTCACCCCCTTTGCTGTCCCTACCCCGCAAGCCAATCCCTGGGTCGCTTGATAAATCAACTAACTGGTCTCTACTTCCAGGTTACTGGATGCCGTATGACACGGCTAAAGCCGTGGCGGCTACCTTTTGTTATGAAATTCGCGCGGCTTTAACGCCTGTCTTCGGCGTCAACTTCATGCACGAGTGCATCCTGCCTGGTGATCCTGGATTCGGTTCCTTCAATATTGATCGTGCTATTACACGCCACAGTGCCGCTCAAGCCCACACTTTTCGCTTGCTGTACAGCAGTTCCAAGGACGGTAACGTCAGTTCCGGTGGCAACAGTCCGTCCATGGGCATGCTGGCTGCGCCACCTCTGCCGCCTCCCATCATGCCGTCAAATGCAGGCCGGGGTCACAACACTCGTAGTGGTAGAGGCGGTGGTAAAACTAGGACGCTGCGTCAGCGCCGTACTGCTGATGCCGAGAGCGGATACGGCACCGATACGGACCAGAGCGATCGGTACATGTGCAGTCCTGTCTCAACCATCACAAGCCAAGGATGGACGAGCGTTAATGGCGTCGAGAGAGCCTACACGCCGTCGCCCAAGACGTTTGTGCCGCAGCTGTCGCCATGGCTGTCGAGCGTGCCAAGGTCGTTGCCAGCATTGCCTCCTACGTCGACGCTGTCGTCGATGAGGATGACGCCAGCGCCGGAAACGATTGTGGGTATGAAAAGACGGATCGAAGAAGTTGAGGTCGAGGAAGCCGCTGATCACGTCAATGATGATGGCGACACCGGCGATGCCGTGCCAGTGAATGACAACGAAGAGCAGGGGGCAGAGGAACACGCAGCCGAGGCCGAGGAGGCCAACGAGGCAGACCACGAAGATTCAGAGCCCGAATACGCGCTCGTTGGCCACAGTGGCCGGCAGCGCCGAACGGCGGAGACGGATGCCGCGCTCGCGCTGCTGATGCTAAGTGGGAACGATACCTCCGTGCAAGAAGCTGGTGGCGATGGGCACCGCGACAAGCGCAGCCGACGGGCTTCGGTCTAGGTTAGCAGGTGTGTGTGCCCAGGGCAGTGCAGTGTGGTGTCGTGTTGTGCGACACGCGGCATGCGGCATGGTGCGGGCCCGATGAACCTGACCTGCCTACCTAGGCACGGGACGAGACGGAGCGGAGCAACGGGGCCGAAGCGCCCGGCAGACCGACGGGCCGACTGAGTGCGACGACGTCGGTCGGTTCGCGTTGGTGTGTGGGCTTGCGAGATGTCTCTTTCTTTCTTTCCATTTTCTTTGATTTCGTTACATTTAGAAGGGGTGGCATGATGGGACGAGATACGCCTAAAAGGGACAGGAGTGCAAAATGGGTGTTTCCTTTGTTTTTCTCTTGTTGTTTTTGTTGTGTCGTCTTCATTTGGGCTGGGCATATTGGGGATTGGGAGTTGGATATGATGAAATGGGATGGATAGGAACGGATGGGAGAGGAGAGGAGTGAACTGAACGGGATGGGATGGGTCGGGGACGAATGACTGATGACTGCGATGCTTGGATGCTTAGGTTGAGGATTTGGGATAGGGATTTGGGTTCTTTCTGTTATCATGAATCGATGGGTTATGGCTGCTATGAATTATTGACGTGCTTCGTCTCGTTTCGTCTATACTTTACATATCATGCTCTCAGTGTGAGAGCATGATTTGTTAGATGTGGGCACAGACGCGCATATATGTGCATTCACATTCATATCCGTGTACAGGAGTATACAGGAGTAGTTGTTCATACGCAGTAGGTAGAAGCACTTCCAGCGAATAACAAGTATATATGATGTGTATGTATATATAGCATAACCATCCATCCATCCATTCAGCTAAAAGCCTAATAAGAAAAAGGAAAGAAGAAAGAAATCAGTCGTCAAAAAAGGCCCAGCCAGAGGCACGCACGCACGCAAGCAGACAGGCAGACAGGTCCGCCCTTTCTCTCTCGAATGCGCCAGATAGATAACCCCCCATCCACCCGCAAAAACGCAAAACGCAGTAATGCAGCAATAATGCAGCAGCAGTAGCAGCAGCAACACCACCCCCACGCCCATCCCCCGAAAATGCTCCCACCATCCCCACCCGACCAGATACTCCAACCCAAGCCTAAAGACACACACGCGATATCAAGCACACACTTCCACACATCCACATACAAAGATGCACACACACAGCAAGCCGCCAACAGACAGCGGGTATCAAGTCAAGCAGCTCCTGCGCGCAGGGCACGCACCAGTCCAGTCCAGCACGAGCAGCAAGCAAGCCAGCAAGCCAGCCAGCAAGCCAGCCAGCAAGCCAACAAGCAAGCCAGTAAGCAAACTACGCCACCCGGCCCTTGCCCCTGCCAAAGCCGCTCGCCGTGCGCCGCATGCCCGTCCCACCCACAGAGCTGCCATTGCCATGCCTGCTCATGGGCACGCTGCCCGCGCCCCCGCCGCCATCACTAAGGCCGGTCTGGCTGCCCTGGCGGCTCATGGCGGCGCTGCCGCCGGCGGCCGCGGCCGAGAAATCCACGTGCGGGGGGAGGCTCAGCAGGCCGTTTGTGTGGGCGTGGTGGGTGGGGTGGTGGGAGTCGCCACGGGCGCCGGTGCCGCCGGGGCCGCCGCCGCCACCACCACTGCTGCCGCTGGGCTGGTACTGGAACTCGCGGGTTTGCAGCGGGGCGCAGGCCGTGTTGAGGAGGCGTTCTTGCAGCTCGTCGGAGCCGTCGGCGGGCCGGCTCATGATGGCAAAGTCGGCGTCGACTTCGGCGTTGGCGAGGCCCGGGGGCGTCGGCGCCGACGCGTTCGCCTTGCTGCCGATGTTGGCGGGGATGATGACCGGTGCTACGCCCGCGAAGGGCAGGCTGGTCCGCTCGGCTGCCAGCGCGAGGTCGGCGAGCGGGTTGTTGCGCGTCGAGCCCCGCGTCGCGTGGTGCGATTGTGTGCGCTCCATCTCTGGGGCGGCGGGCATGGCGACGTCGTCGTCGGCGTCGGCGTCGCCCTCGTTGGCCGTGGCGCTGCCCGAGTCGTTGCCGCCGTCGAGGTTGGCGTTGGTGCCATTGGTGCCGTTCGCCGAAGATCCGAACTGCTGCTGCTGCTGCTCCTGCACCCGCAGCTTGTTGAAGAAGTGCGTCGTCGCGACGGCGGCCGTGTTCATCGTCATGGCCAGCTCCTTGTCCGTGAACAGCCGGTCGATCGAGTAGGCGGGCGCCTCGAACTGCGTGTGCATCGTCTTGGCCTTGGCATCGCGGAAGGGCGAGGCGAAGCCCAGGTCGGCGTTTCGGCCAGACGGGCCCGGCGAGCCACTGTCGGCGTCCTCAAAGTGCTTGCGCTTCCGCGACTTGTCCGCCATGGCCGAGCCCACCATGTCGTCGGCGTCGCCGACCCGGTGCCGCGTGTGTCTGGTCTTGCGATTGGCCTGGGGCCCGCCCGGAGAGGCGGGGTTTGTGATGCTGAACTGGTTCGGGTGGAGGAGGAGGGCGTTGCTGTCGGCAATGTCCAGCTGCTCCTTTTCCTTGAGCAGGCGGGCCTGTCTCTGCTTGATGCTGGCGATGAGGCGTTCGCGGAGCGTGTTGGCGAGGTGCTTGTGCTCTTCCTGGGCGAGCTTGACCTTGTACTGGTGCGACTGATTGAGCTCGCTCAGGCTGGACTGGTGCTTGTTCTGCAGGTAGGTGTATGGTTAGCGCGCTTGTAGCTTCGCCAGAGAGGCGGACAACTCACAAAGAGCATGGTAAGGGCCACGTCGCGGTCCTCCATGGCATTGTTGACCTCCTCGACGAAGCGGGAGTGGAAGCGGCCGACCTGGGCGACATAGTCGCTGGAGGCGGTGCCGGGCTGAGGCTGGTGGGCGCCGGTGGTGGCTTGGATGGTGTCGTTGACGTCGTCGCCAGAGTCGTCCAAAGGTTTGTTCTGGTAGGGGTCGGCGCGCATGATCAGAGCCATGTCGGCCTGGACGGCCTGGATCTGGGCGCGGTAATGCTGGTCGCGGTTGTCGGAGAAGCCGGCGACCATGTCGCCCAGCTTGTCGGACAGCATGGTGCGGCGTTTGTCGCGCTTGGACAGCGGCAGTAGAGGCGGCGGCGAGGTTGCAGAATGGCCCAGCGGAATGTCAGCGGGCGGGGAGAGGCTGCGAGCGCGAGCCATAATGGTCGAGGTGGTTTGAACTGCAGCTAGGCCATGGCGGGCGGCCATTACCTACTTTACGGCCCGGCCTTTGTCCGCTCTAGCTCTCTCTCACGCGTCTGGCGTCACCACGTCGTCGCAGCTGTGTTGCAAGTAGAAATTAGATAACTATATACATACCCACCTACATACATACATCCACAATCCACAATGGCCTCCCTCCCGCCCTGGCACTCGCACATCACCATCGACCTCCTCGCCGAAGTCGCCAGCTACACCATCTTCCACCCCTTCGTCGCATGCATTGTGCCGCTCTGCCTGCGCGCCCAAGCCACGCCGTACACGCACCTCTCCTTCCAGCTGGCCGTCGCCTACGCCGCGCTGGTGACGCTGTTCCACGCCCTGGCCGCCCTCAGCGACCGCCTGGCCTACGGCGCCCCGCGCCATGTCGACCTGGAGGACGAGGTCATCGTCATCACGGGCGGCGCCAGCGGCCTGGGCCTGCTGATCGCAGAGGTCTACGGCATGCGCGGGGCCAGCGTCGCCGTGCTCGACGTGCTCGACATGCCCGACGCCGAGCGCAAGGGCATCAGCTACTACCGCTGCGACGTGGGCGACCGCGCGCAGATCGAGCTCGCGCTCAAGCAGGTTGAGCTCGAGGTGCGCCGCTTCTTCTTCAATTCCTCTTTCTCTGTCTGTAAACACTAGGTACTAACCTCACCTCCCGCACAGCTCGGCACGCCCACGATCCTCATCAACAACGCCGCCATCGTCAACGGCAAGCCGCTCCTCTCCCTCTCCCCCGCCGACCTCACCCGCAACTTCAACGTCAACCTCCTCGCGCACTACCACACGCTGCAGCTGGTGCTGCCCGGGATGCTGGCGCGGCCCGCGGGCGGGACCGTCGTCACCGTCGCCAGCGTGCTGGGCTACACGGGCGCAGCGCAGCTGAGCGACTACACGGCGGCGAAGGCGGCGCTGGTGGCCATGCACACGTCGCTGCGGGCAGAGCTGCGGCAGACGCGCGCGCCGGGCGCCCAAGCCCTCCGCACCATCCTCGTCACGCCGGGCCAGCTCGCCACGCCTCTGTTTGCGGCGCTGCGGACCCCGTCGCCGTTCCTGGCCCCGGTTGTTGAGCCCGTCCGTCTGGCCCGCGACGTCATTCGCTTGCTGGATACGGGCCGTGGGGGCAGGGTCAGCGCGCCGCTTTATGCGGGATTCATTGAGTGGTTGGGCGTGCTGCCCGAGGGGCTGCAGACGGTAGTGAGGCGCGTGAGCGGGGTGGATAGCGCGATGAGGGCGTTTGGAGAGGAAATCGGGGGCGAGAGGGCCGAGGAGTGAGTGAGTGAGTGCGTATGTGGGTGTGGGTGGGTGGGTGGTGCAAACGAGATGGTGGCGGGCGCGGCGATGCGTGCGTGCGTGCTGGTGCTGGTCATGCCGTGCATGCATGCGTGTGCTGTGTCTTGCCTTGCCATGTCTTGTCTTGTCCGCCTACCTACTTGCCCATTCCTCATCGTCAGCACCACTTACATGAAACAAAACAACCCCCCATGGTCGCAGCGGATAGTTTCTTCCCGCTCAAACACAGACGCGCGTGCACACACGTCCCGAGCATGCATACGAGACTGGGAACACAAGGGCGCAAGAACACAAGGGCGCAAGAGCGTAAGAAAGAGCAGCAGTGGCAGACAGCCTCATTTAAGAGCATCAAAAAGTCTCTCGGGGAGCAATGACTGGCCCAATACATAGACTAGCTATATATCTACAAGGGAAGCAACGTATGTTTACGGGGGTATGGGGTGGGAAGCAGACCAGACGGACCTACCTACCTAGGTAGGTGGACGCGGTACATACCCCACAGCGGCAGTGGAAGAAAGGGGCACAGGAAAGAAGTCGTCTGGACGCGAGCACAACAACAGAGAGCAGGACAGAGACAGCGTCAAAGAGTTCGACACGTTCGGCCTTCAAAAGCCCAAAAGTGCTTTCATCGGGTTACGTATTTTAAACATTCATCATGTCTGTAGTGGAAGTGACATTTTGTAAAGAAATCCAAAGTGCACCGACGTGATGTACCCAGCCAATGTAGATAGATAGACGGATAGATCTCGCGACACTGCTGTTTGTTGAGGAAGAAATCGGTTTCTCGGATAGTTAGGCACGTACAGTACCGGTATCAGAAGAAGACGGTATCAGAAGAAGACAAAAGCAAACCGAAAAAGACGAAAAACAATAGCAACCGCCATCCCATCCCAACCTAGCTTTTCCCCACCCAATTACGCCTCCGAACACATACATGCACGCACGCGTGTCCAAACAATCGAACAATCACTCAACCAATGAACCAAAAAAGAAAACATCAAACATCAAACACCCAAACAAACGCCCGCTAAACGCAGCAGCACACCACCCCCACAAGCCCACTCAAACACGCACACACCTCGTCACGAGCCGACAGCTCGCCATGACCGGGTCGCCGCCCCGCTCTGCACACAGCAGCGCTCCGACACCGCGGCGCTTCCTTGCCGGAAGCAGTGGACGTCGGTTCTGCGCGCTGAGCGAGGTCATCGTTGCAGCGGCCATCGCAAGCGCGACGGCGTAGGCAACGAGTTGTGACAGGACGGCTGCGAGGACGGTGCCGCATAGCGAGGACGTGGACACGGACGCGGACGCGGACGGTGGTAAGGGCGAGAGTGGCGCGGATAAGGGCGACAGCGCCGTTGCAACGCTCGTTGCGTTCGTCGCATTTGGATTTGGCTGCGCGGGGTTGCGATTATTGGTGCCATTGCCTGAGCAATTGTTGGGCGCAGCAATGACGGGTGCCTGGGCGTTCGCACGCGCGGTGGTGCTGCTGTTGCCGCTGTTGCTGCTGGCACTGGTATCCCTGGCGGGAACCATGGAGCCAGACTGCGCGCCGCTCTCAGTCGTGAGAGGGCGCGCGTGCGCGGACGTGGTATTGCTCGCGGCAACACTGTTGCCGTTGCTGTTATTGTTGGGCTCGTTGGAGCTGATGCCAATGGCCCTGTCAGTCCTGCTCGACCGGGCCGCTGCGACGTGGCTGTCGCTCGTGCGGTTCGGACGTGCATTGAGTACGCCTGACGGCGATGCGTTGGCGAGGCTCTGCGCACTTCTTAGTGTCACGCTGCTTCTGCGTTGCGCAGAAATCGCATTGGCTTGTCTCTGTGCTTCCTCGGAAGAGCTGGTAGCAATGCCCATGGATGGCGTAAACACTTCCGTGCTCTCACCTCTCCTAAGGCCTCCTGGAGCCGCGGGATAGTGCTGCGGCATCTGAGCGACTCGGAGAGAAGATGAACTAGCAATACCAGTGTCGCCTGTGCCAGAGCTTTGCGCGCGGCTGTCAGAAGACGAGTTTGCACGGCTGGACAGCTCCCCGCTGTTGTCGGGCGAGCTGGCGAGATCTTCATGCCTGCTACCGGTACTGCTTCTACCAGATGAGCCACGCGTAAGCGAGCTCCCGTGTTCTCCAAAGCGGGATGACGCGCTGGGATCAGCGTGAACGTGGAGACCATCGATCACGAAGTCGTGGTCGTGGGGAACAAGCTGGCTGCGTGATTGCGATGATGGCATTGGCGCATTTTGGAGTGGAGAGCGTGAAGCCCGAACATCAAGAACTGATGGCCCAGAGCTTGTTGGAGAGTGGCCGACATCAACACTTGGCGACCCAATGCTGGACAGTGAAGCATGGGTGCTGGATGGAAGCACGCCAGTGTTCAGTGGCGATGCTCTAGTGTGACCACGGGCAGTTACAGTGCCGCGACGAGATCCCTGGCTATATGACGGAGAGTTGGCAATGAGCGTGTGGTTCGCAATCGTGCCGTCCCCAGTGCTCTCATCAGGCAAGCGCCAAACCCCATGTAGTTGTTGTTGCGCGCCGCCCGAGGTGGCCATGGCATCCGATGATGCTGCTAGTTGATCAAAGCCAGTGCTTCCGAAGCCATAGCTCCAGTCTTGTGTTGTGTCAAGGCTTGTTTGGGAGGGGGAGACCATGGCCGTCGATGGCGTGCTTGCCATGCCAGAGGATTGTGAGCGCGTGTCGCGAGGGGTGTGGGATTGCAGAGCAGGCATGCCGACAAACGGATCCATGAAGGCGTCGAAGGGCTGCATATGCGCCGGCGCCGTGTTGAACAGGGGGTCGGTAGCCAGACCCATGGAGAAATCGTCGTTCGGAAGAAGGAGGAAGTCATCGAAGGATCCGTCGGTAGCTGTCGGGGAGAAATCGAGGAAGTCTAAAGGGCCATTCAAGGCCGTAAGGGTTGTTTCGGCCCAATTAGAACTATCACATTGCCCTATCGGCAATTGACCCTGACTGGCTGCGAAAGCAACATTATGTGAGAGAGACGGCGATGAACCTGCTGAAGACCGTTTCTTCACCTTTGAGTTCACTCTAGAGTCAGAAGGCGAGGAAGCGTCGTGGTTGCACTTCCTCTTACGGCTGCGACACTCTTTGCACGCCTTCATCTGCCTCCGGCGGCGGTACTCTTCCTTTTCCTTGGTTGTCATAGACCTTCTCGTATGAATCTTTGGCTTGTCACCATTGGCAGTCCACACGTTCGTCATGTCCTTCAGCGTCATCATCTCAGGACTCGACCCTCCACTCCTGGAAGAAGCAGATGGGGACGAGGAAGAGGCAGAGGTAGAAGATTTCCGGCCGTCGGTGACGGAAGGAGCCGAGTAGGGAGTGGATGTGGCTGTAGGGACGGCGGTGCCGGTTTGTTGGACAAAAGCGGTAATCTCATGATCAATGGCCTGTCGTTCCTCCATGAGAAAGTCCAGAACCGCCTGCTTCTTCCTCTCGGTATGGGTTTTCAGAGCGGGATATGCGTCCCGCAGGGCATCGAAGAGTTCGTCGGACTCGATCGACGGCTCGAAGACCAGCTTCGCAAAGGGGTCGTACGAGCAGTCACTGGACGAACCCGGGGCACGTGATATCCGGTAGGACTTAATAGCAAGGGAGCTGGCCATGGCGAAGTTGGAAATCCTTAATCTTTGAACTGAGAGAGAAATCTTGGACTTAAAGAAGGAATAATTAAGAAAAGGTGTGGCTTTCGGCTTGGTGATTGGATGAGTCAAGCCGCAACGTTTTGACACGGGGAAAGGGCGTTGGAACGCGGAGGCAGAGCACACACACCAGGCGTGGGAGCAATAAGGTCGAGGGAGACAAAAGAAGGCTCGAGGACGCGGTTTGCTGCCTGGGGATGTTAATAGATTATTATGGCCTGGAGGTTTGCATGCGCAGGTGGACTCAGCCTCAGCCTTGCATCCCGCAGCGTTGCGGTGTCCCGATGCGGCCTAGCTGCCACTGGCACTGGGTGCGTCCGCCGGTTCGTGTGCTTCTGCCTGGCCAATCACCTGCCGCTGCCTCTCTTCTGCTCAGAGACACCGTTTGACCGTCGTCAACACCGCCGCGCAATTCCGGAGATGTGGGGAGATGGCTGGCACACTGGAACCTGCACACACGTGTACCCATGTCATCATGTTTGAGCGCGTTTCAATGCAATGCCATTTTCAACTTTTTGTGTCCGCAGCAAACCCGGGCAAATAATACAAAAACTGCCAGCCATAGCCACGCCCACTATGAAAAACTTGGCCCCCGGATCACTTTGTGTCATACATGTCCATCGTCTTCCACTTTCAATAGATCGTCACCTCCCCTGCCAGCGCCTGGCTGGCCTCTTCAACCATCATAAACGGTATGCAAGCGTGTTGCTTACTGGTTCTCGGGGCGGAGACCACTAGAAAAAATCATTGTCAGCTAGGTTCTGTGACGTCATAAAGCATTGCGGAAAAAACTTACCGGACAGCCTTGCCGGCCCTCCAGATCTCGAGGTCACGGATCTCCTGCATCTCCTTCTCGTACAGCTCACGGTAGTCGGGGCGGGAGTTGTACTCGAGGGAGCGCTTGGTCTCAGAGCCGTTGGCGACGGACTCGTACAGGTCCTGGAAGACGGGCTTAAGGGTATCCTTGAAGCGCTTGCTCCAGTCGATGGCACCACGGCGCGCGGTGGTGGAGCAGGCAGCGTACATGTAGTCCATACCGTGGGAACCAATGAGGGGGTAGAGGGACTGTGTGGCCTCCTCAACGGTCTCGTTGAAGGCCTCGCTGGGGGTGTGGCCGCGCTCACGGAGGACCTCGTACTGAGCGAGGAACATACCGTGGATACCACCCATCAGGCAGCCACGCTCACCGTACAGGTCAGAGTAGACCTCCTTCTCGAAGGTGGTCTTGTAGAGGTAGCCAGAGCCGACGGCGACACCGAGGGCAACGGCCTTCTCCTCAGCCTTGCCGGTGACGTCCTGGAAGACGGCAACGGAAGAGTTGATACCACGGCCCTCCTTGAAGAGGGAGCGGACGGTACGGCCAGAGCCCTTGGGGGCAACAAGGATGACATCAATGTCCGAGGGGACATCGACCTTGGTCAGGTCCTTGAAAACGGGGGAGAAACCGTGGGAGAAGTAGAGGGTCTGAAATTGAAATTAGCGTTCGCATTCTCACATGCGCATCATGCGACTAATTTTACCTTGCCCTTGGTGAGCTGGGGCTTGATGTGGGGCCAGGTCTCGGACTGAGCGGCGTCGGAGAGCAGGTTCATGACAATGGTACCCCTGGAGATGGCCTCATCGACGTCGAAGAGGTTCTTGCCGGGGACCCAGCCATCCTGCTGGGCCTCTTTCCACGAAGCACCGTTCTTCCGGACACCGATAATGACGTTGAGGCCGTTGTCACGGAGGTTGAGGCCCTGGCCGTGGCCCTGGGAACCGTAACCGATGAGGGCGAGGGTGTCGTTCTTGAAGTAGTCCTGTGTGCTTGTCAGAAGGCTACTCCTAAAAGTCAAAAGCTTAAAGGAAGCTGCTATGACTCACGTGGAGCTTCTCGCGGGGCCAGTCCTCGCGCTCTGTTCACTATCAGTATACGGTTTTCAGCAGGGCTTGCATCGCGGCAACGCACCGAAGACGTCCTCCTTGTGGCCAGCGAAGTCAATGGTCTTCATGCCACGGGTCTGGACCTTGGGCATGGCAACGGCAGCCCTGGGCGCAGCGGCAACGACGCCCTTGCTCGCAGCATTGAGGGCAGAAACGAAGGTGCGGCGCTGGACGGTGGGCGCGGCCAATTGCTTGGCGGAAGCGCGCAGAGCTCTGCTGGCGGTGCGGGAGGCCATTTTGATGATTATGGAAGAGGATGAAGATGGAGGAAGAAGGTGAGGATGAGATGATTTTTTGGACTATGAGCAACAGTCCGGGGACGCTTGAATTCTTCCAGAGTGCGGCCGAACTCTAGCAAATCGCTGCGACATCGGAGCAATCACGTGGCCTGTGCGCAGAGCTCCCCGGCGCTGGTGGCGCAGCTGTTGAAGCTCGTCGAGTCAGCAGCCGGCCATTGGTTGTGATATGTTGAAGGTAGATGCGGCAGTCTGCTCTATAATTCGAGGCTCTATCGGAGGGGCTGTGTCCGCCGCAGTAAATCCTACGAGTAGGTATCCGCTTTCACATGTCGTGACGCTAGGAGTAGCAGCTCTAAGTACGCTGCCGCATTGCTCGCTCTTATATCCTACAAAACATCTACCTACGAGACGATGTTCCTGCTATGTGTTGTAGACTTATCCCAGATTGCAACCGCGACCGTTTCTCTAGAAGTCGTTGTTATTATCTCTAGACGTAACTGAACGCCTGACCGTGGACGGTGCCTCCGGCTATTGAGCTGCGGAAGTTACGCTTAAAGCCCTCGCAGTCAGAGTACAGGGGGCCCAGAGACTAAGGTGTGGCGCATTCCATGTGCCGCATGGCTTAGACTTGCGTCCTATGGGTTAAATCTCGAGTATCTTGTCAAAGTTTTTGGTGTGCGCGGCGCGACTGCTATTGGTTGAGAGTATAGGTGGGGGCTGGTAGGAACCCTCGCAGAAGAAAGACAGGTGTATGTGCATGAGAACATTGAGCAAGTCGCCAAGGAAAGAGAAAGATTGTAAGTCGCGACAGTTAGTAGATGGTGAGTCTTTGAGTGCCTGCTACGCGTAAATCGTCGAGCTTTCCGCCCCGCGCGCAACTACCCCTCACACGTCAGGGCTTACCTAGTGCTAAGTAATCTCACAACGTAGGTACTGTACGCTATTTGATACCAGCGAGTTCACAATTAGCGCTGCTGTCAATGCACGGCTTCCCGAGAAAATAACAGCGGTAAAGCATTGACATTCTCTTAGTGACTGTAACATACATACGAAAAAGGTTCAGGGGATCAACATGACCAGCATGATTGACTTCACTTCATCTGTGTAGAGCTACCGATTTGATATGCGATTTGATATGTAGCTATTCTAGTCGCGTGCTCCACGGCAAGGGGCCCTTGTAAATCATCTGCCCATCCTCGCCGCCATCATATCTAAGCAACTCCCACATTTCCCCTCCTAACTCGTCGCCCACGTCCTCGAGACGAGAATCCTGCCACCCCCGCTGTGCGCGCTTGACACTCAGAGGCGCACGCGTGCCGTACATATCCTGCGTCCACGGGGTCAAGCCCCGCATTCTCTCTCCAGTCACGGTTTCCACGTGTTCGGTAGCTAAAATTGTTTCGATAAATATGATGGAACCCGGTTCGGCTTTTAAAGGAACCTACCAGACATGACTGGATCGATGCCCTGGATCCGGATTCGATCCTCCGGCCAACGAAGGGCTTTGGCATGTGCCATCAGAAATCTCTCTGTCTTGAAAGCATGCGTGATGATTCTGATAGTTTTGGGATATGTTCCCGTTGCTCTTCTAAAGCGCAGAATTGAGAAGAGCAGATTTTGGTAACTGTCCGTTGCGTTTTCTTCGAGCAAGACCCTTGACTTCAAACACTGTGCGTATGATTGATCTAGGTTTGAAGATTTGCTCAAGGCAACGACGGCGTTGAAGTAGCTCTGAGCTTCGCTTAAAGAGGTCACGGAACGGGCAGTTGCGCCACCAGAGAAGACAAGCAAGCCGGTATCTTTGATGGCGCCATAGACTAGAGCATCCAGACCAGCCTTAATGTGCTGTATGAAAGTCTCGTGTTCACCAGGTTTGGTGCCTGTTGGCTTTTGAAACGATTGAAGGTACCATTGCGATGCTGAAAACACATCACACTCCCGGGACTGAATATCCCCAAGGAAGATGGCGTGACAGCACACAACAACTAAATCAGTATACTGCGGCATTTTGCTGGGAAATGCAGACAATATCTACAGCTGCTTTTCAATCAAGGACGAATCGTCTGCGAGGGCAATCATTAGCCGTTATTGTCAATAGATAGCAAATCCTCAAGCCCGCCATTTGATAGGATAAGAAACTAGCGAAGAATGGCAGTCAAATTGTCATCGCCGCCGCCAAATAGTTAACACCACCAGCCACGGCTGCAATGGCCCCGTTTCTTGACTAGGCCTTGCAGGCCTGGCAAAAGCTTGGCTTCCGTGCGTATGCGGGACGGCTCGCGGCAAGACAAACCCCACACATGGAGATACGGGGTCAGACAGCCGCCATGGCCGGGCCGCCAGAAATACCTCCATGAGGCGTAAGCGCTGGCCATCCGCTGCGGGAGGAGGGTCTAGCTGCAGGCCAGGTCGTGGTCTTCCCCATGGTTCCATCCTGCAGGCGTTACGCCATATCAGGCGATAGCGGGGAGGGGAGGTAGAGGGGTCAAAGTAGACGATGGGGAAGCTTCAGAGAGATTTGACATGACTACAAAAATAGATACGGCGTGTATAGAGGTGGGACTGGGGCTGGCTGGTGGAAATAATAGGAGGTTCCACGAGAGAGAGGGGGGCCATACCTAGGCGGACCAAAGCAGATAAGCTCGAGGAATCAAGCATGAAGAGGGTGACGCTCGGAGAAACATCGCCAGAGGAGTAAGACAGCGGAGGCGAGGACGAGAAAAAGGGCGAAATACGGATCTCCTGCCGGCTGCGGGACAATAGCGCGCACGGACGGGCGGCATCGTATTATTTCTGGAAAGCTAGATGAGTCGGATGAGGCGGGCATCAACAACGCAACGTAAGCTGATCCAAGCTTTTCCCTCATCTCCAATCTCTGTGCTGGCAGGGCGCCGGCGCTGAGGCGGCGTGGGAGCAGAGATCGAAAGCGGCAAGGCTGCAAAATGCGGGTGTGGCCTTTGTCGCGTTGCTGCACAGCCTCCTGACGGATAGGGGTCGCGCGGGCAATATTCGAGCTTCTCGAAGCCTTCGCTCAGTCCGAGTGTCCCAGCGGGTGGAGCAGGGCCGTATCGCTGGCGCCTGTGCCAACGATTCGCACAGATGCCAAATATAGCATCCTTTTGGGCGCGCTGCAACGCCACGGCGAGACAGCAGCGAGCGCAACGAAGCGGTGTCCAAGAGAGAAGAAAAAGTCTTTGTCCTTGTTGTGCTGCGCCCCCGTGACTGGCTGGCCAAACTCTATGAAGCCCTGCGCCCTGCTTTGCCGTTGCATCTGCCTGCGCGCGCCGACTTTTAGCTGAAACAAAGCTCGCGCTGTCTGACCACACGGACAGGGTCTCCTTAACCCTCCTGAGTCCTGAAAATCGCAGAGGCCAAGCCCTACCTAGCCCCATCTCCACATCTCGCAAAGCCTACGATCCTTGAACCGTAGCCGGCAGCCTCGCCGTCTCCCTAAATACTCTGCTGCCCGCTTGTCGCCCTCACATCACCTTTCACACCTGCCCTTCACCGGAACACCTTTTGCTGGCGCGTTTCACGATCCGGACGCGATGGCTTACCAGGGAGTTCCAAACAACAACTATGGCGAGAGCCATAACCTGGGCGATATGAATCCAGGGGCCGCTGTGAGTACTCCTGTGTCGCTCGCAATAAAACTTCTCCTTCTAACCTCTGGGCCAGTACGGTCAAGTACCTCACCGCGAAGGCTCCGACGACGAGCAGGAGGTTGAACGTTCTCTCCTCCACCCCAATCCCACCGGTGCCAACCCAAGCCCCTTTGACGACCCCGAGGGCCGCATGCATTCTCCCGGTCCCCGTCCCGTGTCGGCGTACAGCCTGTCGGAGACCTACGCCGACGGCTCCTCCGCTGGCGCCCCGACTTACAACACCAGCTACTCCGCCGGCTACAACGAGGAGGCCGACGTCTACAGCGGCTCCGAGACCGCCTATGGCGTTCCTAACCGCTCCCCCTCGCCCTACAACAGGAGCGACACCAGCTCCACCGAAGCCTGGCGCCAGCGCCAGCAGCCCGGCGCCCAGGGCGGCGGCGGTCTGAAGCGTGGTTTGACCCGTAAGGTCCGTCTCGTTCAGGGCTCCGTCCTGAGTGCCGACTACCCCGTTCCTAGCGCCATCCAGAATGCCATCCAGGCCAAGTACAGGAATGACCTCGAAAGCGGCAGCGAGGAATTCACGCACATGAGATGTAGGTTTGGCCAAAAGACTTACCCCCCTCTCCTCTCCCCCTGTCAGCACTAACGGCGCAACAGACACGGCCGCCACTTGCGACCCTAATGACTTTACGCTCAAGAACGGTTACAATCTTCGCCCGGCCATGTACAACCGGCACACCGAGTTGTTGATTGCCATCACCTACTACAACGAAGACAAGGTCCTGACCGCCAGAACGCTGCACGGTGTCATGCAGAACATTCGTGACATTGTCAACCTGAAGAAGTCCGAGTTCTGGAACAAGGGCGGCCCGGCCTGGCAGAAGATTGTCGTCTGCTTGGTCTTCGACGGTATCGACCCTTGCGACAAGGGTACGCTGGACCTGCTGGCGACCGTCGGTATCTACCAGGATGGTGTCATGAAGAAGGACATTGACGGCAAGGAGACCGAGGCGCACATTGTAAGTAAAACGACAAGCGAAAAACGGACTGAATGCGGAATGCTGACTTTCCCCAGTTCGAGTACACCACTCAGCTTTCCGTGACTCCCAACCAGCAGTTGATCCGTCCTCACGACGACAGCTCGAGCACTCTGCCCCCTGTGCAGATGATGTTCTGTTTGAAGCAGAAGAACACCAAGAAGATCAACTCTCACCGTTGGCTCTTCACTGCTTTTGGCAGAATCCTCAACCCCGAAATATGTATCCTTCTCGATGCCGGTACCAAGCCCGGCCCGAAGTCCCTGCTTGCTCTGTGGGAGGCCTTCTACAACGACAAGGACCTTGGTGGTGCTTGCGGTGAAATCCACGCCATGTTGGGTAAGGGCTGGAAGAACCTCCTCAACCCCCTGGTCGCCGCGCAGAACTTCGAGTACAAGATTTCCAACATTCTGGACAAGCCCCTGGAGAGTTCGTTCGGTTACGTCTCTGTGTTGCCCGGTGCCTTCTCGGCTTATCGTTTCCGTGCCATCATGGGCCGGCCTCTGGAGCAGTACTTCCACGGTGACCACACGCTGTCCAAGATTCTCGGAAAGAAGGGTATCGAGGGTATGAACATTTTCAAGAAGAACATGTTCTTGGCCGAAGATCGTATTCTCTGCTTCGAACTTGTGGCCAAGGCTGGCTCCAAGTGGCATCTTTCCTACGTCAAGGCCTCCAAGGGTGAAACCGATGTGCCCGAAGGTGCTCCCGAATTCATCGGTCAGCGTCGTCGTTGGCTGAACGGTTCATTCGCTGCCTCCATCTACGCGCTCATGCACTTCGGTCGTATGTACAAGTCCGGCCACAACATTCTCCGCATGTTCTTCCTCCACATCCAGATGTTCTACAACTCGGCTTCTCTCTTCATGACCTGGTTTGCTCTTGCATCCTACTGGTTGACAACTTCCGTTATCATGGATCTTGTCGGTATTCCTGAGGCTGCGGATTCTTCTACGGGCACGGCGGCTAAGAACGCCTGGCCTTTCGGTAACACTGTCACTCCCGTCTTCAACACGATTCTCAAGTACGCGTATCTGGCCACGCTGCTCTTGCAGTTCATCTTGGCCCTTGGTAACCGTCCCAAGGGTTCGCGCTACACTTACGTCGTGTCTTTCTGTATCTTCGGTTTCATCCAGGCTTATCTGATCATCCTTTCGATGTACCTGGTCGCCAAGGCCTTCACCAGCCCCCAGGAACAGCAGCTCGACACCGACAGCGCCAAGGATTTCGTCAAGTCTTTCTTCTCTTCGGATGGTGTTGGTATCATTATCATCGCCATTGCGGCTACCTTCGGTCTTTACTTCGTGGCTTCGTTCATGTACCTCGACCCGTGGCACATGTTCACCTCGTTCCCTCAGTATCTCCTTCTCATGCCTTCCTTCATCAACATTCTCAACGTCTACGCCTTCAGCAACTGGCACGATGTTTCCTGGGGTACCAAGGGTTCCGACAAGGCTGAAGTACTACCCTCTGCGAAGACCGAGAAGGCCGATGACGGAAAGCACACCGTCATCGAAGAGCCCGATTTGCCACAGGCCGATATCGACAGTCAATTCGAACAGACCGTCAAGCGTGCGCTTGCTCCCTTCGTTCCCGAGGTTGAGGACACTTCCAAGACTCTTGATGATTCGTACAAGTCTTTCCGTACGCACTTGACGACTGCATGGATTTTCTCTAACGCTCTGTTGGCCGTTGTCATTACCAGCGACAACTTTGACAAGTTTGGTTTCACTGTAAGTTTCCGTTTACATCGAACGGCATTTGTAGCAGCCTCTAACATCCTTCACAGTCTGGTGCGTCTCAACGTACGGCACGTTTCTTCCAGGCCCTTCTGTGGGCTACGGCCTGTATTGCCTTCATCCGTTTCATGGGATGCTGCTGGTTCCTGGGCAAGTCCGGTATCCTGTGCTGCTTCGCCAGGCGGTAAACGGTCGAAAACATTTGGTGGTTCCAACACTATACCCCTCACCTCAAAAAACTGCTTCGAGGCAGCGTCCTGCTTCCGGCCGACCCTTGGGCCGAGACCCCGCCTGCCATATGCGTTGCTGTTGTTGCTTTAGGTTCAGTGACTGGGAAATAAAGGCGTAGCGGGGGGGTGTCTATATCTTTTCCCTTAATGCGATTTCGTTTTCTCTCCATTCCACTTTGTCCGGCGGTCGACGGGCGAGTCCAGTTTTTTTCTTCGTCATTTTTTCTTCTGGTTGGTTTGTTTCTGGTTTCCTCTCCTGACGATGCGGTGATACTCCCTGGCCCTCTGTCCCGTCTGTTTGCACATAAAAACATTTCAAGAAGAAAAGACAAAAACAGAGTTTTGTGTTTCGTTTCCCTTTTCTTTTTTTTTTTTTTTTTAGTTAATCTCTCTCAAGCAAGAAAGGCGGGCATTTTTTGGCCATGATGACATGAGGATGCGTACTGCAGTAGCTGTTCTTCTTCCATCATCTCCTATTTCGGAAATGTACACTTGCGTCTTTCATGAAAGCGACTTCCATGGTTCGATATCATCAGTGCGTGCGTGCGTGCGTGCGTGTGCGATGGTGATGGTGATGGCGATGGCGATTGATGATTATGAGTGAGTGACAGTGACGAGCGAGCGGGTGACGGGCGTGCGATCACTTTCGTCCCGAGAAGAGCGGCGATCCATAGATCAGATATACCTAAGATTGACGAGAGAGCGGCTGGAATCTGGATGTGATGAGATGAGATGAGATGAGCCGTTGGGATCGGCAAAGACGCGTTTATTTATAGATCCTGTTTGGGGACTAAATTACGGGCGGCTGTATTTGGGTAGTATACTGTATGTATGTATGCGTATGTATGCGTATGTATAGGTATTTGTATCAGCGGGTGTAGTTAGTTAGATAGACGTCCGCGCTGGTGATCGGCTGGATGGTGCATTTGTCATGGGCTGAAGGACACTAGCTTGGGAGCTCGAGCTTAAGCGGAGCTTGAGCTTGAGCTTGAGCTTGAGCTCTAGCTTGAGTAGCGTTTTAGCGCGCGGCGCTAGGCGTGTGTGTGTGTTGGAAAGGGTGGGATCGAGATCGAGCCTGATTGAGAAAGTGCTGCTGTCTGGGCGCTGTTTATGCCTACCCCGTTGGCTATATGGAATTTGCTAGATAGAGCACTGTGGTGTCTATGATGCGCACGAGACGGTGTTGTTGCTACCTACCTAGGGAGCAGTGGTGTAGGCGTCTTGGGGGGGAGGAATTGGGCCGCCTGTGTGTGGGTTAGGGACGCCTTTTTGCGTGAGCGGGTGATGGAGGAGAGAGCGCTGTGGAAGGGGCTTGGTGGGTTCGTTGGGGCGCGCTTGCTTGGCTTTTTTGTGGACGGCTTGTTGATAGGTATTTATGTCAATTGACGGCGAAGATAGGTTCTTTGTTTATGGCTGTTGCTACCTACTGCTATCATGTCTGCCACTGTTGCCGTAGTGGTTTGCAGCTCGCATGAACGATCCGCCGACGCGTTTTCGTATGTCGACTCCGTGGTCGCGGGAGCTTTACTTTAGATTGGATTTATACCTACCTCTTGCTAGCTTTCACTACCACGTCCAGCCCGACTCGACCCTCATTTGCCACCTCCCTTGACAGCACCGCACCCTCGTCTTGCGTACACTGGATGGGTACGAAGGACGTTGTGCGGGTATGGCTGGGAACATATCTATGTCCTGATGAAGGCACTTGTGGGGCTATGACTGAATGCTGCTGCGCAGGACTTTCGGCCGTTTTCAAACCAATCCGTACCTACCCAGCAACATTCTCTGCGACCCGCTCACCCTGCTTCCCAAGCACGCCCTCGGCTCTTTCCGCCTCGGGCGCCGGCGCAGAGAAGAGCTTGCTGATAGCCTCCATGGTAGTGTTCCCCCCACTCAACACAACACCGACATTCCAGCCCTTGTCTCCAGCCTCGCGCTCCACAAGCCGGCGAAACTCCTCATTGTACAAGCACACGGCCAAGCCCAGCGCAGCCGTGGGTTCGACAAACGCCTTCATGCGCTCCAGCAGCAGGCGCATAGCGGACTTGATCTGCTCCTCAGAGACAGCGAAGATGGCACGCAATTTACTAGGGTCGCTAATAACGGACCACGGGATCTCGCCCACAGGCGTGCGCACCCCATCCGCAATCGTCAGCGACTTGACGGACGTGATGCGCCTGCCCTGCGCGAGGCCGCGGCGCGCGTCGTCCGCGCCCTGGAACGCGGGCTCGGCGCCAAAGACGCGGGTGCCGGTGCCGGCGAGCGCGGTCGCGACGCCCGAGAGCATGCCGCCGCCGCCGCAGGGGGCGATGACGGCGTCGAGGGCGCCCGCGCCCGTGATGCTGAGTGTGGGTGTCGCGGCTACCAGCTCTTGCGTTTGCTGCTCGAATTCCAGCGCGAGCGTGCCTTGCCCTAGCATGATGTCGGGGTGGTCGTAGGGCGGCACGAGCAGCGCCCCCGTCCGCGCAATCACTTCCTCGACTACTGCTTCTCGCTCTTCAGATGTCGAGCCGCTGAAGATGATCTCCGCGCCGTGGCCGCGCGTGGCGGCGATTTTGGAGGGCGTCGAGATTGTGGGCATTACGATGTAGGCTTTTACGCCGCGGGTGCGGGCGGCGAGGGCGAGGGCTGCGGCGTGGTTGCCTGGGAGAGAGAAGTGGTTAGTTCAGGTACTATTGCGCAGCGCGTATAGTTGAAGAGACAGGAGAGTCGAATTGCCGTACCAGAGCTGTGCGTCACCACGCCGCGGCTCAACTCCTCGTCAGTCAAGCGCGAGAGAGCGTGAAAGGCGCCTCTGGCCTTGAAGGCGCCGACGCGCTGGTAGTTCTCGCACTTGAAGAAGAGGTTCATCTTGGGGCGGGCGGGCGCCTGGCCCTCATACTCGGTGCCCTTCAGGTCATCGGGTGTCTGCGGCGTCGACGCGAAGCCCGACAGCGTGCGGCTGGTGAGCACGGGGGTGCGGTGGATGTGCGGCTTGATGGCCTCGTGGGCGGCGATGACCGAGTCGCGCGTGAGAGGCGGGCACTTGGTTTTGTCAGCCATTGAAAGGGTGCAGAGGGTTGTGAGGGGTGAAGGCCGGAGCGACAGTGCTCAATTTTGTATATATTCCACTGCGGCGGCAGATATAATAGCCGTACCACGTCATCGTCGTATGGTGTTGATGTGCTCGGGGGAGCTGGCAGCGAGGCGGCTGGGCCGAGATCGGCACGTAGCGCCGTCACCGAACCTCATAGGTACTCATCTTCAACACATCCATCAACAAAGATGAACCCGATATGGATTAAAGTATAGGGATATAGTGGTGATGCTGCTATAGAGTTGTCAAGCCATTCATACCTACAGCTAACATCAAAGATCGACCAAGTAGACATCACCTCGGACTCTTTGAAAAGAGAACTTTCTGTCAGGACGAAGAGGCGGTAATGTTGTTACGAAATAAGGATTCCCGTCTCCCTACCAAGTCGTTCGTGGGGTCATAGTCGACTACGATTGATTCGATTGTGCTCTCTTTGATTGGCTCCGTTTCCTAATGCAGCCTCATTACGTTGAAGCAGAGCACACGACATCCTTAACAACGTTCACTTTATTCATAACTGCTACCTGTGCAATGTCCATTCCATCCCACAATTTTTACAGATTTCGTCATTCCGTCTACTCTTCTTCCTACTCAAAATGATATATCCACGGCCTTGCAGATACTAAAATGCCTTCACCGAGAGAAAACTGAGGCTGACGACAAGGGGCAGTATACCTCTCGGGTAGGCAGCAGTCATCTGGCCTGCTGCAGTGAGACGCGGCTTACTACAGAGCAGGACCCCCAAGTACCCCAGAATCCCAAGGGGCAGCAGCATCAGTTATCTGCAAGAGCGCATGTATCTGAAACATTGCAGCCGACACCCATTCCAGAGGGGCATTCCACGGACTCGCCGTCGAGCCATGACTGAGCCGTCGTCTTCCCCCGTCCTCTCCATCACGCGCGCCATGCAGATGAAATCCCTCGGAACCCCGAAACACATGGTGCCGTCTAATTTGCGGGGGAGAAGCTCGTTCCGAGCTTCGACGGGGTTGGGACCGGAATGGACGCCTCACTCTGCGCCTTGAAATACGTGGAGAGCCGCCCGTTTGCCTGTGTTGCCAGGCCTTTGCCAATCCGAGCTTCATCGGCCCCCCAGCGGCTGGCAAGGCAGATCTCAGAGAATCTAGGGCCGTTGCGGGTTGAGATCTCTGTGTTTTCTCATCTGCTGCAATTGGTGTCGCAACAGGCGTCTTCTGCAGGCGAATCTACCCTTACTGTATGCACTGTTCCAAAGTACGACAGCACCTTCTTTCTAACTCCAAACCAGATCCGAAGCCAGGCAGTGGATCACCAGCCCAGCAATGCCCGCCAGGCCACACGTCGAACCTCCCCACCACACATCAACAATCACCACCCACAGCATGCACCCAGCCCAGCCATGCAGACCAGCACCGCCGCACCAACCAGAAGAGACCTCTCCCCCCAACGCCCCTCACCCACCGCAATCCCCAAACCCCACGCCCCCCAAAGCCGCCCAGCCCTCCCAGCAGCACCGCAGAAACAACGCCCTCCCCAACTCACCAAACCATTCACAACACACGAACCCACTCCCACTCCCTCGCGCCTACTAAACCAATCAACAAACCACGACCGCACCCCCCGCCTGCGCCCACGATGCCACAGCGCCGCCCAACCCGCCACTCCAGGCCTGCCTTTACCCCCGCCCCTGCCGCCAACCTCGCGGGGCGAGATGATTGAGCGCTGGCGGCGAGGCGTAAGGCACTGCAGCAACGGCAACAACGACAACAGCAGCAGCAACAACACACCCAACCACCCCCACCGCGTCCACGACCCGCAGCACCTCAGCCACCCCAACCGCCCCAACGCACACTCACACGCGGCCATGCTCCCAGACAGCGGCGAGAGCAGCGTGCATGCGGCCCGGGGGGAGCAGCCGACGTGGTTTTACAATAGGGACTACCAGATGGAGTACACGATTGTCTCGGAGAACGGTGGCGGTATGTATGCTCTGTTCTGACCATTTCCTGACTCTGTCCTGATGTGATGTAAGGGGTTGTGGTTGTCGGGCATGTGTGTGCTGACTCAGCTGCAGCAGGGCCGGTGTTTGTGTTCAGGGATGGGCGGCGGATTAGCTGGTGGGGCGGCGGCGGCGGCGGCGGAGGTGGAGGTCGGGGTGCGTGATGCAGTGGTGTGGTGTGCGGTATATACCTAGGTAAGGAGGGTGTGTTGGGTAGGTTCCATTGGACGGGGTGGGTGGGTGGGTGCTATACTGTACGCTTACATAGGACGGGTTTCTTTTCTTTTTCTTGAAATGGTGGGTAATTGGTGGTGGGGAATAGGTTGTACGCTCCTTCTCTTTTGGCGAGTTGGGTCGAGGGTTGGTAGGTTTGATAAGCGCTGCAATGACTATGCCATAATGCCCCCCTCCTGGTTCTCTGATTTTCTCTTTGGCTGGGAAAGGGTTTATAAACTTGATCACTGCATTTTTGCAGTGTCGGGTCTTTGGGGAAATTACTTTCCTTATAGACGGGTTAAATTTAGTACCTAGTGCTTGGGTGTTATTTTTTTTTTTTTTATTTTTTATTTTTTTTTTTTTTTTTTTTTTTTTTTTTTTTTTACTTTATTCTTATAATGTGCAGTGCTGACAATGGCATTTTGAGTTTTCTATCAGTGATTTTGTCTGAAGGCAGGCCCTAAAGATCGTTTTATTCACCAAGCATCTCAAGAGCAACAATACAGGGAATGCCTCGCCTCCGAAACAGACTAACTAATACAATATCCATTTACTGGCCTACCAGCGCACAAGATTTAGAAAAACCACGAGGTCAACATCAAAAGGATCAGTCCACTGACATTTCTTACCGAAACTACAAGGTACTAAAGGAAGACGAGACACACATCACAAACACCACACACGGAAGCCTTTGAAGAAAGCGTAAAGTGCATTACGTAGGCGACCTATATATCTACAGCAAAAAGGTGGTCCGCCAAAAACAGCGGCATCGAATCATTTCTCATCTCACGCCGCTAGCGCCAGGGAATCTCAACAACAACAACAACAACAACAACAACAACAACAACAACAACAACAACGCAGCAGCAAGCCAAGCTCAGCTGCCACTAAACCGGCGACCCAGCAGCGGCAGCGGCCTTCTCGCGCTCCTCGCGCCTCTGCGTCCCGCTCTTGATGAGGGTCGACAAGTCGCCAACTAGGAAGCATTAGCATCTCTTCTGCAGCCAAGCCAAACACAAACAGGAAGGAAGGAAAGGCACGCAAGCAACATACCAGGAAGCTGGAAGGGAAAATCCAGCGCAGCGAGCATAATCGCGAAAAAGATCCACCAGCCACACGCGCAAGTGACGAAGCCGCTCGCGCCCGCCGTGACGATCAGCCGGTGCGCGAGCGCCGCGTCGCCGCTCGCCGTGTAGAAGTAGCCGCCCGTCAGCGTCGTGAACAGTATCACGAGGCTCAGGAATATGAGCACGAAGACGACGTTCGTCCGCAGCGCTAGGATGAGGTACAGAAAGCACATGAGCGCGATCGTGAGCCAGTAGAACCCTATTCGAACACCTTGTTAGCCACTGTCACCACAACATACAACACACAAAACACAAAATACAGAACACAACACAAACACAACAACAGACACGCGCCAAGCACAAAGCAGCCCGCACCCCTAGGAACTCACCCAAACTCGCATTAAAGCCGACACTCTCCAGCCCCGTCGACAGGTCCGCAGGATCAGTGGCATACGCGCCCGACGCATTGTAGAACGGCTGCAGCGTGGCGCCGAACGTCAGCCAGAAGGCGCCGAAGCTGCTGAAGACGACGAACGGGAACGTGTTCCCGATGACCCACTCGCCCAGCCCGCCCAGCACCATCAGCAGCCCCCCAAAGAAAAAATACGCCCCGATGCTGGCCGCGCCGCTGCCGCCTGCGCCGCGCCAGCCCATGAGGTCGCAGCTGAGGGGGGAGAGGGAGAGCAGGAAGCCTAGGAGTGCGCTGCGTGCGTGCATGCGTTAGTCAGCCTTCTTTTTGCTTTCTTTTTTTCTGTTTTGCTTCGAGAGTGCGGTTTGCCGTCTGCATGGGGACTCACAGTGGTGTCGGGTTGCCGAATGTCTGCCGTAGGTCGCCTTTGACCTTGTGTTCGGGCGTGAGGTAGAGCTTCTCGAACAGCTCGGGCGACATGGTCACGCTGCCTGCGGTGCGGATGCGGCGGAGCGCGTGGGCGGAGTCCATGCCGGGATCAAGGCGCTCGGTGTCGTAGCCGTTGGGCGAGAGGCTGTCTTTCGACGCGTCAGCAACTAGATTGTGTCTTTCTTGCTGTGTGCTTCTGGAGCGAAGTTGTAGGTACCGGTCATGCCTCTGCTGAAGTCCTTCTCCAGCGGTGCGCCGTCTGCGACCCGGCGTGCTTGTTGTTGCTCGGTTGCCATATTAGGTATGTGTGGATGAAGGGTTGGGTCTAGGGATGTCCGGATATCCGAACTGGTATCAAAATAATAGGAGTACTATGCGTTAAAAGAGCAAGCAAGCACACCAGCGTCCGCCTATATACCAGGAAAACCTGGGGATGCGTCGTTCAAATAGTCAGTCGGTAAGCCAACGGCTCCGCAAACTACCATTCCCCATCTTCTAGGCCAGACCTAAAGAAGGGGCTTGGGGCTCATCCAGGGCCCCTGTGCCTGTGGTCGCCGATCCCACACAGAAGCTTGGGTCCCAAAGTCCGCATCAAAGGCCGGCGAAGAAGTGCATCGAACCAGTAGGACATGGGCCCATCCAAAAGCTTGACGTGCGCATCCCGCACCATCTGCAGCCGCAAGCACGAATCAGCAGCGGGCCATCCCTGCCCGAAGCGGGCTAGAGTAGCGGGTGGAGGAGTGAAGCCGGTGAGCCCATTCTCACGGACTGGCGGAGCCCACGACTCGTACGAAGGTGTAGTAGTAGCACCATTCGGGCAAGGCAGGGAAGGAAGGCAGGAAGGAAGGATCCGAGCCGGTGTCGGTGGCGGGAGGTGCTGCTGGCAGTGGCAGTGGCCGGGGATGCGGAGGGCGCGCAGGGGCTCGCGTGGCGGGGCGTCGATCCGGAGTGGAGTTAGCTGATTGCGGGGAAGCAAGCGACGTGACGACTGGGCTTGGAGCCTTCCCCGCGGCTGCTGATAGGCGGGCCCGGCCCAAAGGCTGGTGCCCACGACTCGTGCCCGCGCTAGCCTTTTGCCTCTTCCTTTCGGCCTTGAGGAACAACGTCGTCGTCTTGTTGGTGCTCTGGGGTCGGCGGGGCCGTCAACGTGCGCCATGGTGGGGCGTTTCGTGGGGTTCTGGTGGGTGACTGAGTGGGTTCAGCTTACCGCGACAATAATGTTGGGCGCCTCATGTGTTTGGGGGCCCGTTGTGGAACTGCTCGTGCGAGTGGCCAGCTGGTGGGTTGCCCCGGACGATGTGGGGAGATATTTGCTCAGTGTTTGTGTGGGGCCGTGGTGCTCGCGCGCCTCGATGAAATACGAGTCTCATAACTATTTGCTTTTCCAAGGTGTGGGTGATCACAGGTGATTCAGTGTTATCGGGAGACGATGTTGATGATATGGAGCCGAATGAATGCTCGGATGTTTTAGTCCTATAGTCATCTTCAGCCACTGCCGGTTTTGCGCGTCTTGGTGGGAAACATGAAGATATCGTCCATATGAACACTATCAGTGTGCTGTAAAACCCCGACTGATTGAACTTCCAGGATAGCGTGGCTGGCCTCCAATCATGTGAATAACCCTTCTCTTAACAAATATCGTTGAGTATACCCAGTGTGCAGAGCGAAAGCTTAGGTACTGTATGAGCCCGCGAGTGAAGTAAATGCGTTCGATCTTCCAGAGCCTCACACAAATCCATGAACCGATCTGCAACTTCGGCCCTGAAGATCCTTCTGCGCCACATGTCCTGCTGAAAAAAGACCGGTATCCATTAACTGGGGCGGTTCAGGGGTGTGGTCCTCTTTTTTTCGGTCCTTCCTTCTCTTGGGACAATTGGAGATGTCATAAAGCTACCTTGGCGAGTAGTCCATGGACCACGGGATTACGAAGAGAGCGACCAATCTGTCTTCATGTATCTTCCAAAAGTCCATGGTACGTCCAGTCGTGAGGCAAGAGTTCCTCGAGACAGGCTGCGGTGCGATAGGTAATATTGTGGCATCGATGTGCTGGAAATGCCGCAGTGCGCCAAAAGTATCCTCGGACGCTTCTCAGTTCCTCCTATACGCCCGGTCGTGCTCCAAAACGCCACCATACTGAATAAAGTAAGGCAGAAGATGATTTTTTGTTTTGCAGGCGCAGAACGAGATGGCGAAATGCGTCCTTCTTCACTTTGTTGTTCGATAAGAGTGGCAGGCGATATGTAAGTGTTGAAACCCCTGAGAGAGGCCACGAAGCGTCCGAGAAATACGAACACCGGCGACGTTGCGGTGTAGGGGACAGTGATGAGCGTAGCGGTGAGCCACCGCTACCCGTAACGCAGTTTTGTCCAAGTAAAAGAGGAAAGAGGCGCGTTATCCTAGGAGTGCCCGCAAAAAACAAGAGCTGAATGAAACAGACAGAAAACAGACCAGTCCAGACCATATTTAGGACCATGAGACGTCACTGTCTAGTACGATCATGGTGAGCATCTATTAACCAGAGTTAGGTAGTTACCTTCTTCTGGTGGTCTATTGGAGAGGCGGAATTTCATGTTGTTCGTCCGTTGTCTAAACGACTGGAAGACAAGTAAAGCAAAGAGCAGGACCAACAAAGTCAGCAGAAACAAAAGCCACGAGTCCTTGAAATGGACAGCATCCCAGCTCGTCGATTCCAAGTCTGACGTTGTTCGGTGGGGAAAATTGCTCTGCCGTCATTTCGTCAGACTGCTCATTGACAGCTAACCCGACCTTGCCCTGAACAGCAAAGTTTTGGGTTTCCTGACTTAATTGTCCAGTAAAGTCCCAGGAGATGACACTTTGATAGCGTCACTTCCCTAGCTGATAGGTCTACTTGGCCAGATCCTTCTCCGGAAAGGATGTTTTCTCTTCGCGGGTGTATCCCTAGCAGGTGTGTCCGTAGCAGGTTTGGCTGCGTGTGTGCGCGCAAGTGTATCCGCAAGTATGCCCGTGGATGTGTCTGAAGGTGTGTTTGCGGGTGTATCGACCGGTATGTCCACGGGTATGTTCGCAGGTGTGACCGCATGTGTGGCCGCAGGTGTGACCGCCGGTGTATCTGCAGGCGTATTCGCAGGCGTACCCAGCCGTTCGTCTGTGTCCTTCCGCCTCGGCGGTCCATGCCACCCATCACACAAGTCTAACCTTCAAAACGCAGTCAGAAACCTCAAACCCAACCACCCGCTCACCAGAGAAGAGGACAGAAACTTACAATGCGCGCGGTGGCCTTGGCTGGGTCAGTTTCATCTCCTTAACAAGATTTTTCGGTTCCTCGTGATCATACTCATCACGCGACAGCGTCGGGGCATACAACCCCAGGGGCTCGCTCTCAGCGCTGTCTTCATTGGCAGCAGGCAAGCTATCCCCTTCCGGCTCCTTCCAAAACATATGCAAGCAATACTCCAGTCGGTCTGGTTCAACTATCTCCTTGTTGATAAAGTAGTCCTTCAGCACGCCATGCGGCACCCGCTCGACCATTCTCGAGAACATCAGCGAGGCCACCTTGCTTAAGTGGTTTATCATCGGCCTCGCATCCAGAGGGTCAGCCTCGCCGCGATGAAACATGAGGCAGAGAGCAGATTGGCGCAGGCAGGGCATCAGGCTCATCACGCGAAGTAGCGGCATCGCCTGCTTGTAGAACAGGTGCGTCCACTCGGCGGACTGCGCCGCCACATCCACCGACGCGAAGAATGTGCGCACAGGCGCGCACATACACTTGACCGCGTGTTCGTCCACCCGCGGGTAGTAGTGCTCCTGATGTAGCTTGGCCAGCTGCTCCGGGGGCATGCTGTTGACTACTTGCACCCGTGCTTTACGGTACATTTCGCCGCGGAGCTCTGAGGCTATTGTCTTGCATGTCTGTAGCATTGCTAAGGGGACACCTGAGCGGTTTTTGCGGAAGCGAATGTTGACTCGGTCGCCCGGTGAGCGGTCGAGGAATAGCCAGAAGGTGACTTCCTTGAAGATGAATTCGTATACACTAATACGCAGCTCGGCAGGGAGACTTAGAAATCCCAAGGGAGGCGGGGCTTGTGGGGCGTGTGTCTCCGTCTTGCCGTTCTTGTCATTCTCGTTCTCCTCATCCTCGTTATTCTCGTTCTTGTCATTTGTATCGTTTGTGTCGTTCGTGTCGATTTCGCCTTTCTCGTCTTTTGTATCGTTCTCGTTGTTTCTGTCGCTCCTGTTGTTCTCGTCGTTTTTGTCCTTCTTGGAATACTTATCGACGACCCGGGCCATAAAATGGAAAACACGACGACGTATCCTATCCTGACGCTTGGCGTCCTTAGAACCTGCCATTGTGGTGACTTGGGAGGTAGCCTGTCTGTTCATTTTTGCCTTGGTATAGAGAAACGTATGAAGACTGCTTTGCCGTCTAGGAGATTTTGTGTGATCTGTTCGTGAAGGGATGGACCTTGGTGTCAAGGTTTGGTTGGAGTGATGAACGAAGCTACGCAACGAAACATGGCATCAGGAACTGAGGAGAGGGGAACTTAATTTTTCGATAGTGTCTTCTTGAAAGATAAAACATAGTACTTACCCCAATGCAAAACAAGGTCATGCTGAATTGTCTAGGGATTTTCTGGCTATGCAGAGTTGGTCAGTAGTATTTGTTTGTGGTTTGTGGATTGCTTGGTACCGAGTATAGATTGCCAGCCTCATAGGGAATCCGTTCCTTAGGATATTACTGCTCGATTACCCTTCGCTACCGCACTCGATCACTTCACCTTTCGAGTCCTGTAGAGAATGCTCTGATGAGAATTGTATAAGCACTGGAGTTAGCAGATAAGGCATTAAACAATATTAATGAAGGGAGGCTTGAGCCGTGGTAGACTTCCCGGTACAAGGACATCATTGTGTTGTGGTAAGCAATCATCTGGGCGATATCGTGATCGTATCGCAGTGAACGCTGAAATACGTACAAATGTCTCTGTGCAATGCCGACCCTCAAGTACGGTAGCAACTCGGCGGAATTAATTCTCACCCAAACGCGAAAAAGGGGCGGATGCCCAAGAATATGCGCGTTCAGCGCTGATATCCCGAACCCCACGCCGTCCACTTCCTTAAATAACACCATCTTCCCGAATTCTTGTCCCCACGCAACTACCGCCTAGCCGTACCCCATGAAGGCTCCTTCCCAATCTTAATCCAAAACTGCCTCCTTTCTTCAAACACTTGGTCGGCCCATTCTTTGATCTCCGGTAGGACAATCTTGGTGGCAACCCAGGTGAACTCGCCAATGTCCAGGCGACCCTCTTGGTTACGCTCATACTCCATCATCTGCAGGAGCAGTTCCATCTTGTCAATGTCGTGGACGTACTTGCTTTCGAGCGTCTCGCTGTCCTCATACTCCTGCCAGAGCTTGCGAATGTCTTGCCCGGTCAGACCGCCGGCGACACGGCCCAGCAGGTTATTGCACAAGTAATCCATAGTCACAGTCTCGCGGCGAGACTTTTCCTCCTTGGACACTGGGTCGATGGGTGTAATGTCGCCGACGATTGCCTCTGCCATGTCGTGAACTAGGGCCATCCGAGTGCAGTGCTGGATGTTGATGCGCGAAGCGAGCGACGGCGGGGCGAACATGGTCAGAATGGACATCCGATACATGTGATCGGAAATAGATTCTCCGTGGTTGATTCCGAACCTGCGCCAGCCCTCGCGCTTGGTAGTCTTCAGACGCTCGAGGATGTGGAAGAAGGGAAGGGGCGAATCGCTGTTGGCTTCAGGGCGCGAGGGCAGTTCGGCCAGCACTGGGAGAGAGTCGTTAGCAAAGCTACGCAGAATAGCCGGGAGGGCATACGAAGCAGAGTCTGCCTACACGGACGATTCTATCACCGCCGCCCGAACATACCCTTTTCTGGAGACCATTGCGCCGCCTCGGCGTCTTGAGAGATGATGCCAGAGTCAGGCTCTTCCAGAGTGTCAGCAAGGTTGTCGCAAGTGGCCGAGGGATTCCGGGACTCACTGGGGGTGGTGTTGGTCTGAGGCGCGTCCTGCACCATGATTGCGACGGGGGGGGGATGCTGCGGTGGGAGTAATGGGGATGGCGGCGCAGTTGATGATGATGAAGAAGAAGAGGAGGAAGGGTAGGCGACAGAGGGCGAGAAGAGATTTATATGCGTGGCAGCAGGCAGTCGCAAGACGTGGCGGCGTAGCAGCGACAGGCGCAAACGATGATGGTGTGGTTTCTTTGTTCGGGCAGCCCCGCGACAGCGACAAGCTCCCGTTGTCCCGCAGATCCTCCTGCCCACCTGAGTCGATCACATCCATCCATTGGGCCCTACAACAAACAAAACAACAACAACAACGCTGCTGTTTGCTATGGCATGCAGCTAGTCGGTCATGTCTCGCCCAACCCCCGCCACCCCCGCCGCTTCCGGCGCCCTACAAAGGTCTCTTGCCCCGAAGCACGGCCCCCAGCTGTCCAGCACCGCCCTCTATGTCCGCAATCTGCGCCTGCTCGACTTCGACCTGCGCGACGACTGGCCCGGCATCACCGTCGCAACCTTCTCCACCAAGGACGCCCAGCAGAACCAAAAGCACAGGACTACCGCCGTCGAGTGGTCGCTGTACCGCCTCTTCGAGTTATGGGATCCTCAAGAGACTCGCGAGGTGCGCCAGACGAAGCTCCTGCACGCACGCACCTTGACTCCTGTGTTAACATACGCGTAGAAGCTGCAACCCTTCTTCCCGCCCCTCGAGCCCCTGCAGTCGCTGAATCTCCGCGCCGCCCTCTATCGCTCCCTCAATGAGCTCAAGAAGCACGGTGTCCTCGGGCGCGAGACCGTCCTGCGCAAGACGATGCTGGACGAGTGCAAAGGCGACAAGTTCATGGAGATTCTGGTCGTCTTCTCGGCCGCTGTCCTCCGCAAAGCCACTCTGGCACGCAAGCCGACAAAACAACATGCGCCTATCGCCAAGCGATTGGCTACCGCAGAGAGTCTACCCTTGCATGACCAGGCGTCCCTACTACCGCTTGCGTTGGCGCACAAGGCAGCTCTTATGAATGTGCTGAGGAAGAAGGAGGAGCAGAGAGCACAATACAGGCATTTTGCCCTGCTGCTTGAGACGAAGAGCGAGGAGGCCGTCGCACGTAATGAGCAATGTGGAATGGCCTTGGAGGGCATAGAAAACTCCGGAAAGGATTTGCCAGATGCGACCGCAGTAAAGAAGACGCTACATGACAACTGGCTTGGCAACCCCGAATGGCTGGAAGTCATGATTCATGGAGATCAGGAGGAGGCGGAACATGGCATGTTCCAGCTGCCCTTCGAAGAGCTCTTGAAGAATATACAGCAACATCAAGACGTGGAAGGGGAGCAAGGGCGGCAAAAGAGCTTGTTGCAAGACTTGGAGGCGAGGGTCAATGGGCAGGAGGAGAGGTTGTCCCGGTGGAAGGCCTTCCACTCAAGGATGAACTGGGATAAAGCGTCAAGACCGGAAGAATCGGAACAAGCTGCGCCACCAGCTATGTCGGCTCCTGGGACTTTTAATTTCGACAAACACCAGGATCTTCGAATCGGTGCAACAAAGCCATCTCGCGATGCAGCAGAGGCTGAGCGCAGATCCAGCGCTTCCAAACTGTCTCGGGAATACAACTCTATCCTGGGAGAGATGCGTGAACTGTTGGACGCTGCAAATAAGGCTCAGGGGAAACGCCCGCCTCCAAACATGCCGAAGGCTAAGCCATCTGCATCCAGCATTCCAAAGAAACCATTTGCTAGACCTCCCAGGACAAAAACGCAATCAGTGCGTGAGCCAGAACCAGAGCCAAAGCGGGAAGCCTCTCCGGAACAGGCGCCTTCATCCCGCCCAGCCCTTGGAAGACCCGTATCTCCAGATTGGTTCTCCCCGCTTGGGAAATCGGCCAAGGAGACGCAACAAGAGAGCGAAGAACCCCAGACGTCTAGTCCGCGGGAAGAGACTGCGACAGGAACTACTGACGACGAGCAAGACATTCTGGATTACCTTTCAGACCGTGCACATGTCAGTCCCACCTCCATGAAAGAGCCAATCGGCTCCGAGGAGGGGAATGAGGAGCAAGGCATTACACAACCATCATCGCACGTGGATCCTCCGTCGTCTAGGTCGCCATCGCCTATCGACATGGAAGAGCGTCTTGCTGAACAAATCATATCCTCCATTGACGACGCCACGCCTTCTCCCATGAAGCGCTTTGACTTTGACCCCAGGCCCTCTCTCACGGAGCGCACGCGCCTAACCATGGGCGACGGCAAATCACCGCGGAAGCAAGCGTCGCTGGAACGGCGAAGCCCCCTCCCAGAAGAAGTGCCCACGCCCAACGACCCCGAAAACGAGCGACGCGCCGCGCTGCTCGCGCGCACCATGGCGACCATGTCGGCGCTCAGCGAGCGGCCGCCGGCGCCCGCCCCAGCGCCTTCGACGACCAAGCTCAAGAGCAGGAAGTCGATCAGCCGCAGCAAGCGGCAGTCGGTGTACCCGGACAAATGGGGCGACTCGCCGCTGCAGCAGGACAAGCGGCGCACGAGCACGTTTTGGGACCAGGCGGACGAGCAGCGCGAGGTCAGTCCTGCGGAACAGTTGTTGTCGCTAGGGGACCAGGCGGGGACGGATGCGGCGAGCGTGTTTAAGAGCAGGCCGAGGATCGCGCTTAGTCCGACTTTTAACGGGGCGGGGGATGGGAGTGGAAATGGGGATGGTGGGGAGGGAGACGGGGGTGGGGACGAGGCGTTTGAGGGCATCAGTGAGATTGGCGAGGAGACGCTGGGGGACGTGATGGGCGATTCGCCGTCGCGGGGGAGGTGATGAGACGAGTTGGGTTAAGATGAGATGGGGTTCATGTTGATGATGGTGGTGTGTGTGCGGAGCTGCCCGCCAGGCCGCTGCTGCTGCAATCAATTCCGTTCCGTTGCGTGTGCACGCACTTGCCAATACCAATCCCCCTATCTTGCACGACGTCGGATCGGGCATAACGAAACGCCATGCTTGCTTGCTTGCTTGTCTGCATGTGCATGCATACGACTTGCATGCATGTACGCGCAGACGCAAACATGACCAGTGACCACCTCCTCGTATCTCGTATCCTGGGCGCGCACGCGCGCGCCTGGCATCCTCCGGCAGACTTTGTCCGTCTGTGTGTGTGTGTGTGTGTGTGTGTGTGTGTGTGTGTGTGTGTGCCTTGTGCCTTTGTGGGTGACACACGCTGACGGCAGGAATTGGTAGGGCTTTGAACAGACGGACAGGACAGGGCAGCAGGGCATGGCAGGGGCTCGGGCTCACGCACGCACGCGAGAAGCGAGAAGCGAAGCGAAGTGTGTGAAGTGAGTGCGAAGTGCGGAGCCGGCGTGCTTGTGCGTGTGCGTGTGCGTGTGCGTGTGCGTGTAGACAGGCGAGTGCTCCGCTGCTGGGCTGGGGCTGCTGCATTTTTAGTGTTGGTGTTGTTGTTTGTTTTAGTGGTAGGGTTAGTAGTAGAAGAGTAGTAGATGATCTAGGCAGGTCTGGGTGCGGGTGGGTGCGTGTGCGGGGGAGGGTGGCTGCAGGGTGCTTCTGGCCGTTTGTTTGTTTGCTGTTTGTTTGGCTTGGACGTGAAAGGGGAGGATGAGAGGAAAAGGAGGGGGAAGGGGAGGGAGGAAGGAGTGCGGCTTCAGTGGTTTACCTAGTTGCTGTTGCTGTTGTCGTTGCTTGCTTCCTCCGTCTGTCCACACACACACGCACGCACACTGGCTGACTGGCACGCACAGGTCGAACGAACGAACAAACGAACAAGAGAGAACAAACGAAAGCAAGAAAGCAAGAGATCAGCCTCGTCCGTCGAGATCAGTCTACCTACAATCTACACGACCCAGTGCAGGTGCAGGGAGATAGATGACGGGAACATGCCGCATGCCGCAAGCCGCACGTCTGTACAGTGTGTATGCACGCATGTGCGGTTCGGTTCGGTTTGTCCGATTGATGGGGACGTCGGCGCCGTGCATGGCATGGCATGGCATGGCATGGCAGGGCAGGGCAGGGCAGGGCAGGGCAGGGCATGGGCCATGGGCTGTGGCTGCCAGGGTACTGTAAGATGTAAGTGCTGTAGAGCGATGTGTCGGTGCTTTAGTGGCGATTCTCACTCTGCTGGATGTGAGAGGGGTGAGTGAGATGGATGGTGTTGTGGGGATAGTGTTGATTGCTATGCTACTGCAACTGCTACTGCTGTTACTGGTGCTTGCTTAGTAGGTATGTAGGTAGGTAGGGACTGTGCTGTAGATGACACCCTTATTTCCTTTTCCGCTTTCACTCTCATACGTTCTCTCCATCTCCGTCGCGCCCTCCTCACCCACACAACCAAGAAAAACGAAGAAAGAAGAGGATAGAGAGAAAGAAGAAAGAGCACGCTTGGCCGTTGACAGAGTACGGACTATCCAGCTAACCACGTAACCGAAACCAGCACAACACCACCACCACCTAATAAAACACCCTCACCCTCCCTCCGCCCCCTTCCCCACCACCACGACCACCCCCACCAAGCAGCTCCCCCACCCCCCTCACCCGCCTAAACGCCTCAACCCCACCCCTCACCTCCGCGAGCTCAAGCTCCACCCCGCCCCGCACCACGCACGTAAACACGGTGCTCCAGCCCCGCACCGCCGCGTTGTGGTATGCGGCGGCCAAGGCCGCGTTGCGGGAGCCTGTGCGCTCGAGGCGGAAGAGGGGGGTGCCCCTGTTGCTGTTGTAGGTTGTGGTGGACACGACGCTCAGGTACGTGATGTAGGGGTCGTCGGCGGTGCGGGAGCTGCTGCTGCTGTGCGCGGCAGCGGAAGGAGAAGAAGAAGCGTCAGAAGCAGCGCCGTCGTCGTCGTCCTCATCGTCATCGGCGCCATTACCACCGCAACTCCACGTAGGGAGCATCTTCCCCTCCTCCTCCTCCACCCCCTCCTCCCCACGCAGCACATCCCCCACCCAAACCTTACACACACCCCCACCCCCATCCCCCACATCCCCCTCCGCAACCCCGCCTTCCCACGCCCTTAACACGACATCCGCCCCCAACCCCGCCCGTTCCGGCCTCGCCATCCGGCCTAACTCCCCCCGCCCCGGCCGCGGATACCACGCCCCGTCCTCCCCGTGCTTCAGCAGCCACAAGTTAGACGCGAGATCGTGCGGCGCGGCGGCGTGGTGCAGGAGCGCGGCTTTGCGGGCGGGATAGAGGGCGGGGAGGCGCACGAGGCGCTCGATGGTGGGTGGTGGTGGTGGGGGTGGCGGTGGGGCGTTGGTGTGGGTGGGGTAGGTGTAAAAGCGTGCGTGTGCTGATTGTTGTTGTGGTGGTGGAGGCGGGGGCAGCGGCAGCGCCGTCGCGCTCGTGATCACGACGTCGGGGTAGAGGTGCCCTTGCCCGTAGCTATGCGCCAGCGGGGAGGCACACTTCTTCTTCCTCGGCTCCGGCGACGGCGTATACAGCTCGAGCATTGGCGGGGGCGGCGGGGGCGG